CTCCCCTCCCAAATTAATTCTCATCAACAGTTTATTCGAAAATCTTCATCTTACTATATTCTCCGATTACCGTGGTCTTTTACTGTGCAGGTGGTAGAGGCGCCCCCTCCAACATCCACCGCCTCTAAGTTCCGCTTGAGCCAACCAAAAGCCAAGTGTGCCCCGCCTCTCAGCTTGACCTCCCAAATCTCCACACCATGGAGGGAGTCGATCTTACCAAGGCGATGCTCAACAAGGGCAAACAGATGGCAAACGTCGCTGCTTCAGCTGCCAATGGCAACGGCGGCAAGAAGAGGAGAAAGGGTACCGACTTGAAGCCCATCGTCACTAATGAAGCGAACCCTGCGCCCGGTACAGAATCGTATGTTTTGAAAGGGTTTCTGATCACCATAGTTACTAACTCATTTCTACAGAACCGGCGCTGCTCAGTCAAACCCCAAAGCCCCCGCATCACGATCATCATCCTCATCGTCTGGCGAAGAAGTCGAGGCCACCGCGGAAGAGGAAGACTCCGAAGATTACTGCAAAGGTGGATACCACCCCGTCGCTGTCGGCGAGGCATACAACAATGGCCGCTATATTGTCGTGCGCAAGCTTGGATGGGGCCATTTCTCTACGGTCTGGCTCTCGCGGGATACCACTACCAATAAGCACGTCGCGCTGAAGGTGGTTCGATCCGCTGCACACTACACCGAGACCGCGATCGACGAAATCAAGCTCCTCAACAAGATAGTTCAAGCGAAACCCTCTCATCCTGGTCGGAAGCATGTGGTCAGTCTGCTGGACTCGTTTGAGCACAAGGGACCGAACGGTATCCATGTTTGTATGGTTTTCGAAGTTCTGGGTGAGAACCTGTTGGGCTTGATCAAACGTTGGAACCACCGCGGTATTCCCATGCCGCTAGTCAAGCAGATTGCGAAGCAAGTACTACTTGGCTTAGATTATCTCCATCGCGAGTGTGGGATCATTCACACGGATCTGAAGCCGGAGAATGTGCTAATCGAGATTGGAGACGTGGAGCAGATTGTCAAGGCGCATGTCAACGAAGAAGCCAATAAAGAGGCGAAAGAGAAGGAGGATAACCGGAATGGGCGGAGACGGCGACGCACACTGATCACAGGGAGCCAGCCGCTCCCTAGTCCGCTCAACACCAGCTTCAGTAGCTTTGACTTCAAACATAGCTCTTCCAACTCACACAGCAGTCTCAGCCAGATGGTCAATGAACCTACAGGTTAGTCCCCTTGGGTGCACTTACAGCAGAACCGTGCGCGAACCGAAACTGACCTAGCATCTACGACAGAAATGCCCTCTATGAGAGAACTGCTTGGGGTGAAGGAAGAAGATGTGAAGCAGAACCAGCGGGAGAAAACCGCGTAAGTTATTATATCTCATATTCATTGATCTGATAATAACTTGATCTAACAACATTCGTACATACAGTGATCTTCTGGAGCGAGAGGTGTCTGGCATTTCTCTCGATAAAGGCTCTTCGAGCAAATCACCAGAAGAAGAACTTAATGTCAACATTATTTCCGTCAAAATTGCAGACTTGGGCAATGCTTGTTGGGTCGGTCACCACTTCACTAACGACATTCAAACTCGTCAATACCGCTCACCCGAAGTCATCCTGGGTTCCAAGTGGGGTGCGAGTACTGATGTGTGGAGTATGGCGTGTATGGTGAGTGATATGATCATCAAAGCCAAAGCCGAGTAACATACTAACTGTCTAGGTCTTCGAACTCATCACCGGAGACTACCTCTTCGACCCCCAATCAGGGACCAAATATGGCAAGGACGATGACCACATTGCCCAAATCATTGAATTGCTCGGTCCCTTCCCCAAGTCCCTCTGCATGTCCGGCAAATGGTCCCAAGAAATCTTCAATCGTAAGGGTGAACTGCGCAATATCCACCGACTCCGTCATTGGGCCCTACCCGACGTCCTGCGAGAAAAGTATCACTACTCCATGGAGGAGAGCATGCGTATCAGCGAACTCCTTCTGCCCATGCTTGACCTCTCACCGGAGAAGCGGGCAAACGCTGGCGGCATGGCAGCTCATGAGTGGATAAAGGAAACACCAGGTATGGAAGGGGTCGATCTGGGCATTATACCTGGAACCCGCGGGGAGGGCATTGATGGCTGGGCTACAGAGGTCAAAAAGCGATGAAGATGGCCATCGTGACCCCTCCCTTTTTGTTCTCTTTCCTTAGCCTAGACGGGGCTATCCCCCGGGTTTTTATTGCGGACATGCCCTTATGGCGATGATGTGAGTTAACGATCTTTTTTCTCTTTCCATTTACGGAATGATGCTGGTTGGTTTATGTCTTTATTTCTTCTTTCTTGAAACCTTTCTTTCGTCCTATGCTGGTAGTTGGTTGGATGGGGTGTTTTTCGACATGATCGTATGCTTTATGCCCGCCTTTTGCCCCCTACACGTCTGTCTACCTTTTGTGTCTGGTGCCTTTCCATCTCATATCTTTTCGATAGACTCGTCTTTCTATTCTTCATTGATCATATTTGTGATGGGACCGCTTTTTTAGTCTCCTGTGTCATCCCTTCCCACTCATATGTGAAGTCCTCTCCGTCCTCTAGATTCCCTGCACCAGACAGACAAGCCATGACTATTTGCTATGTATGGATTCAATCTCCGTATCATTCTTTGAATCATCATTAACGCTCGAATGCAATGCAAGGACATTGGAAGCCGATCTATGAGTTTGTAAACGTCTCTACGACGATATATGGGAGTGTTCAACTCCATTCTTCATGGCTGCTGACCCGTTCCCTCGCTTGGCAGCTCGCTTGGAAACCATCCATACCGAGAAAAATCAATATACATCTCGCCCATACTGTCTGTAGTAACTTCCACACCTTCTTGTGCGAGGACTTCGGCCTGACGCTCCGCACTTCCGGGTCCACTACTATAGTTGTTAGTCGTGAACGCTTGTAAACGTTCGTTTCGAGCTTGGATCATATGTATTGACATGATACAAGAGTCTGGAATATATAGAGAGTAGCCTGGAACAAACGCACCGGTGCGAAATCATTCCTTTGGAATTAATCACCCGCTGCCACGGCACGGTGTCCGAATTGAAATGCGAGCCAGACTCGGGCGACGCAAGTACTTTGAGACAGATCCCGACCTGGCGGGGACGCTGAGCTATAACGAAAGGAAAATGGTTAGTATATCTACAACAGCCATATAATTGCATCCATACGTTCACCAAGGAGGCGTGCGATATGACCATAGGAAGTGACTTTGCCCCGAGGGACCTCTTGGATGGCTCCGTAGACTGCGTTGGCCCACCACTCTGCTTCTTCGGAGCGCGGCATTGCGTAGACCTTCAAATTATTTCCGTAACAAAATTTGAAGGTTCCCTCTATGTTGCCGAGTCCATAATCAATTCCATGGATAACGTTCACGCATTGTAAACACAAAGCGCTAGGCGGCATTACAGTTCGGGAAAACATTCATCCGGATTAATCAATCTGAGCTCAACCTGCACCTCTACATTTTCACATTCCACACATACAGCTACCGAAAACATGCCTGGCTCACTCGCCGATTACCTGGCAAAGAACTATTTGACCGCCGACCCAGTCACCGAGCGGCCAAAGAAGAAGCGCAAGAAGACCAAAGCCATCGATACTTCAGGCCCCGGCCTCATAATTGCCGACGATGATCCACCAGACATTCGCTCCTCATTAGGAAATACGAGAGAAGACGATGAAGATAGACCTTATTTCGACACATCCATGAAAACCGCAGAGTTCCGCCGCGCAAAGAAATCAAGCTGGAAGACGATTGGAGGACCCACGCCTGGCCAAGGTGGAAGTGAACAAGAAGCTGCCGACGCAATTCTAGCCGATGCGGCAGCCGAACGCGCTGCCCAGCAAGATCCAGACGACGAAGATGCGCTTATGATAGAGAATGAAGATGATGGTGCGGGACGCATGGAGTCGGGAGCACGAGGGGGTCTCCAAACCGCCGCCCAAACTGCCGCGATGGTGAAAGCCCAAGAAAAGCGGCGCATAGCCGAAGAAGCACAATACCGCGACCCCACAGCAGTGAACGAAAAGAGCCAAGAAACAATCTACCGAGACGCATCCGGCCGAATCATCAATGTGGCTATGAAACGCGCCGAAGCCCGGCGCGCAGAAGAAGAAAAACGCGAAAAGGAAGAGCAGGCGCGTGAGGCGTTGATGGGAGATGTGCAACGACAGCAGCGCGAGGAGCGGCGACGGGACCTACAAGATATCAAGGCCATGCCGCTTGCGCGAACGATCGAGGATGAAGAAATGAATGAAGATATGAGGGCCCGTGATCGGTGGAATGATCCCGCTGCCGAGTTCCTTACTGCCCGTCGTGATGCGGGAGCCAGTATTACAGGGCGACCGCTGTATCGTGGTGCCTTCCAGCCTAATCGGTATGGGATCCGCCCAGGGCATCGCTGGGATGGAGTGGATCGGGGTAATGGGTTTGAGAAGGACTGGTTTGCATCGCGGAACAAGAAGACCCGGTTTGAGGCTTTGGAATACCAGTGGCAGATGGATGAGTAGATGGCTTCTCTTGTTGTCTGTCTTATAGCTTTCCATCTTGTTTAATACCCATAGTGGGTGCTGGTCGCCCAATGCATTAAATGATCTGACTTGCTTATCTGATCTGAGTCTAGCTATATTCTAGTAATGTCTACGTTGTTTATATATATGTAGACCTAAGGGCCAACTCCACGGACCGATATCAAGATTTCGACTAGGCCTGCTCTAGCACGATGTTTGCATAAAATCTACTTCCTTGAGCTATAAGTTACACCACATGATGAGGAAAATCACATACGAAATATTTGTGAAAAAGCCAGGAAGGGTCCTTCTCGGAGATAAAGAAAGTTGATGCCAAGGTTGCTACGGAAGTCTGGATGTTTACCCCAAACAAAAAAACTTCCCGCCTTTAACCCTCACCATCTACCAGCTACAGAGCTATATTGTGCTCGACATAAAGATGGACAAGCGAACGGGAGAAAGTCCAATGGACTTTGAATGGCAAACTCGAGCCCCCGGCGATGTGACTTCGCCCTTCTACCAGCTTGGGGCGCAGCATGACAAGAAACGTTTGTATCCCAGTCGGAACGAGGACACTTGCAATCCCAAGCCCTCTAACACTCGCATAGGAACATACAGCACATTCGAATCCCCCCAGAAGCAAGCGCTACCCTCCCTCCGTGAACCAAACTCTCAACCCTTCCTCTTCTCGCAACCCCGACAGCAACCCGCACCACTATCGCCGAAGGCCAAATTTGGCCAACCTGCTTTCCAGACGCCACGGAAATTCGACGTGGATTTCTCATCAGGCGCCGAGAATATGTCATCCCCGGAATTCGCAGACAACGAAGATACCCCCGAGCAGCAATACAAGTCAGGGAAGGCGTCACTATTCAACTTTCATGGCAGGAATCCTCAGAGCCCAGGGCGAGGGGAAATCCCTCGGCTGACTCACCACTCCAACGCAGCTTTGCACCGGATACAAAAGAAGCGACGGAGAGACAAGGAACTTGGCCGACAACTACGGGTCGACAGCGATGACGAGAGCGACCAAGACCGGCCCAGCAACAGGGAAGAGAAATCGATGAAAGTCGCAAAGCAAGGGAAGGGACAGAAGTCCGAACAGGGTCGCTCGCGAGTGTCATCCTGGTCTGAGTTCTTCAGCATGCTGGAGGCACACCCAAATGTTCCCGCCATCCTATCATGGTGGGCCCAACTGGTGGTCAACCTGTCGCTATTCTCTCTGGCTGTCTATGTTGTCTTCGGATTTGTGTCAGCCATTCGCGGCGAGTTCGAACAGGCTGCGCAGGAAATGTCCGATACTATCTTGGCCGACATGGCAGTCTGCACGAAAAACTACATTGACAATGACTGCGGCCGATCGACTCGCGCGCCCGCCCTGGAGACTATATGCGAGAACTGGGAACGATGCATGAATCGTGACCCGGCAAAGGTTGGCCGCGCCAAGGTCTCCGCGCATACAATGGCCATTATCATCAACAGTTTCATCGACCCCATTAGCTGGAAGGCGATTGTGAGTTTCCCTACTCACTCGATCTTGGATTTTTACTGACTTTGTATACTAGCTGTTCTTCCTCGCAACCATATCTACCGTCACTGTTGTTAGCAACTGGTCATTCCGCTCATTCAGACACCGTCTCCAACAACAGAACTACGCGCAACACCCACCCCAACCCCAGTCCATGCACCCCCATCTGCAGCATAACCCATCCTTTGGGTACTATGGGCAGCAAGACCCTCGGCAAACCCAAGGCGCCTACAATGAGAAACAAGATCAACCCCTGATGCTCGAGAACACACGGGCGATGGACTTTGTCACTGAGCGCTCTCGTGAGCGCGAGCAGCACCTCCGGACACCGAGCCCAACTAAACGCAGGTTTGCCTAAACTACTGTTTTCATTTTTAAACCTGGGTCTGGGTCGGCGTACTTGTTTCAAAATTGATGGGTTGGCAGCATACCCAGCGGGGATGGGATCATATTCGGGATTGGGATTTTGAATTGGTCTGGTACTGGTGTTTTATCTCATACCATCATCATGGTGTTTTCTTTTCTTGTATTTGTTTCGAGTTGATTTAGTTCCGAGTGGCTATATTGGTTTCTCCGCTGTCTCTACCTTTGGTACTAGGTGCATACTTATTTTTACCTAGGCTAACATCTATCTCTTATTCTTATTATTCTTATTAAATTTCCATCTATCCATTTCTATTTCTATCTTAAGGTATACAAGGAAGTATTACATGTGTCGGAACCCACGTGAATTTGATGCAGGTTCGCCGTTGCCGAGTCGGCCAATGTTCGCCGGTGGCCGAACGTCTCGGCCATCGGTTGTCTGAAGTATAAGGTGGAGTTCTTCAAATACTCCATGTGCAATGTTCATTTGCTGCCATGAATCATTCCGGCCCAATCCCGAGACCCGATTCCGATTTGTATGTCCTCGGCGAATTTATCTCTATCTCAACTGCATATCAAACGACATGCATGCATCTAATGTCTTCATAATGGCCGAGATCATGAAAATTTTGCAGATACAAATTTGCTAGTTTATCCACTATGAAATAGTTAAAAGAAGCTGTATATCCATAAAAGAGCAGCTATTATATAGATAGTCTCAACAACAAATTCTCTTTCTCATCTTGTACCTATTACCCTACTGTATAGCATAAAACAATGCATCACGAAATACCAAACGACCCAGTCGTCTGCCCAGAGGGAGGGCTCGTTGGCAACCTCGTTGTGGCAGGCGGCTTCAGCGCTATCATGGGCGGACTTGGTCTAATGAACAGCATTGGGATCTACCAAGCCTGGATCTCAACACACCAGCTCTCAGATATCAGCGAGGGGCAAATTGGCTGGATCTTCGGAATATACAACTTCCTTGTATTCTTCTGCGGGATCCAGATCGGACCCATTTTCGATATCAAAGGGCCGAGGCTGCTCATGTGGATTGGCTCAAGTCTGCTTGTATTGACCTTCATCCTCATGGGATTTTGCACGGAGTACTGGCATTTCCTCATTGTGATTGGCATCCTGGGAGGAACGGGTACATCTTTCATATTCATTGTACCCGTCGCGAGCATTGGGCATTTCTTTGTCAAGCGCCGAGGCGCAGCAACTGGTCTCGCATTAGGCGGGGGTAGTATCGGCGGCGTTATCTTCCCCTTGGTATTGCTGTACCTCGCACCACAGATTGGATTTGCCTGGGCTAGTCGTGTTGTGGGTTTGATCACGCTGATTCTTTTGATCCCCGGCTGTTTTCTAATCCGAGCGAACTTTCCTCCCAATGCCCGATCAGCTCCGTCGCTCAAGGCATTCCTTCCCGATCTCACCATTCTAAAAGACCCAATCCTCGCTCTGACGACACTAGGGGTTTTCTTCATTGAATGGGGCTTCTTCGTTCCACTCGAGTATGTTGCCTCGTATGCAATTGCGAGTGGGATTGACACCAATATTTCGTATTTGATGGTCGTCTTTTTGAACGCGGGTTCTTTTCCCGGTCGTTGGTTGCCGGGCATTGTCGCTGATCGCATCGGTCGGTTCAACACATTGATTTTGACAAACATTCTTTGTTTGATTTCGGTCCTGGGTATTTGGATGCCCGCAGATGGGAATATTGTTGCTACGGTGATATTCTCTATTGTATTTGGATTCGCTAGTGGAAGTAATATCAGCCTTGTGCCAGTCTGCGTGGGAGAGCTGTGTCCTGTCGAAAATTATGGGAGATATTATACCACTGTGTACACTATTGTTAGTTTTGGGTAAGTGTTTCTGTGTTTATATTGAGAGTTATATTGTCCGAATATGCAGCTAACATAAATTTTCCTCAGGGCATTGACCGGTGTCCCGATTGCTGGAGAGATCATCAATGTCTGCGATGGGGAGTACTGGGGACTGATTGCATTTGCTGGATGTTCGTATGCAGCCGGATTGAGCTGCTTTGTTGCTGTCAAACTGATGCAAAATAAAAGAGGCAAATCGCTGGCGAAGGTTGAGGCGCCGGGTGTTTAGCTCTGACATGCCCATGACGAAATCCAGAAGCAGCAGCCCTGAATTATATAGGCGAAAAATATTCTGTGGATAGAAAAATCAAATTAAATAACAATCAAACAGGGATAATTGTTTTATCTGTCAGCCCTTTCTGTAGAAAATAGGACTAAAACACTGGATTTCATTTTATATGAGTCCACTTTTGCCCGTATAGCACCCGGAAAAAATGTCAACCAACCATAATACGTATTATGCAGATGATTCTAGACAAATGAAATATTGGAAGGAGAGTGTCATTGAGGCCAATCTCATCTAGTTCTAGGCACATGGATAATATAGAGGAGAGCAATGCATTTCCTTTCATACTGACGTAAGTTTGTAATTTGCCATTTGCCATTTCTGCGGCTATGTATAACTGCCGATGTGCTCTTTGGCTTCTGCTTCTTCTACATAAAAGCAGAGCGTCCTTTTGTCTGATTTAGTCCCTGACTCATTGTCCGTTCTTTGTTGCCATTGAAGATACATAAAGTTCCAGCCGTCGTAACAGGATGGGCTCAATCACAGACACAAAACGAAACCTCATAATCGTCTCAAATCGCCTTCCATTGTCTGTGAAACGGGTAGATGGTGCCTTTGAATCATCTCTTTCGAGCGGTGGCCTCGTCACTTCCCTATCTGGGCTGACAAAGTCCACTGAGTTTCAATGGTTTGGCTGGCCAGGAATTGAAGTTAAGGACCCAAAGGATCAAGAGGACGTGGAAAAAAGCTTGAAAGAACATAGCGCCACTCCAATATTCCTCGATAGTTCGTTGGCCCATGAGCACTATAACGGGTTCTCAAGTAAGCTTTGTGCCCTAACAACACGATCCACGCTGACTGCCAGACCGTATTCTCTGGCCCATTCTCCATTATCAATCTGGTGTAGTGTTCGACGAAACTCCATGGCAAGCATATAGGCGGGTAAACGAGTTATTCGCAGACGCGATTGCCAGCACAGCGAAGAGTGGAACCTTGATCTGGGTCCATGATTATCATCTCATGCTTTTGCCTGAGCTTCTCCGCGACCGACTCAAACAGCAAGGCAAATCCTGTGCCATTGGCTTCTCCCTCCACACGCCCTTTCCTGCAGGAGACTTTTGGAGAAATCTTCCTGTGAGAAAGCATCTCATCGAGGGTATGCTGTCCAGTGACTTGATCGGGTTCCACACGGACGAGTATAAGCAGAATTTCATCGACACCTGTGCTAGCCTCCTGTGAGCATTAGCCCTAATTACCCTTCCCAGAAGTATAAGAAGTATCAACCAACACCACCACAGTAACGTACGCACCGAAATTCCCAATCAAATCCAGTATAAAAACCGGCTCGTCTGCATAAACAAGTTCATTGTCGGCATCGACCCACAAAAGTTCACAGACACATTGCAAAAGCCTGATGTCCAACAGCGTATTCGGAGCTTGAAAGAACACTACAAGGGCGTCAAGGTAATTGTTGGCGTCGACCGACTGGACCACATCAAAGGCCTCACGCAGAAACTCAAGGGCTTCGACGCTTTCCTCGATGATCATCCAGAGTTGCAAAACAAGGTTGTTCTCATTCAAGTCGCCGTCCCAAGCCGCGAAGACGTAAAGGAATATCAGGATCTCGAAACGGAACTGTGTACTATTGCTGGAAAGATCAACGGGAAGCATGGTAAGACCTCATCGCAAGTATTGGGAATATAGAGTATAATACTAACCAACCAGCCACCCCCGAGGGCACTCCGCTGCTGTATATGCATCGCTCCGTTCCGTTCAATGAATTGACTGCATTGTATTCGGTAGCCGATGTTTGCCTCCTCACGTCCACCCGAGATGGAATGAATCTCGTAGCCTTCGAGTATGTGGCCTGCCAGCAAGATCGCCATGGTGTCCTCGTTCTCTCTGAATTTGCTGGCGCAGCTTCCTTCATGACGGATGGTAGTATTCCGTTCCATCCTGCAAACAAGACGGAAATGTCCGAGGCAATCTTCAATGCGCTGAATCTGGATCCGGCCGAACGAAAGGCCAAGTATGAGTATCTCCAAGGCTTTGTTAATACCAACACAAGGTTCGAATGGCTTTCCTGCTTTCGTATTGTTAGTTGCTGACATTGGCAGTGCAAAATGGGGTGAGACCTTCATCGAGAAATTATCACAGCGTTGTAGGCGACCCGGGGACTCATGCTGATCATTGAAGATTGCTGAGCGTGATGTATATCGATATACAATCCCCACAGATGCTTTTTGACTGTCAATAGCAATGCTCTCGCAGTTACCATAGGAAATGAATCGCCGTCTTGTTTTGCCCACGGGTAATGAGTGTTAGCGACTTGGTTGAGCGTTGGCTTACTAGCTTGAGTCCGTATTTTCTTGACTTAGTCGTCGAGAATTAATTTGCTGAGTCGCCAACAGTCGTCTTGTGCAGTCATCTGTCGTCTTTTGAACTCATCCTGTACCATTCGCAATGTCTACTGTCTTTGAGTAGGGGATTGGAATTACCATTTACTCTTTCAATGACCGCCCGCCCGCGAAGGCGGTAGCGCCAAAGCTGTTGATCCATATCTTTCAAGGTCCGAATACTACTGGACGGGTAGTATGTAGATCTCCCGAGATACCTTTTTACTCAGGAAATGTAGCCAACTGTATTTCACGCACCACGTCGATATTGGATGTGATTTTTTTTGTACAAATCTAGATACCTACAGTAGCTCTAAGCTCACAATATCTAATGCTCAAATCTCCATTGAAGCGATCAGGGCCATGCCTGTCACATCACAGAACCGAATAAATACCAAAAAATGTACATGTATGCACAGGTGGATCTATTCTCCGACCCCAGATTTCATCGAGCCAATCAGCGTCCGACTTGCCCTCTGCATCAATTGTTCTCCGCCAATCAGCGTCGAGGATCATGGATCTAGTACCTACCTACCTGGGTATATAAATCCTTCGATTTGATTTGATCTGTCTTCCTTTTCTTTCTTTCTAGACATCCCCTCTGGTTGAATTTGAATCCAGGACCCTCATACTTCTACTCTTCTCAATTGCATCCTTGCTAAGTCTTGGCCTCGTTTAACCCAATACACATTTATAATTTCTCGCTTGCCCCATTGCAGGCTTGATTTGATCGTCTACCTTGGTGAGTCTCGGTTCGTTTATACTTATAACACGTCTTTACGTGGTGCGTTTATGGCCTTGCTGCCTCGGCGACCACGATCTACTTCGCTTAGTCGTCATCACTTTGCTTAGTCGTCGCGCAGTTGAATTAAATTTTTTTTTCTTTTGACTTCCAATCGTCTTTCCTTTTGTCTTCCCCATGGTGAGTTTATCTACTTTCACTTCATCCATCCCCTTCGCTACGAGAATTTCTCGTTGCCCCTGTTGGTATATACTTCCATCTGTTTCATGTCCCCTCCTATCCTCTTGGTTCAATGATGATGATATATGATGACACATTCATTATTCCCCTTTACTTGAGTTGCCATAGGAGTCCTTTTGCTGATGTCTCATTTGACTAGTGCCCAGACGTCTACTTGCTGTGGCTCATCCTCATCTACTATCTCCAAGGTAAAGTATATCTTCCCCCTCAGCCTCATCCTCCTTGCCATGACTACTACTTATACACATATGGGCTTCATCTTCTTTCGGTGTGGCAATGATGAGACTCAAATCTATTTTCTGTGCTCTGAGGGCTGATGCAAAAACACCGAGTCTGAGCCACCGTTTGAAACCCATTGCCTTTACAAAATCATCAACTTGATATACCTTGTGCTCATTTTGAAGTTTCATCTGCTAATGAAATAACCTCTCTCTAGACTCTCCTTTTATCGCAATGGGCTGCTATTTCCGAGGTAAAGTGTATGTTCCCCTGCAGCCTTATCCTCCTTGCTACAATGGGTTTCACATTATTTCGATATGGCAATGATGATACTTAAATCTCTTTTCTGTGTTCCGAGGGCCGATGCAAAAACACTGAGCAAATCTCTTTTCTGTGCTCCGAGAGCCGATGCAAGTACACTCAGCCAATTTCTTTTCTGTGCTCCGAGGGCTGATGCAAAAACACTGAGTCTGAGCCACCATTTGAAGCCTATTGCTTTCTTTACAAAATCATCAACTTGATGTACATTGTGCTCATTTTGAAGTTTCATCTGCTAATGAGATGATCTCTCTCTAGACTCTCTTTTTATCGCAATGGGCTACCATTTCCGAGGTAAAGTGTGCGTTCCCCTGCAGCCTTGTCCTCCTTGCTACAACGGGTTTTATATTCTTTCGATGGGGCAATGATGACACTCAAATTTCTCTTCTGTGCTCTGAGGCCTGATGCAAAAACACTGAGTCTGAGCCACCTTTTGAAACCTATTGTCGTCTTTACAAAATCATCATTGACCTGTCTGCTTGATATAAGTTGCGCTTGTTTTGAAGTTTCATTCGCTAAGAAAATCAGTTTTCTCTAGTCTTCCTATGTCATTCTGAGCTGTCACAATTGCAATAATGACGGCCAGTACCTGCTCTCCCTCCAAAACGTTTGATCCCCCGTTTGACCCCCTTTGCCCTCTTGGCAAAGCCGCCGCTTTAATACTCATGTTCGGAATGCATCCTCACCTCTGAAAATGGTATAGGCCAATGGAATTGTAAGTCCATTTCTGCATTCCATGGCTCTCCATTCGGCCCTCCATTCGGCGATGATGATACGGGTTATACCTGGGTTTCAGCTCTCGTAGGGTGTAGTATCTGTTCTTTGTGGGTCGTTGGTGAAAAAAAAAGAGTCCCGAAGAAGACAAACCCTACCCTCTCTCTGAGCCTCCACTTGATTGCAATCTTTCTGCTGGATCCCTCTATTTCTATTGGATTATGGTTTGCTGATATTATTACATTTTATAGCTTGGTCTCCCTTACCCCCTGGGCTTCTGATATGATTCATTGTTTGAATCCCCTTCGGTTTCTCGGTGGTTCTTGGCATATACAGTGGAAATCGTAAGTCTATTTCTGCGTTCTATGGCTTCCCATTCGGCCCTCCATTCGGCGATGATGATACGGGTTATACCTGAGCTTCGGTCCTCGTGCGGTGTAGTATCTGTTCTTCTCAGCCTTTTGTGGGTTGTTGGGAAAAAAACGGAGTCCTGAAGAAAACAAAGCTTACCTTATATCTGAGCCTACACTTGACTGCAGCCTTTCTATTTGAAGCCTTATTTGCACATTACATTTTGCTAATGCTATTATTCCTTTCTATCCTAGTCCCGTTGGCCTTCCTATCCGCCCCTGGGCTTTTTATATGATTCATTGTTTGAATGCCTCTTCCGTCTCGCCAGAAATACTATCTTTATACTCCTACCCGACATACTCATTTCGAGAATGGCCCTTGCTGGTGGAATTTTGAGTAAGTCTAATTCCAAATTTCATAGCTCCTGTCTCTGCGATGATGATACGGGTTATGCCTGAACTTCGGCTCTGATTTATGTAGTACATGTTCTTGTGGGTTGTTGGGAAAAAAACAGAGCCCTGAAGAAAGCAAACCTGACCCTATATCTGAGCCTACATTTGGTGGCAATCTTTCTATTCAAACCCTCCATTTTTTATTGCTGGATTACATTTTGCTAATGGCATTATCCCTTTCTAGCTCACCCACTCTTCCCTCTCCCTGGGCTTTCAGTTTGGCAATATTCGGAACGGCCATACCCGAGCCTCGACTCTTGTGTACTATCCATTGTGGTCGGAAAGAAAAAGAAAGTCCCGAAGAACACACACCCATATGAGCCTATGTTCAAAGCCCCTACTTGATTTCACCATTTCTAAGGTTCTCATGCCCAGTCTTTGGATTTTGTTCTTACAATCCATTGCCCTTCGGTGCTCCTTTGCATTTTGACCAAGTGAGTTGTTGTTACCCTGTTGTTACCCTGTTGTTACCCTGTTGCTATAATTTGCTATTTGGGCAACTTTCTTCGTATCCTTTATTACCTATTGGTAATTTTCTTGATGCCATGATGATAAAGAGAGCTATCTGAAAATCGTTGATTACCAAACTACACTTGTCTGAGGCACTTGCTGAGCACTTCGCCTTCGTGGATTCTTTCTTGAGACTAAGGACCTTCGTTAATTCCCAAGTTTAGCATTCCGACATTTTTCGACCTTTTTGACATCGGTGATTTGCTTGATGCCAATGATGACCAAAGAGAGCTACTGTACATCTCTGATGACAAAACTACACTTGTCTGAGGCACCTTTTAAGCACTTTGCCTTGATGGATTCGCCTTCCTATGGATTCCTTTTTTCATCTTGCGAGCCTTCGCCGATTCCCAAGTTTGCCATTCTGACATTGTTCGATCTTTTCCCGGTCAGTTATTTGCTTGGTGCCAATGATGACCGAAGAGAGCTACTGTACATCTCTGATATCAAAACTACAAGCACCTTGCGGTTGTCTATCTCACTTAACAGTACCACTCTTCTGCTTGAGGAACCATTTACTAATTTCTACAGTGAAGCTTTAAGTATGCTGTCAATTTTTCTGGCAATCCGAGACCCCCAAAAGCAATTTGCGCGGTGCCAATGATGAATTTAAGAGAGTACTGCACATCTTTGATGACCAAGATACCCTTGTCTGAGGCACCTTTTGAGCATTCTGCCTTTGTCTCTGCAATTTACCAGTCTATTCCATTTGCTGCCTTTTCCAGTTGAATCTTTCTCGAGCTGTCGACTTCCCTACAAAACTAATATCTCCGACGACATTTTGCTTGGTGGCGATGATGAAGGTTTCAAACCCTGATGTTGAAATTCATTGAAGAAAAAACAATAATCTGAGCCACTGTTTCAGCATTGATGTTGTGTTCTTGGTTTTGATTTCACGAGCTCAATACTACTGATGAGTTCGGAAATTCTGTCTTGTGTGACAGGCTTGTTTCCTATTTCCCATTCTTCCACATTGATTTACTTGATGCCAATGATGGATAATGAGCGAAACCTTGAGCTGAAAGCCCGCTTAGGCATGATTGGAACAGACACTCTGAGGCAATATTCAAGCAATTCTTCCTTGTCCCTTCTGCCTTGTTCCTTCTGCCATTGTTTGGGAATTCCTTGCTAAATTCCTTTTTCTTTTTTTCTTAAATAAAAACGATTCCCCACGTTCAATTTTACCAGAATTAAATAGAGTATATGTATATAAATCGTATACATTTGATTCAAATGATATGCAGTACATAAAAACCCCAAAGTACAAAAATATCACGTTTGACCGGCTTGCCCCCACAAGATCATCCCATGGATCCATGACCCCTCTACGGCAGATCATTTGGGCCAAATTCGACAACCTTGAAATGCATTTCTGTCACGCAGAAAATGAGCAATCGCCACTAACGGAACTAAGCGATACTAGATATGTAATTATGGTCGCACTAAATTTAGGCTTATGTACTTGGTTTGGTAGGCATTCATACACTATACGTATACTTTAAATCTATAGGTCCCTGATACGAGTTTTACCAAAGCGTATTCAAGTAAGTTACTAGGAAAAAGGGGGCTTAACTAAATTCCCCGATGAAGTTTGCTCTTTGCGGAAGGAATCTCGTGCTTTTAAATAGCAGTTTGAGTCTATGAGAGGGGCTGAGGATCGGCCATCGGGGAGAGGGAAGACTAAAAGCAAATGTGGATACGTTTTGAGCCGAGGCAGTTGCCCAAAACCATCCTCATAATGAGGCAAATTCAACTCCATCATTGTGGAAGATAATGTGGGAATCAATTTCCTAGAGCTCTTGCTATTCAAAATTGAAAGATTTTATCAACTGAAGTAGGTTGATGTGTGGCATAATCCTTTTGTAGATCTTGTACCGCGGAGTTTCCAGTGCGAGTGTTATGCAGGTACAACGCACTGCGGAGTTCTGAGATACCACTGGATCCGCAATGCCCCGAAAAAAACGTCAGATACCTAGAGATAAATGTTTGAAGCATCATTGTCAACTCAATGGAGTTATCCATGCTCCGCGGAGGAACTCCACAAAACTCCATTATAGGTGATGTTTGATAGATTTCCCAGAATATCTCATAGCGAAGAAAATGCGTACGAAGCGTCTGAATCAACCATAGTCTAGGAACTGTCAACTATCTATAAAACATATAAGCAAAGAGAGCTCAAAACTTCCATCGGATCATTCGAGCTTTGTACTCGCGCATTGTTACCCGACGCTGAAACATTCAAGATGACTTACCTCAAAGGTCTCGCAGACCAAGTCCAGCTTCAGGCATCCAAGTTAACCAGACTTTTAGCTGAAGTAAATCTACCATCTCCTTCCTTTGCCCCCGATGCTCCTCCAGCGCCACTCCACGGAAAAGAATTTGAGAAGGTCCAAGCAGCTTGCATGTCCCTAATTGAGTCTGCGAATGCAATCCGAGATCTGGCTCTTAGGCCGGGAGACTGCATCGCTATATCTTAAGATGGGGTATGCTTCTATATGACCGACGGAACAACCTTCTGCTAGAGTGACATTTGCAATTGTTGACAATTGACGACAATGATATGTATACTGTAGATGAAGACGTTGGACATAAAAGTTATAATGAATGGATAATTCAAAGAAGATAGTGTTGATAGATCATTTCGGGGTCAAAGGGCTGCATTTCCGGACTCATTCCTTCTCAAGTGCTTTACTTGAGTATTTAAACTGAGATCTGCGACCTCCATTTGACAGCATTATAAAGAGGCAAAATATTGACACAAATCTTAAATTTTCAGCTATGTAAGCCAAGAAACATTCTAGTTCATCAGTTTAACATTGGAATGGCCCAAACATGATATGAAACAGCTAAGAATGGACGTCTCGGATATTGAAGAACCTTCTTAAAAGTAATATCTCTCAACGGTAATCTATTATACTGGCACAACAATCTTAGTACCACTGACACCCGCCTTGAGCTTGTCCAATGCTGCGTGGATTCCTCCAAGGCCACCACCCTCAATCTGGATGTTGGGGCTGGGAATTACTTTGCCGAACTCCAGGCCAGGCTTCAGCCATCCATTGAAAACTTCGTTAATGTGCTTGCTTCTCGCGACCTCGTCCATAGATAGGAAGTTGAAAGTAATCTGCGTGTTGTCGAGTGTAGGGTGACCTTCTGGGAGAAGGGGGGAATGTGCGACCTTAGCAGGTGCATCTCCCTTAGTCTCCTTCAGAATATCCAATGTTGGCTGCAAAGCTCCATCGACAACACAGTGCGCAGTATTCAGCTTAACACCATCCCTTTTTACGGCACTGACAATCTGAGCGACGATATCGCTTGCCCTATAATCGAAAACCGCATCGGCTCCAATCTTTTTAACGAGGTCATGGTGCTTAGGACTAGCCGTGGCGTATACAGTAAAGCCGAGTGTCTTAGCTGATTGAACGGCAAAGGTACCCACACTACTCGATGCGCCCCAGATTAGGACTGCCTGTTTGTCTGCGGGGGTGTACTTCGTGTCTAGCGGAATGCCGATCGTAGTCCATGCAGTTAAGGCAGTGAGGACGGCCAAAGGGAATACTGCGCCTTCCTCGAAGGAGAGACTCTCGGGAAGTGGGATAACAGCTTCGGACTGGGCCAAAGTGTATTGCTGGAAGGAACCGTGATCGGGAGAGCCGTTCTGGTAGAATGATGATGCAAAGGCAATGACTCGACTTCCTGGTCTAAGGGCTGTCGTGATATTCGAGCCTAGCTTAGTGACGATGCCAGCAGTGTCGGATCCGATGATAGCGGGGTAAATAGGCACAGGAGGCATGCCATAGTCACGCTGGAAATGATCGCAGGGGTTTAAGGCAACGGCCTTGACTTCGATGAGAATATCATTCGGGCCGGGCTCGGGAGTGGGACGCTTGCCAAGTGACAAGGGACCGCCTTGCTGGGGGAGAATGGCAGCTTCGTGTTGTCCGGCCATGGTGGATGTGCGACGAATTGAGGTGGAAATTGCTGTCGTGGGATTTTTTCTACTGAAAATACGGGTTGTCCTGAGCATGTAGGAGGTTTGAATGATAGAAGATAGAGTTTTGATGTAGATGCCCGGTATGAGAAGCGGGTTTATATTTTAGAACTTGATTGTAACGTACCTGCATATGAAGTCAAGCTTTTACAATAAATCCGATATATCCCTAAAGCCCGATTCTAAACCGTTCTTATTTGTCCCTGCTCGTATAGTATTTGATATGACCTAAGTGGTGGCCAGGACTGTCGAATCGGAGTGGTAAACGGCGCGATCGGCTCCTGATCTTTCGGCGTTACAAGCTTCATTTTATTAAATCCGAAGTCTGCGGCACGATCCGTTGAAGATTAAGTCAGTTGGGGGTTAGCGTCCGTGGCCCAGAGACCGTGCCCTCCCAGAACAAGAATCCACATCGGGTCAGGTTCCGCGGACCAGGCTCGGAGGTTTACAATTCCCTCTGTACGGGAGTTCTACACTTTCGAAAAGACTCACACATGTTACACAAGAAAATCGGACATTGAACTGCCGTCTCTGATGTTGCTTCGTGGGGTAAGAGCTGCTGGTGTCATCCTTATGCCCTATCTTGAGTGTTCAATAATGCAAATGTGAAAAGGCACAATTTAAGTGCTATATAGGCTGCCATAGTATTCAACATAGAAATATACTGTACTATAACGTGACTAGTTAAATGGTGTGCCTAGCCTGGAATACAGTGCATGAAGTAGATAGAGAGACGATTCTGATCGGACAAAATATCTCAAGTACCACAATTTTCAAACCTAGATCGTTACGAAGATGTGTACATCACAAAGGGGCTCAATAAATTACTCAGCTACTGTGTCTCAAAGTCTCTCAAATTTATAGAAACACTCAGTGCGAAAGACGCATATATTTAAATCTATATGTATTAGATCACGTACACCGCTTCAAAAGTTCTCTTTCCTCTTCTTCCAGAACCCTAATTTGGAGTAGTGATTAGCTTCCAAGCAGGCCTCTCGAGCCTTCACGGTAGCTGGCCGTGATCTCTGAATTCTTTCCTCCTCGTAGATGCTCACAACCTCCCGTAAATCAATTTCATTGCTGCTACTGGGTGCTAAGTGTGCGAGCAATTTAGCCACATCAACCACTCCATGGTTAGCATTCTCCCCGCGAACTATTATATCTCTCAGTCAGTCATTTGAATCGAAAGAATATGAAGGTTTTGGTTAGTTTCCATTCACTTGCAAGACGTCATCAGATGAGCTGCATCGCCAACCGTGGTGATCCTTTCGTCGGTCGGACGCCGGTTCGTGCCATTTGGCATCCACTCTTGGACGGCGATTACATGGACAATACTATCATCTGGCATACCTTGGATCAAGAAATACGCGGGATTCGCCCAGTGCTAAGCTAGGTTGGTGCATCTGATGGTTCTTTTTCGTCTAGATAGCCCGATTCATAGGGCCAGCTTATGGTTAACTGGACCCCTGCTTTGCCCTCCTTTGATCCCAAAGATGGGATGTCAAGAAAGGCGAACATGAAATAGCCATTCTGCACTGGATCGCCGGCATGGAAGAGGCGTAGATCAATTTTCAAACAAGCCTCACGATCCTTGAGAGGGTAATCCGAACGGCAATTGAGCATGCGCACTGGCAGCTGAGGTTTAGATGCACGAAACGCTTGGGCTGAAAGCCCGGGCATGATCGAAAATGACACCACTCTGAGGCAATATTCAACCAGTTCTTGTTCGTTCTGCCTTGTTCCTTCTGCCATTGCTTCAAATATTGGGAATTCCTTGCTAAATTACTTCATTTTTCTTTTTTTTTCTAAAAAAGTTCTAAAAAAAAACAATTACCCACGTTCAATTTGACCATCATGAAATAGAGTATATATATACAAATCGTATACATTTGATTAAAATGATATGCAGTACATACAAACCTTTTCCTCCCAAAATCTCATTGACCGGCTAAATTGCCCCCGCAAGATCATCCCATGGATCCAGCACGCCTCTCCCCGGCCTTATCACGACATTCCTGGCAAATGAGGGTGGAAATCCCTTATCATTGGCCCCCAACCTTGGAACATTCAGTGCTTTTGTGAAGAAAAAAAATTAACGTTTTCTCTCTTTTAACTGATTTCATTGTTATTCTCAATATGACAGACAAAACAGATTCCACCGTGACATACAGGGGACCTGTTCAGGATGCTACAAAAAAGCCTCCGATCGGAGATACCCCAATCGGATGAAGAGATTGCGAGAGATCCTATGTCTGCGCCATTGAAACGGCAGCTCAAATCTAGGCATTTACAGATGATCGCCATTGGAGGTGAGTTTACGGTCGCATTGTTTTGCGCCGTTGCTGACCAAAATACTTTCAGGCATTATCGGCCCTGGTTTGTTGGTGAGCTCGGGCAAAGCACTGCACGAGGGTGGACCCGCAGGGGCTTTGATTAGTTTCTCACTGGTCGGCATTATCGTCTTCTTTGTCATGTAAGCCATTTTGTTTTAGGGTTTCAAGAATGATTCTAACAATTATAGGCAATCGCTGGGTGAGATGGCCACAGTGCTCCCTGTCACTGGATCATTCACCGAGTATGCAGAGCGATTTATTGATGACTCTCTTGCATTTGCGCTGGGATGGGCGTATTGGTACTTATGGGTGACTGTACGGCATACTTGAATTTCGAATACTATGATCTCTTGCTAACTCGGAACTCTAGGTTCTCGCAAATGAATACAACGCGATATCCCTAGTTATCGGGTACTGGACAGATGCTGTACCCCAATGGGGCTGGATCTTGATCTTCTGGGCAATGTTCCTTACTCTGTCAAATTTGGGGATTTTGGCCTACGGCGAGATGGAATTCTGGCTATCTCTGTAAGTTCCCGCATACCTGGATTTGAAACTTCAAATTGGCTAATAAACCGCAGTATCAAGGTGTTGGCGTTGATTGTCTATTTCATTCTCGCAATTATCATCAGCGCAGGTGGCATTGGACCACGCGCTATTGGGTTTACCCATTGGCATAACCCCGGGGCGTTTGCAGATTCAATCAATGGTGTTGCGAAAACTTTTGTCGTTGCAGGAACATTGTATGCTGGAACTGAGATGTATGTTCTACAATATCAAAGGTGGTGAGAAATGGCGAAAGCTGACAGTCAAATTAGGGTTGGCATCACCGCTGGAGAATCGGCGAATCCTGAAAAAGCAGTACCCAAGGCTATCAGGCAGGTCTTCTGGCGCATCCTCATTTTCTACGTTGGTAAGTACATATTGAAACAGAAGACCAAAGCATTACTGAACCATATCCAGGTACCATATTCTTTATTGGAATGCTCATCCCATGGAATGACGAGAGATTGTTGAGCACTAGCTCCAAGACAGCCAGCTCTCCCTTGACAATCTCGCTACAGGATGCCGGGATCATCCCAGCCGCCCACCTCATTAATGCTCTCATCGTTATCAGTGTCATTTCCGCAGGAAACAGCTCGCTTTATGTAGCATCTAGAACGCTACTTTTCATGTCCCGCAACGGGAAAGCCCCCAAATTCATTGGCCGGACAAATCGTCTCGGAGTTCCATGGGTAGGCTTGGTAGTAACCAACGTTTTCGCATGCATTGTATTTTTGGAGCAGTCCGCTAGTGCTGGGAGGGTTTACTCGGCATTGATCACCCTTTCAGGGGGTAAGTTTCCGTTTCCGGTCTCTTTCCAGAAACACCAATGTTCCATGCTAACAAAGTCCAGTTGCTACATTTATTGTCTGGTCAGTAATCGGAGTTGCGCATATTCGATTCCGGAAAGCCCTGGTCGCCCAAGGCGAGGACCCATCAAAGCTCCCATTCCGGGCTCTCTTCTACCCGTGGGGTACCTACATCTCGCTGGCAGCAAATGTGTTCCTCATCTTCTTCCAGGGGTACACTTGCTTCCTCAACCCCTTTAGCTCGACTGACTTTGTGATTAACTATATCCTGCTCCCTGTGTTTGTGCTGCTTGTGATTGGGTACAAGTTCTGGAACAAAACCCGTGTCGTCCGACTGGAGGATATAGACATCTGGACTGGGAGAAGGGAGCAAGTCGAGTCGGAAGAGCCCGAATCACCCGAGAAGGCTTCTAAGTGGTGGTCTCGCATTTATTCCATTGTTATAGGATAGATCAATTGCCTTCCACCTTATATCACGCGCATCCATGCACAATCTGAAGCTACCTGTCGGTTATATGCAGCCATCTGAAGTATCAACAGCCTAGCATGTGACACAATTTGAGTTAATATACCATGTAAAGAGAAACTGCCGAATATGGTCTCGTGCGACTGCCAACAGATAACCAAGAAACAAAACATGCAATCTAGTCGACACGCAGCGGGCCAGATATGATAGTTTGAGAGATCAGCACGGAGACCGTCGGAGCGCGGGGACACATGAGAGGAAAACAATATACAGAATACGGAGTATGTGAAACGCAATTGGGTGATACTTCTTATCTTAACAGAAACAAATGTCAGTTTTTGTTCACAGCTAGATGAACGAAATCCTCTCAAAAGCTCCAAAGCCACTGTTTATTCACAAATTTCAAATGCCGACAGTAATATGTTTAACCCCACATCTCTCGCTGTAATGGACCATTAGATCAACATCGTGGTCGACAACTGACTCTGTGATTGGTCCGATAGAGGGGACAGGCCCCTGCTCATCTCAGGCGCATTGCTTCTAAAAAAGCCCCCTTCCCGAATGGCTCCCGCTCGTCGATCACTTTCTCGGATACGGCGCATCTTCAAGAATCCGGAGTCGTAGCACCACTCGATTCTTCACGCTGTTCTCAATCGACCAATCGGGACTGTCTTGTACCTCGCTTTGACTTCTAATTTGTATACTTCAGCGTTGCCGCTCGGTGAATGTTCCTTAATTGGCATGGTGGTCGTTAATTGATGATTTGAACTTGCAGCATGCTTTTGCCAATGAAAGACCAAGACGGCTGGGTGCAATAAATGTAACATCGCATTGATAGCGAGTATATGCTCTTCATAGTCCGGGAACCTCCGGCAAGCTATATTTAAAGAATCACATTTCCCAGAAAGATTGAAGGTCTACGAGTCAAGAAATATCCATAGCCAACCAATCACTCAAAGCTCCTGGTCAACTATATCGCCAAAATGCAGTACACACAAGTAATATACACTATTCCATATCAACAGCCCCCAATCGCTAACAAAAACCCTAGATCCTGGCTGTGGCCACCCTCTTCATATCCAGTGCCTTCGCCGCCCCGCTAGACGTGGAAGCTCGCGCATGTGCCGCGACTTGCGGCACAGTTTGCTACACCAGCAGTGCTATCAGCGCCGCCCAGGCAGCGGGGTACAAGCTCGAAGCCGCAGGCAACGATGTCAACGACTATCCCCACGTATACAACAACTATGAAGGTTTCGATTTCCCCGTTTCAGGAACCTACTACGAATTCCCCATTCTTAGCAGCGGCAAGGTCTATACTGGTAGCTCTCCTGGGGCGGACCGTGTTGTCTTCAACACAGCCAATAAGCTGGCTGGCGTTATTACTCACACTGGTGCCAGCGGTAACAACTTCGTGGCATGTACCTAGACAATGAACTGGAATTGGATGAGATACTTATATCTAAAAACATACATATTAATTAGTGTATCTGAAAACTAGATATCTGAATGTAGGAGACCTCCTTATCACGTAGACAGAGAGACAAACTGTCAACATGGTGTGATGGTCTCAGTCTCCGTTGATTTTGGTATCTAGAGGCAAACAACAATCGACACCCGCACATTTGCGAGAATGTGGGAACTTGTCGTCGTCGGGGTTTGATACCCAAGTGTAGTAGGGAAAATATATAAACAAACAAAACGCGATGAGATGTGTGGACATGAAAATTTCAGCTGTCGCATCTTGGTTGTGCTTGCTGTTGTCGGACCAGCTCACATTAGCTCCTTGCAAGAGTCGACAAGAGATGACTGAAAGCAGGTGCTAGATCAATGGATGATAGATTATCATTTGATACTATACAGCTAGGTGCAATGGAGAATTTGTGTTTATGGGATGGACATGGACAAGCAGAAACCTATGAAAAGGACGGAGGGATGTACTATATAGAAGGATCTTGTTCACACACGAGTGCGGGGTCGTGGTCCCGGCATTGTGTACCGAACAGATATGAAGAGCAAGAGCATTTCGAGGGAAACCACGAACAGGGAAACCGTTACCGGTTTAAATCGTAGTTTCCACTTATTCGCCGTCACCTTCTGTTGCTGCGACGACCACTATGCATTTCAACTGGTAGAAGGAGATACAAAATACAAAATACTGCAGGTGCGATCTTACCCGCACCGCGGCCGCACATTGCCTTTGTGCTTGATGAGTCGCATGATGGGTATTTTGCATTAGTATTCAATGACTATCTTTATCCCAATGTCTCCTCCACCATATCTTGCTCTCTTTTCTTCACATGATATAGGATACAGCCTGATATTGGTTATTTAGTCCATTCACTTCCTTGAACAAGTCCTTTCATAATGAATTGAGCCACGGAGTTGAGAATGATTGCTCATCTCGCATGACCCGTCCTCATTTTATAAATCTTGCAATGGTACCTCCTTAACGAGCTGTCCAAACTAACATTCAAATTACGAATAACTCATCTCTTAAGTACACTGGGAATAAGGAGATGGTCGTAGCCTAAGTTGATTATATTCTCGCCAAAGAACAATTAACGAAAAGTTCTTGAGGGAGCCAGCGTAACCGCTTGTGCAAATATATATTACAACTCAGATGAAACAACGGTCCATAGCGAGCACGTTAATATATGAAAGGTCGGCTTTGACTCAAGCATTAACCTCATAACCACATCAGATCTAACCATGGTTGGACCTCGGGACCTCGGGAAGTTCCACTCCAGGGCTACTAGTGAGTACCTAATCCGGACTGTGGAATGATATTTGAAACCAAGGTTGAAGCAATCTGGAACGTGGCTCGAACACACGCAATGTGTATACTCACGTGACCCATTCACCCTTGAGACGAATCAACTCTTGGAACACAAATAAATGACCCACACCTTATAACCTGGATAACGGACCTCGAAGAGGGGGGAAAAAAGCGCTTCTCTTTGATTAAGCATGTCATTCTTAGTGCAGGGGCCATGCTAATCTTCTCTGTATATTTTTATTTGACCGTAGGCCCCGAAGGGCGAAATGAACACTTTGGGAGTTCAATAAAACCGCGACAGCGCGGTGAATCGAACGGCGAGGGCACGTGACTTTCACTATTATTAGACTATGTAAACAGTACTGGAGACGTTTGGATAATCTATACAAAAAGATTCGTACACGCCTACCTTGATTGAGGTTGCGTGAGAAAAAAAAAAATGTTTTGCTTCTCTTTGATTAAGCGTGTCATCCTTAGTGCAGGGGCCATGCTAATCTTCTCTGTATATTTTCATTTGACCATATGCCCCGAAGGGCGAAATATCTATTCGTTCAGTTCATTATAACCTCACTTTGTTGCAGAGAGAGATACCGCCTGTTTGTTTGGTTGCAGGGCCTTCGCCCCCAAATCTTCTCCCGGGGCCAAACCCGAAGATTAATAATTGCGAGATCCGTGGCCTTCATGACTCACCTAAACAACGGACGGACTCTAAGGACGAAACCTTAAAATCTGTCAGCTTATAGGTACCTCGTATAAAGTGATTGATAATAATGAGAAATCACTAAGGGAAATGTACCATGGCGGTATTCCCTTGGTCCATCCCTTACGGAGGTCCGTCCATAGATGGATGGTACGAGAAGATGTGAATTAATAATATTGAACAGAACCCCCTACGGAATGGGACTTATAAGATCGAAGCGAGTCTCTGCAAACATGATCCAGATTATCATATTCCAGTTTCAATCACAGTTGAATCGCAACAATGTCATCCACAATCAAACCCATTCAGCTTTACGGCATCCTCGGCCCCAATCCCCTCAAAATCAGACTCATCCTCGCACTTCTCGAACTCCCATTTGAACCCATTCCAGTCGCCTACTCTAAAGTCAAGGAACCCGAGTACGAAGCGATCAATCCAAATGGGCGCCTGCCTTCGATCCATGACCCAAACACCAACCTGACCATTTGGGAGAGCGGTGCCATCATCGAGTATCTCATAGAGCGCTATGACACCAACGAGCCCCGCAAGCTCAGCTTTACACCAGGCAGCGCGGAAGCCGAGCTTGCACGCTCGTTCCTCTATCTCCAGACCTCTGGTCAGGGTCCGTACTATGGACAAGCTTTTTGGTTCAAAAAGTTCCATGCGGAGAAGCTCCCTAGTGCAGTGCAGCGCTATGTTGATGAGGCGAAACGTGTGACGGGCGTGCTTGACAAGTGGTTGGGCAAGCAGAAGGAGGCTAGCGGCGAGGATATTGGGGATGGTCCCTGGCTGGTCGGCAACAAGATGTCATACGCTGATGTAGCGTTTATTTCATGGCAGAAGATAGCACACTCAGTATACGTTGAGGACGGATTTGACGCTGACGAGTTCCCAAATGAGAAGGAGTGGTTTGAGCGCATAACTTCAAAGAAGCCCATCAAGGATGTCCTGGATCATGCGGCTCAGCAGATGGCCAACCAATCTAAGGAGTGATGGGTTGGAACTTCTATGGACATATAATTTGAGTATGAAATCTACATCGTTATATCGCGACAGAGCAATGCAAATGATTAAAGGCAATATTACTAGTATTACTACTTAACATAACATGAAGGCGTCCTAATCCCTAGCACAATTGTTCCGTGTTTGTTTCTTTTCCAATGGGGTCTCGAGAGATATTCGACTAGCACCCGTGGATATGCGCACAAACAGAAAAAAGCATCATCCCAAACTCATCAGCAGATTGCAACCATCGCTCAATCTTCTTCCGTCGAGCGTCTGTTCCAGTTGCAGCAGACTTCCACAGCTCGGATATCTCAAGCATCCCATCTTCCCAGCGAGACAAGTGGCGATTGTATTCCCTTTCCCAAACGGCGCGGTCTGAAGCTTGCCAGAGTATTTTGCTTTCCGGAGCCATAGTTCCCCTCAGTTCTTCGGCGACGAAGTTTGGCAGTCCGACTTGGGTATTGTAGACGTTGGTGAAGAGATACATGGTGAAAAGGGTACGACGCTTGGCGGAGGCGATTATCCATGACTCCCAGCTCGGCCGGGTCTTGTGTTGTTCTGCTCTGCAGATGAGACCTGCTTTAGCGGATCGGAAAGCGATTTCTTGCATTTTTATTTGCGCTTGAGAATCAAAGGAGTCGGATTCTTCCACGGCGGCTGTAGCAGGAAAGAAATGCATCGTCATGAAGTAGATGAGATACGCCTGGAACGAGCACAGGCTATCAAAGTCGCTTTGAAGGGCATCCTGTAGCATATTAGGCTGACATGTAATGAATAATAAGGTGCTAACATACATTGTTTTCAATTTCATTCATCTCCTTTCGCATACTCTCCAGGATCAAGCGTTCACACCCAGGAGTCCGAGTCAACCACATACGAACCATGGTGAAACAGTAACACAAGACAGGCGAATCGGTTCCGGTCCGTTGCAAAGAATGAATAAAAGGCGGTGCAGTTGAGTTGATCAGATTCCTGAGATATGATTTCAACACGCAGGTGAGATACTGGATGGTGTGAGCATTCAACTGCTTGGGCTCTTGGCCCGTCGAGCTTGAGATGTAGGGGCGTAGCCATCGATCACGAATTTCCTCTGCATCAGTCATGGGCGCAAGATCAAGCTTTTGAAAGTCTAGGACTGTCCTACCATCCGCGATGGTATAAGATACATTTCTGGTGCTGTTAACCAGACTCTCTGACCGTGTGGAACGCAGAGATATTGCATCAGAAGTAACGCTGAGACGGTTGACATCGACGGCGGCGTATTGGTTCGATGCATTATCAGTACTTCCTGGGTTGACGGGTGCTGGATATTCACAAATCGTGTTTCGATTTCTGCATCGCTTGCATTTTGGCTTTCTGAGATCACACGCAGTTTTGGCCTCTACACATTTTCGGCATGCCTTTCTTCGCAAAGCACGAGGGGCCCGAGATGAAGCAGGGGTTGACGACCCAGATCTACCTGAGGCTTGTGCCATAGCGAAGAAATAGAATCGGAAGAGAGTTCGGAATTCCGTGGATATTTTCGGAGTTCCGTAAATGCCAAGCCATGAAGTCATCTCCCGTAGGTAGGCACCTGCCGTTTTAACTACATGTTCATAGAAGCCAAAAGAACAATCGCATGCCTTAGGTTGACCTTTGAATAATTAACTGTGTTGAATTAACCCTGAGAGGCGTGGGTGCCTGAATATTGCACTGGCATACGGAGTATATGCATCGAAGATCATTACGGAATTCCGAAGGTCCCCCGCAACTATAAAATCCGCTGCGGATCCAACCCCAACACATCCAACCAACAACAATTACAATGATTACAATAACTACAACAATTACAACAATTACAACCATCCGCCAAATATGCCTCAAGTCTACACGACAGACCACTCAACCTCAGTCCTTCGCACGCACAGCTGGCGCACAGTCTCCAACTCTGCGCCATACCTGCTCCCACATCTAAAACCAGATATGAAAATCCTAGATGTGGGCTGCGGACCTGGCTCAATCACCATTTCTTTAGCAAAACAGGTCCCATCTGGACATGTCACGGGCGTGGAATACGTGTCCGATCCGCTAGAAGGTGCGCGTGCGCTTGCGCAAGCTGAAGGCGTGTCAAACATTACCTTCCAAGAAGGAAACATCAATGCTCTGCCATTCGAGGACAATACATTTGACATGGTACATGCACACCAGGTTCTGCAGCACATTTCTGATCCAGTTCATGCGCTAAAGGAAATGCGGCGAGTCGCTAAGGACGGCGGCATTGTTGCATGCCGCGAATCGGCGGAGTTGGCCTGGTATCCCGAGTCTGTGGGGATCGCTAAGTGGCGCGAGGTTACGGAGCGCATGCAACTTGCGAAAGGTGGCAGTCCACATCCTGGGAGGATGATTCATGTTTGGGCGCGAAAGGCGGGGTTTGATAGTAGGAGTGTGAAGAGGAGTGCGGGGGCTTGGTGCTTTGGGAGTGATGAGGAGAGGGCATATTGGGGCGGATCAATGGAGGAGAGGGCTCGATCTTCTGGGTTTGCGAAGAATGTTGTCGAGGAGGGCTTTGCAGAGCCGGATGATTTGGAAGTTATCGCAAGGGGATGGAGGCAGTTTGTGGAAGATGAAGATGCATGGTTTGGTTTATTGCACGGGGAGATATTGTGTTGGAAGTAAAACAGGACAAGTATTGTCTTTAAAGGCAGTTCAGCATTGAATAAAAGTGATAGTCAAGAAGTATCTCCACGCAATGATAAGCAACAGCAAATATGATGATGTAGAGCCTGCGCAAGACGCAACCCTCAATCTTAGCACACAAAAATGTGAATCTTAAAAGAACGATCAAGTGACAAGAGACCTTCAACTAACAGCCCATGGGTGAAGACAATTACCAACCACCATCGCTGTGCTCACTGTGATCACTATGGTCTGAATCATGAGCTTCTTCTGCATCTTCACGGCCTTGCTCATAAGCTTCTTCAAGATCTGACTTTTCATCGTCCTCGTCTAGAAAGCAGAAAGTTAGTATGCGCAAAAACAGAGTAGTTCAGACAAAGCAAAAGGGATCACATACCAATCTCATGTTGAATCAAAGCACCGGCAATACCACCGACGGCCAAACCGGCTGCACCGGCTGCAAGATAGCCTCCCATATTGCTCTTCTCCTTCTTCTCCTTCTCGGGCTCACCCTGATAGTAGCCTTGGCTATTATCGTAACCCATAGGTGGAGGGCCCTGAGGAGGCGCATAGTAGCCACCCTGAGCATCGGGGGGAGGAACACTGCGAGAACCATCATTGTAGCCAGAGTAGCCAGGCTGCCCGTAAGGCGTCTCCCACTGGGAGCGACCAGTGGCCTGTTCTACAAAGAATGCGCGACGGGTACTGGGCTCCCATTCCTGAACCCAGCCTTGGGGCAGGGGAGGCGGGGGTCCCGGAGGAGGACGAGCTTGAGGTGGGGGTGCGCTGTATGGGCCTCTTTCGTATGCTGGGCGACCGCCGTCGTAGGGAGGACGGTCATAATCTGAGGGAGGGCGTCCATAAGGATCAGCAGGTGGGCGGCCGTAGGGGTCGTATGCTGGGCGATCTTGGGGAGGGCGAGCATAAGGGTCGCCATAAGGTGGGGCGTACGACATGATGAGGGTTGGTATAGAGAGGTGAGGGAGAGAAGTGAAAATGAATGGAATTGAGAAAGAGGGGAGAGAGGAGGGGCTTTTATGGGAAAGAAGCGCAAAGAACACCGTTGTAGACCATCACCTTCCGCCCAGAACCGAAAGAAAGACACTCCACAATCTGTCTAACGCTAGAATCATGCCCCCCCACTTGTAAGGAGTTACATGTCAGGCGCTTTACTCTGATTAGGCAGATACAATATCAAATGCTTGACGACCCCTTGGAGAGTGGCTTGTATGGTGGTCAGATTGACAATCCCATTACCTGCAGGGGCCGAGTGACCAATTCGATTCCAGTATGCCAAGTAGCCCCTGTTCAATTGTTAATGTATCACAACTCGTCGTATACCATGGAGGTTTCATTGCAGGCAGATCAGAAATTATGCTCCACTTGAGAGCTTGACTATTTATTTCCACGGTTGAGAGAATTCATAGAAAAGGGGTTCATATATAAATAAACAAAAAAAAATAGGGGGAAAGGAAGATTTCTGTAGTGGAGAGATCCCCTCTATAGGGGGGCATTAAGGATTGCGGGATAAAAACGGACTACATATGTATCGCCCTATACGAGCCACATGTGGCTCAGGTAACCGAGTGGGAAAATCTTGGAAACACAGCCACTGACTGTCACACACGTGGCTGATGGATATAGTGCCCAGACAAATATTAGGGCTTGGCATGTTTAGGAGTTTAGGGGGAATGTGCTCCGAATCAGGTTGGTTTCATATTGAAGCGCTAATTCATACAGCTAATACAGGTAAGGCTGGGGCCAAGGGCGCTTTCTACCTAGGTTGGATGTACTCCGTACTCTGTACCCGTGGACGGAATATGTACTTTGTAAAAGCGTCTATGATCTCGTGCTTCGTAACTCGCACAAAAATGTGGATCACTCGACGCCAAGATGTTGAGACCCTGAATCAATCTACAACATAGCGACAAGAAAGATTTCCTGATAAGTATGAAGAGCAACAGTTACTGCTTTGTTATGTTGGCCCATCTTCTTATCTCTAGAAGCGCAAATTATTGCGTCTTGTCTGTTGTTTTCATGTCTTTTTTCCCGTTCAAATATACACCTGACGTATACATATGATGTACGCGCCGGCTTCCGACCTCGGACTTTGGGTGAAATACTGGGCGGAACAAAAGCGGCCTGGACCCAGCCCGCGCGGGGACATACGGAGCCCACGACAACCGGCCACATGGGGCATTCTCCAGTAATTGATCCAATGAGCGTTTCTTGAGCAATTGATGTGCAAGAGAATCAAAGAATCCTACGGAGTAAATATACCAGACAGTAATACGAGAAGGATCTTTGGGGAAGAAAGACACACACATTCCTGCACACACGCCCTATACTAGTACAAAGTTTCCTACTAAAGCAGTAATAATAGATTATCCGAGGTAAGGAAGTGAGGTATCATAATCATGTAGCTAGGGCTGGCGCTCAAGCGCTAGCAATCAACGTAGACTAATCAGCACACCGAGCTTTGACGGTGGAAACCATCGATGCTCAACATCCTATCACCACAGTTTCGAATTTATCCTCCTGAGCCTGCGATAACACTTGATTGCTTAGGGTCCGGGTAGAAGAAGGCGGATAGGCTGAGGGAATTGTTAGCATATTGACGTGACATCAAGGACAGGGACACACTCACGCAATGATGATATAGGCTGCAACTAAGAGGACACCCTCTAGATAGTTACTTCGGCCGTCCAAGACGAGGAAATTGACAACGAAGGTGGTCACAAAGAGACAAATGGTCTCAAAGAGCGTAAAGTACAGAGACATATCCTTGTCCATACACCAGCCTAGGATGACGACCAGTGGTGTGACGAAAATAGCTGTTGGAATGGTCAGGATTTGCACATGTAGACACGTCATCGGGAGTGGATGGAATCTTACCAATTTGAATACTACTACCAACAGACACACCAATCGACAGGTCCATTTTGTTCTTGGCGGCAACACTGACGGCAGTAACATGCTCTGCTGCATTGCCGACAATGGGCAGGATAATGAGACCGATGAAAGCTTCACTGACGGTGGAGCTTTCGATCATCACGGGAATAGCGTCAACCAAAAACTCAGCGCAAACAGCCACCAAAGCCGTGGACAGCAGGAGCATGACAACAGCAGCAGTACGTGACATTGTGGGTTCCGGAGTTTGGGAAGCCGTCTCAGGAGCCACAACATCATTTGGCTCCGTTAGACGAGAAGCACCACGGGCGAACTGCACAGCATTTCCGACCGGCGGAGGACGACTGATATGTGCGGGGAGCGAGTTGCTGCGAGAAATTCCTGGGTGCGAGGCAGTGGCTCCGACCATGGGGGAAGCTGCTGGTGACTGGGAGCTGAAGACAGTGTTGGAAAGTAGAGACGGAATAGGTCCGAAAGGAGAACGGCGTTTCCGGGGATCATCTCCTGCGCCTTCAGGTCCAGCAATAACATTAGTGGCAAATGGGAAACCATTGATGTCCGACGAGGGACCGCTTTCTTCGGGTGCCATAATCCGAGCCTTCTTCTCTTCTTTCTCTGCCCTGCGCCTCTTGCGATCCCGCTTTTTCGACTTCTCACTCGCTTTGCTGTCCATACGGCTCAGAGCCAAACCAAAATCGCGAGAACGGACTGCGGAGGAGGATTGAACGTCTTCGTCGGCATCATAACGAATTTCGTCACTAAGCTCAATGGCCTGTTCATAGCTGCCAATAGAGTCCTGGTGTTCATTGGAAGCCGATGCCATAGGCTTTTTCTGGAAGGAATGACGAGATGTTGTCCCTTTTGAGCTTGTACTTGACTTTCGGTGTCTGCGATACTTCATTGCTCTTTTGATCCGTTTGGCGGTGGTCCAGGAAGTCGTAGTGTCATCCGACTCATCACTGGAGCTGGAGGAGGAATCGGAAGAGCTGTTCATAAATTCTGACAAGACACCGGGCTTGGATTCCTCATCGATGATGGCCTGGGGGATACTGGCGTAGAGATACGAGTGTGTTCTCAGCTGGAAGATGATGTAAAGGATATACACCAACAGTAGGACGACACTGGTACCACGGCTGACTTTCAGTGTCTCACGATCTGCATCGCCGCTGTCCGACCACGAGGCGTGGAAAGCAGTGGGCAAGAGAAGACTCATCACACTCAAACTGAGCAGACAAGCACTCATCTGAGTAACGGTACTGTTGTAAATCTGCTCTCGGAAGCGAAGGCCACCAGCCAGGAAGGCCATGCCCATAATCAACAACAGATTGGCGAGAATGGAGCCGAGAAGGGAAGCTTGAACGATGCGAATCTCGTTCTTGACCAGAGCGATAATGAAGATGATCAATTCAACCGCATTTCCGAAAGTAACATTGATCAAGGCTCCAATAGTGTCACCAAGACGACTGGCGACACTCTCTGTGGCAAGACTGAGCAGTCCAGCCAGGGGAATGATGGCCACTGCATTCATCGCGAAGATGATGGCTGGGTTGAGACCCGCAGCCTCGCAGGCAATACCAACCGGTACAAAGACCAGCAGGACATTGATCCAGCTGTGGCAGATTGCATCCTTGGTATGGCGGTAGAAACGACCAGAGCCATTTCGCATACGGATCAGAAGACCCGGTTGTGAGTCAGTTTCTGTGACGGACCCTGGAGTAGGGTCCTCTACTGGAATATTCACTTGTCCATCTTGAGCAAGTTTTTCGGTATTGACAGGGTCGGTGGCCTGTTGAGAGGGAGTCTGAGCTGGCAGGCCACTAGAAGATGCGTGAGCTTTCGCCCACGAGTGAATCCGGTCTGTAGAAGGAAGCATTGTTAGCTAGATACATAGTGGAGCTCAGGTTTTTGGGATGCCCTCCCTAGATACCACTTACGCATGTATTTCAGAGAAAAAAGACTGGTGAAACAAGGCAACAAGCCTTTGATGATAAAATACGAAGATTTAAAAAAAAAAGTTAAGCCGACAGTTCAAACGCGAATTCTCAAGCGTCTTAAGGGGCCCTGGGCAAGTTGGAACTTGTTTACATAATCTTGGCAGAGCTTGGCATGTAGTACTCCGTACAAACGCCACACTTTTTTTAGTGCCCATTTTTGGTCTCAGCCCTGGAAGAGGTGGATCGGAACATCATTATTCAGAACTTTTCAAGGAATGTTTGACACCTAGGCAACCTTTGAGCTATGGATTATATACATTACCAACCTCTTGTCTTTCACAACACACTATATCCTTATCATCTTGAGGGCTGCTTCGTATATTAGACATTAATTAATATACGACGATGTCGGAATTCAATAGAATGACGCATTCTCCACATACTATCTCCCTATAAGGATGCCAAGGATGAGAGGCGGGAGGTCAGGTATCCGATCGACATTATTGGTCAATGATAGTCAGGACCAACCAACAGGATGCCGTATTTTGGTGTGGATATTGTTGGCATGAGGTCTTGTTTTCGCTTATTCTCATCGGATGCTGGACACTCTGGGGAGTACTCCATAGGTCAATGTACGAGGTGTGTTGTATATGGGACTTTGAATGAGGTCATTTTTATTTTTGGAACGGCTTCACACATGTCCTACGGAATACAACATCTGTGTACCTAGACGCTTCTCGGTGTTTTGGCCGTGGATTTTCAGGTCCACTCTATATCCGCACTTGTGGCTATGCCTGTGGCTATTATTGCCACAATCTATCATGGATATTACGGGTGCCTACCTGTCCAGGTGTTTTCTCCAACCTGACTCATTGACCATATGATATCCAAGGAGGCTGCAACGTGGAAGTATTGCCCCTCATAATGAGGTAACTATTGGTATCCTGAACGTGATACTTTGGGAACACAAGGCATACGATGCAGTGTTGGAGGCGTCCATCTACATCAATGTAGATATCAAGGAGATGAACGTGGCGGCTTCGTTTGCCTCTGAAGATCTGAGGGCCAACAGCGCTAGTCCAAATGCCCAACCCTTACACAAGAAGTAAAGGAAGCGCAATATTACACACCATCTCCCACGTCATCAAGTTCGACCAAAGTATCTTCGGGTTTCATGTTAGTACAGCCGCATTCTCTTTGGGTATTTTTATCTTTCCCCACTGACCACAAGTCCTTTTTACTCGATAGAGAGATACATGGGGCATTCTCATCGTCATTGGGATGCGTCCAACAAATGGGCAAACCATGTTTATTTTTGGTCGGATTGGTGCGACGACGCCAGCTTGATTGCCGAGTACATTGTTGTTTGCAAGACCGCTTGTGTGATCATATTCCTCTACTTTACCAATGGATTCGTGGTGCAGCTTCCCATGATAACCGAATCCTGCGGATGCTGATCGCCTTCGTAGTAGTATTTCTGGATTAAACCACCACAGTACTTCGGAGCATTTGTTATTTGGATCGCCACGTTGAATATGACGATTGACCATGAACTACAGGTACGCTATCTACTGGCTACTATGCCTGACGGCCAGCAAGTCCCCAGGCTATGATTACCCGAAACAACCCTGAATGCCCGACCATACTACCCAATCTACCTCTTCACTCCGTACACTTGGTAACAGTCACAGTTGGCTCCGCGGTCATTTTTTTTCCTGCGTAGTTCTTACATTCCAATACCCGGGATATTTCAACTCTACACAATGCTCAGCAGATGGCCCTTCGTTTTGACCAAATTATATAGCGGCATGCACACGGCCATCGAACTTCGGCTCAGCGATGAACTTGGAGCGACAGTTGACCCCAATTCCCCATCCCCACAAACTCCAAGGCTCGACCCACAAAATATTTAGAGAAGAAATGCTTCTCATAATAGGTCTCCACATGCACAGCCACTTCAGCACCTTCAGCCGCCCATCAGCCAGAAATTTCCCGAACAAATCTACGACGAGATCCGCCATTCTCACAGGCATATAACTGATGCCACACCAACTCAGAACCTGGAATATCTCATTGTTGAATATGGTCATTGTGTCACCTAGAGTGATCGATGGATGGCACGACTAGGGGGCATTGTCTTCAAATCGACCAACTCCTACCGTATCAGATCGCTCCTCTTCCATTTACTTACGGCTATCGCGAATAGCTAGCGTTCGCCGCCCTGCTGTCGATGCCGGATTCATCCCCGTTTGTCTGCCAGATGCAGAGGATTGATGGTGAGTTGTTTACTGTCCGCCATATCGAGGATCCGACATTCTCCACGTTTGTGCTATTCGAGATGCCGAGGACCTTTTGTGCCTTACTTTTTGATTAGTGCATAGAATCGCAGAAGCGATGATGTGGAATTATTTGATAAATTGCCTCTGGCATGAAACTATGTTAAGCTAGATATATCCATCAGTTTCAATATCTACAGAAGCTTATACTTCACGGCCACGGCGATGCAAATGACCATGAATGCCGCAAAAGAACCGACAATACCAAAGAACCACGCCAGCCCATGATCATTCTGGCCCGGCACAGGAACGTTCATTCCCCACAAACCCGTAACCAGGTGACACGGCACAAAGATGGTAGCCAGGAGAGTAACCTTACTCAGACCAGAGTTAATAGTCAAACTCAATCGGAGATTAGTAGCGCTCAGCTGGGCCAAATAATTTGCCTGGGACCGACCGATGATCTCATCGATATGTCCAAGCGTCGACAAAGTTGTGACCAAATGGTCCTGGACATCGCCGAGGTATAGAAGTAGATCACCGTCAGGAAAAACAGGATGCTTATCGGGAGATTGGCAGCGCTTCACATATCCGCTCAACACGTCGACCTTTCCATTGAGGCAGCGGATGATGTGAGTAATTTTCTTGCGCAGGGCATCGACCTGGGGAATAAGAGCTTGAGCATCGTCGATGCGACTGATGAACACTTGATCCTCGATTGCTTCGGACTCGCGCTCCGCGTCCCGGACAAATGGCTCGAAGCTGTCGATGATGTCGTCTCTATGGATTGATTAGCATAAATGAATTCAAAAGGGGGCTCCATAACCGGGCATTTGATTGAACACACATCATTGCATAACAGACCCAGTCACTGGTTAATATAGCAGGATTATGCCTTTTGCAAATCCGCTCTCGCACCCGAGCCACATGCCCGCACCCACTAGGCGAAAAGGTGACGACGCCATATTGGAACACAAGAATGTATAATGCAGCCGAGATGGGAATTCCCGATCGCTCCTTGACTTTGTTGGTGACGAGAGTCTGGAACGAGATCAGATAGTAGTTCTTGTAGACGTCGACTTTCTCCCGAGGCTCACGAATAGCAATGTCCTCTGCCGTCAGGGGGTGAATAGACAAGGCTTGGGAAACGGCGTCAACATCTTCTTCAGTGGCATCGCAGATGTCAATCCACCAGATTGGCTGGTTGGGATCTGGACGACTTTTATGCTTCTCCTGGAAGATGTGATCGATGTTTCCGCTAGGGAAAAGACCTTCCCAGGTAGATGAGGCGGTCGCTTGTCGCGTTTTTGACGAAAAGAAGCTAAATCGATCAGGCAGCGACTGGTCGATTTCCAGCTTCTTTTCTTCTTCGACCTCCATCTTGCTGGCTGTGTACCCCGACCGAGGCCATCAGATGTTTATCGAGGAGTGTTGCTCCGTAGTCCGGAAGATCAAAATTCCAATAAAAAGACAAATTTCTTCAACCCATTATAGTTCCTCGAGTTGAAATCTCGGGTACCTATCGAGAGTGCTCATAGGTGGAGAGGAGCAGGGGAAATTTAGGAAAGATTCCACGTGAAAGGCGTACCAGCCCTACCCGTTAGGCCCATGCGAAGATGAGCCAAGTGGAAACAATTTAGTATGACGTACAGAGTGCCCCGAATTTGCTGGGCATTTACGTTATGAATTTATTCTATTTTTCTTTTTTATCCTATAGAATTGCATAGAGAAATCATATATATTTTTATATTGGTTCTGGAGTGGAGGAAGGCCTATGTATTAAGTACATTGATATGTGTACCGTAGATCCTACGATCTTCATGCATATCGTTCGCGAAAAGTAGCCCATACCCCCCGCAAAGCGAAATAACATTCAAAAAATTCAAACTTCTTTTACTCCAATTGATATACCCAAAACGCCTTTGAAATGCTCTGCTTGGTGCACAGCGACATCATTCTGAGACAAAAAGAGAAACGTCAATGCATTTTCGTGGACTCGGTAGCGGTGTTTAGCATCATACTCGGTATCTTAATGCACGTTAGTGATTAAATAGAAGCAAGCACATTGAATACCTTCATACCATGGTCCGATCATCAATCTTTGATCTCCGACCGTCGAGACTCCATCTTTTGTTCGCGGTCAAGACTGTAGGACTTCCGTAATCGTGGATACACCAGTCCAAAGAATATGACGACCGCTAGTAGAATAAGAAAGGTAGGTAGAAACATGAAAATAAAGAGGAAGAGGCTCAATCCAAGGGTGACATTCTGCCCATGGAGGAACCGACGGGCCATCTCGAAGGAGGACATACGGTAGCCAAGCTTAGTAGGTGAATGACTTTTAGTTTGGGATAGAAAGGAATGTTGGAAATGATCTCATTACGCTCAACCCGGTCGCATATGTTTTACCCCGGATACTTAAATAGTTATGGAAGCGCCGGATGTGCACTGCCATCCCCAACAGTATGGCTTACAACATATGAGACCGTTTAACACAGCTAGTCCGTGCTTTGTGAATTGTTGATGCCTATGTCAAGTTTTTTTCGATCCACTTGGCGTCAATATTATTCACCCTACATAAAAGTGTACGTAAATTCTCACCGTACATACATACACCGTACGAAGTACAAAAAAGGTCTCCAATAATAAAATGTGGGCTTCTTTCTTTTTATCGAAAATCATCAATGCCGAGACTTGGCGTAACAGATTGTAGGCAACAGCATTTTACTCAACAATTCTCCCCCAAGGTGGTTCTCTAGAATCCTTTTCTTCTATGTCCTCCGTTTGAGATGGGAATATCCTAAAAAGAATCTTAGGCTGTTCAGTAAATTATGTAGCCTTTTTACCCATTAAATTATCCCCAATTACCCAAAAAAAAAACTCGAAGCTCTGCACTCAGCCCTAGCAGCCCATCTAGGCAATTTCCACCAATCCGATACTTGCACGTACCCGTAGTGGATCCCAGCCCTGTGCAAGTATCCCTTGTAGGAACAGCAACTATCCAGGTTTGACTGTACATATTTCCTGCAAATATTACAAGTGGGAACTCCCTTGAGTATGCAAAGGGGGCTCATAGAAACGGCAATTGGAGCCTACCGCGTGTCATTGGGTGAATTCGATGTAATAAAAACCTCATAGGGCTGAAGCTTAGCTTGCGGGGCTGACCGGCGCTTCCTGGAGCATAGGTGAAACTGAAAAGTACTTTGCACGTCGGATGAGAATTGTGAAATCCAATTGCGTACAAAGTGGCATAATTTTGACTGTACATCATGCATCGTAGAGTTGCATGTTGCAGGTAGAGCTGATCAGTTCTGGGTACAAAAGATGATGCATACCGTATCCTTGTATTTTCTCCCTAGTGGAACCAGAATAGAACAAAATAGAACAAAATTAATATAGTAATAATGACAATAATGACAATAATAGCGATAATCACAATCTTGGCTAATCTTCCCCCACATTTTCCTAAATTGTTCCCTCTGCAGATGTAAGTTTATCCTTCTACCACTTTAACTATTTGAACACCTGTCACTCTCCATCTTCTCAGCACGCCCTGTCTTCGCAATATGGCTCGACTCACAGGGTCTGACAATACTGATGAAGATGATAATGACAACCTCGGCGTGGATTGGGTACTACAATATGAATTTGGAAACATCGGTAAATAACGTGCATAGGATATCCTTGGCCTTCTGCATCTACTGACGATCATCAGATCAAGCTCAAGCCATTACAGAGTTTCAAACGCTTATCCACGATCTGAGCGAGGCTGGTCTTCGGGTTCAGGTTCGTCATGGTCACGGTGCAGCGCTATTAGTTTGCATCCGGGTTCCGCGGGATCATCTGGGGAATTTAGTACACCAGTCAAGGTAAGTCGGATTTGAACGGAATCTTGAAACTAAGACGATATCATTTTGGAACAGTCAAGTAACACCGGTGAACATCGCAGAATTAAAGATTGGCTGTTCGGAATTACCCATACCTTACCGGATGGCGACGAAACAGCTATCGCTGACGCCGATACACCATCCGAAGAGATCCGATCAGTATACCACGCCGTCACTTGGCAAAAGAAAATAGGAGGCGCCGGCATCACACCAGGTTTTGGAAAATGGGAGAACGTTACTGCCTCGTTTCCGTTACACGACCAGGAGGCCTGTGCCGAAATGCTACGCCAATGGAATCGAAAAACTGTATTAACGACTAGTGATCTGGATGCGATTCGAGCCTTATTTGGCGAAAAGGTAGTTTTTCCAGCTCAGCCGGTCTTGAGTTGGCTATGTGGTGATATTGTGATGAATAGCTAACCCTGCGTAGGTCGCTTTCTACTTCGCTTTCATTCATTGCTATTCGCTATTCCTCGTGGTCCCCGCAGGATTGGGAATTTTCGGATGGCTATATCTAGGTCCATATTCCATCGTATATGGAATTGTACTTTGCACCTGGTGCATTGTGTTCGTTGAATATTGGAAAATTCGAGAGGCCGATTTAAGTCAAAGATGGGATGTCAAAGGTGTTGGGCAATTGAAAGTGAATCGCAAGCAGTATGTGTGGGAGAAAGAGGTCAAAGACCCAATTAGTGGCCAGGTGAAACATGTCTTCCCTAGTTGGAAGCAGTTCTCACGCCAAATGCTTTTGGTTCCGTTTGCTTCTGTTGCGAGCGTCGCCCTCGGAGCCTTGATTGTTGCGTCCTTCGCATCGGAGGTGTTCATATCCGAGGTGTACGACGGTCCATTCAAGGAGTATCTAGAATTTGTACCCACTGTTTTGTTTTCGCTATCCTTGCCCGCCATAACCTCATTTCTCACGAGCATCGCAACCCGCTTGACCGAGTACGAGAACTACCGAACGCAAGATCAATACGATCTTGCCCAGACTCAAAAGAGTTTTGTCATGAATTTCATCACCTCTTTCCTCCCCACGATATTGACCGCCTATGTCTATGTTCCTTTCGGCAAACAGATCGTCCCACACCTCGACATCCTCCGAGGACTCGGAGTAGGCGTGGTCGGTGGGCAGAAGGAATTCGAGGTTGATACAAGCAGATTCCAGCAAGAAGTGATATATCTCTCCATGACGGCTCAAGTGATTGGCTTCGGCGAGGAGATCATCCTACCATATGTGAAGCATGTTTTGACGCAGAAGTGGCAAAACTATCGGGATCGAAAGGGAGAATACAGTCGCAAGCGAAAGTATTCCACAGCGACCGACATGTTCTTGGTTGACTCGCCAGAGGAAGCGGCATTTATGACCAGACTGCGTAGCGAGGCCGGCGCAGACGAATACCATGTGGAGGAGGACATCATGGAGATGTGTGTGCAGTTTGGCTATCTCGCATTATTTGGAGTTGCCTGGCCACTGGTACCGCTTGGCTTCCTGCTGAACAACTGGCTGGAGCTGCGGGGTGACTTCTTCAAGCTCACGCTGGAGTGCCAAAGACCACCACCAATCCGGTCGGACTCGATCGGCCCATGTCTACTGGGGTTAGATTTCTTGGCTTGGCTGGGGACTTTATCTACAGCAGCCATTGTGCACATCTACCGGGGTCCTATTTCCGAGGTACGACTCTCTTCACTTCTGTTGACGCTATTTGTCGCCGAGCAGGTCTACCTGGGGATGCGATTCACTGCCTCTACAGCCCTTGAGAAGATCTTTTCAGACACGATTCGAAGAGCAGAGGCCAGTCGGTATGCTGTGCGCAAGAATTATCTTGCTGCTAGTCTGTCGAGAAACTCCTCCCCTAGCTCCGGCTCCCAGGGCTCGCCAAACGGTCGGACCCGTCACCGGGTGCGTTTCAGCGAACGAGTCAATGTATACAGCTCGAACGAAAAAGATCTATCGACCGAAGATCCTCCATCTCCGATCAAAGAGGAGCCGGGGAACGATGTGCTTCGTGGTTCCGACCGTGAGGCCCAATTCTGGAGCGCACATTCAGGGGACATGGCAGACGCGGGCGTCAAGCTAATTCGTGCATTAAGCACATCCAAACTAGAAGGGGCTAAATCTTCCAAAGAGGCATAGATATTTAGACCTATGTAATTTCTTTTTTACGCCATATTTTTGGTTTTTATTACATTGCTGCCTGCGTGTTTCTATGTATAGATCGCCAGATCACTAAATTGGCTTTAGTGCTTGGTCATGTAGGCAGTAAGCAAGCATTGATACCTAGTTGAGGGATCATACTTGTGGGGACTCATTTCCACTAATGAAATTATTTTAAATCAAACTGCTCCGCACGTTATACGAGGAGTACGTATGTACACATCCAATGGTCCCCTGCTCATCAAAGCATATCTTCAGCCCTATAGGGCTATGCCAAGGCGGCTATTTCGATCCACTCGTGACCTTTGAATGGCCCCGGGGGATTCCCTGGTCTTACCGCTTGCGTGTCTTTCCTCCTTGTCTCCTTGTCTCTTTGTCTCTTATCCTCCTCTCTCTTCTCGTTAATTAGATTTTCGGCCAACCCTCTGAACCTGGTTGTACAGAGCATCGGCATGGATAGCGTTGTGTGAACTTCTCATTCCTACGGTTACCGGCTTACGACTTTTAAAATGATGACTCCTACCGCCTCCTCTGACACTCTAATAACTCCTTCGTCTCCCGTCCGCGTCTCAAAGTCGACCCCCAAGCCCACATCCATGGCCATGGAGATGGACTTGCTATCACCAGCCGAGTCCCCACCACCCGCGATCTCAAAACTCCTCCGCGAAGCTAGTGACATCACATGGCTGGAATCCCAGGAATCAAAAAAAGGCCAAATTGTACTAGTCCGGCGAAGGGGTCGATTCCGCTTACTGCACCAGCAGCAATTCAAAAACAGCTTGCTCGCTGGTGTCGGGTACCTCGAGCTAGCGAACGCCGCCGACTTCGCTGCCAACGTCTGGAACGAGATCCCCGTTCCGAAATTTGCTGCTGTGCTGATGGGAATTGGGGGTACACTGGCCTTGGGAATGGTGTTCGTTGTTATTTATGATTTTCGACTGAGCTGGATAAATGTTAAACTGCTGCGAGCGGAGCGGGCTCGCCTGCAGCGTCTGCGACAATACCATGACAAGAACGCAGAGTTGGTCCGCCTCATTGACAGCCGTCTTGGGGTGGGAATGCGTGAAATTGGCACTGAAGTGATTGACCGGATCGTGATGGATGTGCTGATGGGATTCGGCTCGGTGTTGGTCGGCGTTGGAACTCTGATGGCCATTGGCGGTGCCAACCCTCGGGTCTTCAAAGCCAGTAATCTGCTTTCTGGGTATATTGGAAATAGCTTGGCTGCAATATTTGGCCTTGTGAATGCCATCTGGTCTGTCTATCTCTTTTACCGGTTCCATATGCACGATGTTGCTGCGTCTGCCCGCGAACCCAGTGATGACATCCGTCGTCGTCTACATACTCGCTTCCATCGCTTCCAATGGCATGCTGGTATCAATGGATTCAATGGCATTGTTGCTGGTGCTGCTTCGATGGTCACTGCTAAGCATTGGTGGGGATACGTTGTCCTGATTCCGTGTATTATCTCTTTGGTGTTATGCAACTATTTCTGGAGGATAAAGCTGGGCTATGACCGCCCACTCCTTGGTCATGCATTACCTACAGAAATACAGGTGACCCCGCTCATTGAAGATCTACAATATGTGATTGTAATGCAGCGAGCTCTTGCCGACCCTGAACATGCCCTACCGCAGGCCATTGTGCAACCCAAATCCTTGGACTCGATTCTTCGTTTCATTGTCCGTGAAAATATGCTCGAAACATACTGCGAGTCCCTCGCCCGCGACAAAAGCACCCGGCATCTACTTGCCGCATTCCCATCTCTAGACGCATCCCCAGACCAAATCAACGTCTCTCTCGACACCCTCTTCAGCCTTCCTCCCAGCCACCTAGATCCCATCTTGAAGCACGCAAAGAAATTCCTGCGAACAACCGGTGTCCGTGTCTTCACGCATCGCGAACGCTACCTGCTCGAGCTTCTGGGTTACGCTATCTGTCGGGATCACAAAAGCGCTACGACAACGACACGAAATGACACGATAGAGCACGCTTAATATCTTTGGGGCCCCATTCTATCATTGTCTCATCACATCACCTGGGCCCCACGAGGTTGAAGGGAAATGGCCGGCGGCTGGTCGCCAGTTGATCTTCATTCTGTTGCATATTTGCATTGCATTGTGGGATTCCTTCTATTACCCTAGAAATGCTAGACTTGAGGTTCTAGCATGAAGTAGGTATCCTTATTCTTAATATATTGGAGATTAATTGTGATAACCTTCATATCAATATCATGCTTGCCGCGATGACCCCCCGCTGCGCACCACCGTCCCAGATGCCAAACACTGAGGTTTGTATAGGAACCGCGCCTCGCTATCTACCTGAGAAGCAACTCCTAGAGATATTAAGCGTCAAGTAGGTATAACCCCTCTCTTCCTTACTGGGCTCCTCTCTTGGGTTCCCCTTCATCAACCTTTCTTCCACTGTTTATATTTACGACGTAATGATTCCCCGGCTACTAAAATCCCCAGGTCAGCTTTGGATATCTCTAGGTACAATATAAAATTAGACCGAACACGAGATATTCCATAGCGACTACATGACTGAAGTACAATTTGATTTGGTGGTTTGGATGGAAAATCCAATTCAGAGCAAGTCCATCAGCTAACGCAGATAATCACAAAATAGAAAAACAAAACAAGTAAGTAGTTGTGTTTGAAGTGTGAAGGCTCTGATTTCGAATAATATCTGGATGTTACTAGCTAAGGTAAGTACCTCAGTACCTAGAATTCAGGTTCCCTTTTGTAGAAAACCCTCCATAGGACAGTAAAGTTTTCCGGGTCATCATATGCTACATAGTACTTTCCCTAAATAGGAACTGTTCTATATATAACAAAGAAGGATGTATATGTTCTCTATTTCTTTTTGGTGTACAAAATATTCCAATATCAACATCATGCCAGAACCCAACTTCCACCGGCTTAACAGTGTACAGTCTAGAAACTAAACAGTCCACTGCGGGCCTTTCCATATGGATAAACCACCAGTGCAGAAATGAACAAACCAATCGTAATGCCAATAGCCACCTGGATCATACCAAACCCTAGACTAAAAACAGAATTGCTGGACTGCAAGCCAGCCCCAGGCGCTGAACTACTGGCACCAGGAGTCCCGACGTTATGACGAATTTCATCGGCGGACTCCACACCCGAGATTAGAGATCCCGTCGCAGCAAGCCCAGACGGAACCAGAATGAAAATGGCAGGTAGAATAGCGGTGGCAGCGTGGCCATGCCAAAACCGGCTGTACGCGTTTCCCATAATGCCGACGACAAACGCGCCAACTGTATTCGCGACCTGGGAGTTAGATCCCAGTTTTTTCGTGCTGAAGTAGTTGCTAATGTAGCCTGCCAATGCGATGATGCTCATGGGCGGGAGCTGTTTCCATTTTCCTTGGTTGATGATCAAAAGCCAGATTGTCTGGACCGCAACAAATGGGAACCGTTGAACATAAGGATTTTTGAAGGCGCCCTTGTCCGGACAGGTGGTCTCGGATACCGCATTGTTGTCTATCAGCCCGTAAATGGTTGTGCCAACGGTAATTCCATATCCAATGAACAGCGAGAAGAGGAGAGCATAGACCATCCGAATCGAGCCAGCAATGATCTGATGGGACTGAAGTTCCAAGCTACTGCAAAGAACAAGGAATCCTGGCAATATCAATGCAATGGATGATTGTGCGATGGCGGAAAAGCAAAAGAGGTACTGTGGCTTGCCATTCGCAACTCCGATTCTGATGCTGCCGAAGGCTCGGGCGAGGAAGGACGTCAGCACTGTCGATGTCACTTCAAAGACATTTGAATACAACACAGAACGAGGTGCGGCCACATGTTGCATTAAACCGACAAGAATACCATTGAGGAAAATGATCGGCATGTCAATTGGCCTAGCACTGAAAGCAAAAGGTCCCACAGTTGTAGTCGCTAACCCATAAACCAACACAATGAGAGCCTTGTGATACAGAGGCTTTTTCTTGATGACTGCATCCAGCTCCTGAATGGCCTCTTCGATGCCGATCACATCATGGATCACGTTCTTGTAGATGAGATGTGTGTCTGATAGGCGAGCCAAATCAATTCCCTGGGCTACGCGGACCAGCTTCACCTCCGTCGTTCGGGTAGAAGGGTCATCGAACGACATAATCATGCAGCCTGGCAGATATAGGAACTGACTATCAACCTCCAACACCTTTGCGGTCATCTGCATGTATTCTTCAAGTCTATGCGTGGGAGCACCGAATAACATCAACGCTCTGCAGAGCTGCATGATATACCGCTGCCGACAGATAATCTCTGCGATGTGCACTGTCACTCGAATTTCATCCTCAAGCCGCACATTGCGACCACCGCCACCACCACCGCCGGCTACGGCAGCAGCACCACCACCCTCTTTGTCGCGGCGCTTCGAGGCTTGTGACAGGATCTCACTTGAAACCGGCGTGCTTGCACCACTGAAGGTATCCGCGCCCCCACCAATCAAGGTCGATGTTGACGTATTTTGAGGCTTTTTATACCATTTCAGTGGCTTTCCCTTCTTGGGCTCTGGGGTTGGGGCCCCGCTGGGGGCTGATTCTGTGCTGCGGGATGAGTCAGTTGATGTTCGAGACTGGTCTCCAGCACCTTGTTGCTGACCACCTTGCAATTTAATCAACTGCGACAGGATCCCACCGCCGCCAGAGCGGTATCTCAAGCTCGCATCTGCTCCTGTCTCATTCTCTTCGTCTTGAAACTCGTTTCCGGCGTGAGGATAAGGCTTTCCACGACCTTTGCGGCGTTTTTGCGAATGATCTTGGGTCAAATCTCGCACCAGGCGATGAGCTTCGGAACTTGTTCCTTTCTGGCCCCGTTGCTTCGTCTCCACACTTTTATGCTTATCATCTGTCATGTCAGAGAGGGCAACTGCACCACCGGTCGCCCAGTCCGCGTGATACTTCCCGGCTGATAAGTCGTCTCCCTCCGCCTGTGGGCGACCCAGACGGTCACTAAAGTTCGATGCTTTCTGTCTCCAATTCCTGGTCACAGCTCGCCATCTCTCCAACGTGGATCGCTGTTCGGGAGTCTCGGGCTCTTTCTTCTCATCTTCCTTCTTCTCATCTTCTGGTGGCTTGAGCTGGTCTTTCCTTTCGACGCCTGCCTCGCCATCTTTCTCATCTGGCTGTGACTCGCGATCTTGCGGCGGCGTATCGGCAATATCCGCAGACTCATGGGAGTATGGCATTGTCGGTCGATGAGGCTCCCCTTGACTCTGAGCATGCTCCCATTCTTCCCGGGGACCTTCTGCCGGCGGGGTATGCCGAGCGCCTTGCATGAAACCCGCATTTGATCGAAACTGAACCCGGGGTGACGGTTGCTCGTCTTGTGGGCTGGTTTGAGGTGCATCCTGCCAAACTTCGGACGAGCTTGTATTCTCTGGGTCCGATTCATCGCCGAAGCTGCTGATGGATGCTTCCGACATGAAGGCGACGCGTGGTTTTCAGTCCTTCGCCAACATCTAGCCTCAGATTGTTTGGGAACAAATGAGTCAGTGGATTTTGACTCTTTTTTCCAGCGAAGAATTTTGAACCGCACAAAGTTTCTCTAATATCAGGATTTCCCTGTCAAATTGGACTATCATAATTGCTAGATGAGCTCACGCAGACGTGATTGGGGTATACGTGTGAACCACGGTCGGCAATCAAGGAATTTATTTTCGCGCAGATCAATAATGTGAAGAAATCATCAACTCAGCGGGATTCTCAGCCCTTTCCGCCAGTGAGGTATTGTTTGCTGGTGTTGCCTCATCGGAAATCTATCCCACGCAAATCTCGGACTTACAGATTTCTCGCCACCCAAAGTTGTGCTTAATATCATCATGTAATTGCAATAGAAAGATGTGATAGTAATGTGAAAGAAGCAGAGTTTAAAAGTTCGGTTATTGGCAAATCTCTATCTTTGATGATTCCAATATTGTTGGTTGTATATAAGCAACCTTGAGCTCCTTTTATAGTCACAAATTGCACGATGCGCAAGTTTCTAAATAGGAGACTTTCCATACCAAAGCTGGAAATTCTTTCAATATCATAAGCCGTAGTTCGAAGACTTTGTTAATGATGATCTATCGTTAGTCCATCTCATACTATAGTATTTTTTTCACTCAGCGGAGCATAGAGGACAAGGCCCTTGTAACGTGGAAGAAACTTGAATTTAGCTGTAAAGCGCTCACGGATTCATACATCTGGAAATGAATGTATAGTATTTGCCAATGTAATGCCTAAGAAAGTGAAGCATGGTAGATAACATTGTCAGACATGGCGTGTCCTAATCGTAGGAAGATAGTCTCCGTTGCAACGACATAAATCAGATAGCCGGGGCATACTTCATGTTGCATAGCTACGGTTGGCACGGAAGCCCACATAAACACCCGTCAACCATTGATCGAATGCAAGGGGTGATGTGAGTGCTTGTGCCGATATTCAACCGATTACCCATGTGGCTCGAGTCTAGACCACTGGAAATATGTCAAATAACAGGTATTCTAACATTGATTTTGTACCGACGCCTGTTATAAGTGTATTATGTAGTTAGGCTATAATGGTGGAAGGAATCTAGATGTAACCTGGAAATTCACAGGTGATTTCGCTATGTATATGGAAATAACGAACAAATGGAGAGGCACGAGGGCATTCATGAAAGACTTCAACGCGCCTCCAGTTCGTTGGTGTTGAAACGACGGAAGGATAGGATGCGAAATCAACAATAGAGCCATCGCCATAGATTGTGCGTAAATCATAATTAAGCATAATTCAGTACCTCACTTCTACAAGGAGTTCAGCATATTGTAACAAACCCTGAAATCTCACCAGATCGACAAAGTGACAAGGTAAGTTGGAGCGACGACATGAGAAATAGTTTGCCCAGTACCCTACAAACCAGAGTCTTGCAAGGGGCGCCGATCATCCACGGTTTTTTCAACTGAGCCATTCAAAATGCACCGACAAGTCTATAAACATTCTTTATACAAGGTATCTCTGTATACATTCCAAGAGTGTCTGTTGAAAAACCTGACATATGACATGTGAACATGGAATCATTTGTATTAGTATCCATTCATCCACCGATTTCCCTCGGCGTCTTCTGTCTACTTCAAAATTGAGGTTGCGGTTTGTGGCTGATTGAATATGAGGGGTTTCTCTTATTTGGCAGTGGTAGCCGTTGTGTCTATAGCATCGGCGGCTATTGTGCCTTTACACCTGATGCATGCACTTTCAGCCACACTTGCTGATGAAGAACCGTCAAATAACGACAACATCTTTGATTGGGCTCTTGCTTTTTTGGCAGGTTTTATGGGTGCAACACCTACTGCTACTGTTTATCAATACTCGGGTACCGCAACTTTGTCGACTACAGCAAACGTTCTCACCACATCCGCGGGATTTCCATCAAAGGCTTCCGATGGGTCGACGGCCACCCCTTCGCCAAAGGTGGCTAGTTCTTCCTCGGAGATGACAAAGTCTACTACGAGAGCGTCTACGACGAATCCCGCGGCCGCAAATACTTTCGCAACAAGTGTAAAGACTCCATTGCCGGATCCGACCACCCAATCGACGAGTGCCAGTGCTCTGACTTCATCGTATGTGTTTTTAATGCTTTCATAGCGTTCTTGAATGCTGATCAACCTTTCTAGTTCAATACCTCAAAAAGGCCATTTGCTCGCTACTAAAACCTGTCCAGTCCCTACCAGCCAGTCACAGGAGACCTACTGGCTTGACGAGCAGGATCACAACGAACAAGGAGCAGGATTGGCTCCCTACGCCAAATCATCGTTGTATCCGGTGTATCGCAATGTGATGGATTACTCGGTCGTCAATGATGGTACTGGCAATCAAACCCCGAAACTACAGAAGGCCATAGACGATGATGGCGTGGGTGGCAGTCGCAAGGGCCAAGGTGTCACGCGTTATCCTGCACAGGTCTACCTTCCAGGCGGCGTGTACCAGCTTGAAAGCACTCTCAAGCTGACTGTGGGTACAATAATTGTTGGCAATCCGTTGAACCCGCCCATCATCAAGGCTGGGCCGGGATTCCGTGGTGACTATCTCATCATGGGGTACGATTCACACAACGGTAATCCGGAAACCAGCTTTGCAACGCTTGTCAAGAATGTAGTTCTAGATACGACCGCCCTCCAGCCGGAGCGCCACTTCACTGCTCTTCAATGGGGCGTTGCCCAAGGGTCGGGCTTGACAAATGTCAAGATTCGCATGCCGAAATCTTCCACGGGCCACACCGGAATCGATATCAACGCCGGATCAACAATTGCTGTTACAGATGTGGTAAGTAATCTAGAGGAGCCTCCGAGGCCAAGAAAAGAAAAAAGCAGCCTAACAAAGTATAGCATATTATGGGTGGTGTTATTGGGATCAAGAACTCCAACCAACAAGTCAACTTCAAGAAAATCTATTTCGAAGGTTGCAGAACAGCTTTCTCCGCGGCAGGTGGGTGGACGGTGCTGCTTCAACAGGCAACCTTTGATCGCTGCGGCACTGGTATCGATATGACTGGCAACGGATTGGGTAGTCTAGTACTTCTAGATTCCACTTCCACCAACACAGGGCCAGTAATCAGATTCTATGACTCGTCCCATGATTCCGGAAACCAAAATAGCCAGTTCCTCATTCAGAACCTCAAGCATGATACTTCGAACGCTATCGCCGTCGACGCTCAAGGCAAGGTAGTGCTGGCAGCTACCTCTTATATCGATACATGGGTCTGGGGTACTGTCGTGCCACAAACTTATCAAGCTGGGGCGAGCTCGCAGACAAAGCGCCCGGCACCCCTGCTGGTTGGAGACAAATACTTTACAAAGGCCCAGCCTACCTATCAAGACTACAGCACAGCAAATATTGTCAATGTGAAGACCGTATCTGGACACACGGTGAAAGGTGACGGTAAGACTGACGACACCAAAAGTCTGAACGCTATCCTGGCTCAAAATGCCGATTCGTGCAAGATCACATACATCCCCTTCGGTGTATATCGAGTCTCAGACACTCTCTTTGTCCCGGTCGGAACCCGCATTGTCGGAGAAGCATGGCCCGTCATTTCCGGATATGGCGAGAATTTCAAGAATTCTAACAATCCAAGACCCGTCGTTCAACTTGGCGATTCCGGCGACGTCGGTGTGATTGAAATTCAGGACATGCGATTCTCCGTTGGCGAAGTCCTCCCGGGAGCCAAGATCATTGAAATCAATGCTGCAGGTGATCAGCCTGGCGATGTCGGTCTTTGGAACACGATGGCGACGGTCGGCGGCACCGCTGACACTAGTATCTCCAGTACTTGCACGTCACAAGACACCAAGGATTGCATGGCAGCATTTATGGTAATGCATTTGACCGAAAGCTCGTCCGCATATATTGAGAATTTCTGGGGATGGACTGCCGATCACAATCTTGATAGCAAGTCATCTCTCACTATTATCTCAACTGGCCGTGGAATCTTGGTCGAATCCATCAAGGGTACCTGGCTGACGGGAACCGGTTCTGAGCATCACTGGCTATACAACTATAACTTCCACAATGCTCAGAACGTCTTCGCGGGTCTTCTACAAACAGAAACACCGTATATGCAAGGTCGGGGTGAGTATCAGGCAGCGCCAGCGCCTTGGACAGCCGTAGCCAAATATGGCGACCCTGATTTCTCGTGGTGTGCTGCAAACGACCAAAAGTGTCGAACTGCGCTAGCTACAAATGTCGACGGCGGGTCCAACATTGCGCTCTACAACTCAGCGGCCTGGGCCTTCTTTGACGGGTACTGGAATGGTCTGTATAATGAACCTTGCAACGGGAATTGCCAAACCAACATGATGCGGGTGACAAATGATCCTCAAAACCTGGTTTGGTACTCGATCAGCACGCGCATGACAGACGTGATGGTGTTTGATGGGAAGAGCAATCCCCATGCATCGGACCATAAAGGCGGGTGGGAATCCATCATTCAGGTTTATGGCCAGTTTATAGCGTGATATTGTGTTTATTGCCTTAATCCTCACTGGACATATGAATTTTGACATAGTAATTTAGATAGATCATAGACAATTATTAATGAAAGGGTTCAAGAACAATACTTACTTCCAAAATGTAATGCGTACCATTAGTCACAAAAATGCAACCCCCATGGATACTTTCAAGTTATCCAAGCATGTTCTATTCCGACGATCTTTTGTTCTCGCATTTCCTTGTTTCTTTTTTTTAAGTGTCGCCACTTCACGTGATTTTGTTCATGCCTCAGGCCAAATAGTGGATTCCGGCCTACAAAAATACTTTGTACCTTTGTACATCGCCCCTCGGCAACCAAGTCCACAGCCAGTCATGATTCAGTAGGGTGCTTTACTGTCCCTTTGCCATAAAGGCACTCAAGCCTGCTACATGACGCGTCATCGAAGCTCTTGGCTATGCCCAGCCCCAAATGCAACAGGGTGCGATATACTTGGAAATTACGAGTGGGCGGTTTATTCCAATTATAATGACGGACGCCGAGGCTAGTTTATCCAATCCAAGAGTCGACCCACTGTATCGGCAAGACTCGGTTTCATACCATTGTCTGCCACTCATGTAACTTACGAGCAGTTGATCAGTAAAGATCTTCCTCCAAGCCACCCCTTGGGGTCTGATTACGTGTCGGGATGATGCCGCCCGCGTTGTCTCTGATGGGAATCAAGTTGTTAGGACCGCCAAGGCAGCAAAATACCCAAAATATCACAACGGACTTTTTATTTTAGCTGCAGGCTGTGCTGCATTGCGCAAGGCCAATCAAGCTTATGCGAGAATATGCTAGAATATGCACGTCTAGATCTTACAGATGTTTTCCGGGAGGGACTAGGGCCTTGAAACGGCCCCATAACTTGCGCCCTCATTACAAAGTGGAGCCCGATATGACGATGTTATTGCCCAAAGGCGTATGGCGGGAAGCCTGCCGCAGTTCTCTAACATGGCACTGGCCCGTAGCCCTGAATGGGCCCTACGATCGACATGAGAATCGCTTTTCACAAGGCTGAGGTCATGTCGCCACTGCCCGGCTGTCCAACATGCGCAATCAAACTCCGAGGTTTCTATCTATAGGAACCACCCATTATCCAAGTATACATAAAGACTACCTTTCCCCCGGATTTCCAGTTAATTCTTTCATTCCCCAGACTCGACTATTTATTTACTTTGTACAATCCAAGTCACAACAACACCCTTCCAATCAACCGTTTTTTTTTTTCCACCCATCAAAATGAAGTTCACTCTGATCTCCTCTGCCCTCTTCCTGGCTACCGCTGCCATGGCCGCTGATGTGCCCGCTGATGCGAGCTCCATCGTCTCCGACGTCGAAGGCGTCTACTCAACTGCTGTCGGCGGCGGGCAATCCATCGGATCCGACGTCGCATCAAAGGCCACCTCTCTTGCGGAAGCCGCGAGCACCAGTGGAGCGGGTCTTATCTCATCTGCTCGAAGCGAAGCTTCATCCCTAGGCTCTGCTGCCGCCAGCGAAGCCAGCTCTATCAGCTCTGAGGTCACTAGCCGGGTTGTTACCGCAGTTTCAGCTCTCACTACCCAGACCGACTCCACCGGATCGGCTATCACTACCGAGTCCACTACTTTGATTAGCACATCCACCGGGTCTCCTTCCAGCTCGACCTCCGCCTCTGACAATGCCGCCTTCGCTCGTCCCACTGCTGTTGGCGCTGTTGCTGCTGGTATGGCCGGTGTCCTTGGTGTCATGGTTGCACTGTAAAGTGCTGATACCTTTCTCCGTTGATTCCGGATTTGATTTCAGCATGATATCCACTACACCTTTTCCTCACGACTTTCCTCGGCTATTCTGGCGTTCTCTTTGAAGCTGCACATATACCTCGGCTGTACAACCTACCTTTTGGTCGGCCATCTCGACTATACCAATTCATCCAATCTACTGGTGGTCCCAGGACCAATGGGCATATTCTATAGCATTTTTATATCCAATTAAACACTTTTTTACTGGATCTCCCACGCTAGTCTTCTTTCTCGGTATATAGAGCGAGCAGATACATGACTTCAAATCCTATTAACTAAAAGCAACACCGTGAGCTAATAAAGAGGATCCATTAAGCAATAGTAATAAATATTCCAATAACCGGGTACAGGTTTCACATGGTGAACACAAAAGGAAAAGACAAAGACCCGCCCGACCATCATGGCAGGGATCTAGGAATCGTTAAAGGTTTTATCATCTACCAGACACAGTAATAGCTGGTGCCCAGAAATTCTTCGGGCCAAGGTATGCAGCAGTGACTCCCGTAGATATGGCCCTGGTGTGGGGGCTAAACCTCCCTGGCCGTCGCCTCAACCTTTTTCATGAAGGCGTCATTACCCAGCTTCTGACAGAAGATGTGGGTGATGATAATCCTGAAGTATCGGTATCTTTTTGCGGGTCAGTTCTTGTTTCGTAACTCCAGCTCTTTTCCATCCAACTCCTACTAAAATATCAGCTTGCCCATAGATGAAGTTGCGCACATATGGTCCTCCATGCGGTTCAGCAGACTCACCATCTCCTCGGCCTGGTTGTTGGTGTTTCCCATCTCAGTTTGTATATTTCGCCTCTGAGTTCTGCCCCGATTGTCAAGGTGTTGGATGAAGTACCCAGGTATGAAAGAATATCAGCGAGCACCTCAGTCAATTCTCCAATTGAAACTCGAAACTTAGTTCCTAGTCTCTATAATCTGTAGTGTAGCGACTTAGAGAGGGCTGCTACCATTTCGATATCTTAGAATTAAGGGCAATAACGGGCAAAAAATGAAGACACTAGGGGAAATGCTTACAGGACCAGAATTTATGATTTGTGAATACAACGTAGAAAATACACCTCCTTCATCTGAAGAGAAAGGAATTCAACCATAAATTATTATTCCTTATGATCCAAAGATGCGGGTTCGTCGGTAGAGAATAGATGAGGAACTGGAGCGAAGCTATTGTCTGAAACAGTAGAAGTATTCTCGCCGACAGTCATCTGGGGTCCGGTGTACCATCGCCGTGCAAAAAGGGAATAATAAGCCATACAACCGAACCAAACAAAGCCGTTGATTACGACGGTGTAATTCATGTTCGGTGCTACCGGTAAGTAAATCGTTAGCCATCCGATGGAGCGGTCTTCCAGTGTTCAAATACATACGAGTTGGGCTGGGACCCTCGGTGGGAAACATAGACAAGATAACACCGAAAAGAAGATAGACAACGGCCACCCAAGCAATGGGCCTGCTGAAGGGGCCGGTATAAAACTTGCCCGGGATGAACCGATCCTCACCCCAGACCAAGCGGCAGAAGATCGGGGTACCCCATGATAGGTAGTTGCTTGCTACAAATAGTGAGAATAGGGCGTTTGCGGCTGCTGAGTTAATCAGACATAGCAGACCCAACAGGATAGAGACAACTACCAGGCCACATATCATGCGCACTGGTTGGTACTGGATGCGCTTACTGACGTGACGGAAGAACCTAGAAAATGGCAGTGCGCCATCACGAGAAAAGGCCCATGCTTGGCGAGAAGCAGCGACAATTAAGCTGAGACCAATGAGGAACTGAATGACGCAGAGTACAGCCATGAATGCCAATGCACCGTCTCTTCCTAATGCATCATAGTAAATCTGAGCCATTGGCTGACCGAACTTGGTGCTGATTGTCGCGCTTACATCCGGGTTCATAGTAGCAGCAATGACAGACAGTACCAAGAAGCCAAGCACAAATGCAGAGCCCGCCGACCAGATGATTCCGAGAGGAACAGCCTTGGATGCATGAAGAGCTTCTTCGCTCATGTGTACACAAGAGTCAAAGGAGCCTATTGACCAGATCGGAGCGAGCCATGCCAGCATAAATGCCCATCCAGTCGGCCATGTGGTCTCATTATCGGTATGACCATAGACATACTGGCCCGAGTTGAGGGATCCACCTCGCGTCACTTTTCCAACTGGCAGAGCGATGACAGTTGCAACAACGAGGGCAATGTTGATATAGATGCAAAATGTCTGGATTTTTGGCATCGCGCGTCCACCCAAGGAGCCGCATAGCCCATGGAAGAGTATTAGACCGACGTAAACCGCATAGATCACGCCGCGCGAGGCGGACCATCCATCTCCCCGTGATATAGAGACACAGGAGAGGATCATGAGTGCGAGGGTGTCTGAACAACAAGAGTAAGTAATGTGATTGATGGCAACGGATATGGATCGTCCTCACAGTCCACCGAACATATGCCACCGATCAATCCCAATGTGTTGCTATATCCAATCAAGAAACTCAATGGGCTCTTCCATTTCGGTCCAGCGAAATAATGTGTCCACCAATAGAGTCCTCCGGCTGTGGGCATGGCAGACGCGAGATCAGCCTAGATAATATCAGTGGAATGGTCCCACAAATGGACCTAGAGAAAATTCCTACCATTGCCAACCCAACCAAAAAGATAAATATACTCGCTGTGAACCATCCCTATTCCCTAATCTCAGCCAATTAATAGCATAACTAGACTCACGGGCATCCCCTACCCAGACCATGCCGACCGGACCTGCAGGAAGAGAGAACGAGAGTGTCGACGCGATCGAGGGCACTAGGCCCATGATGCTGAATGCGATTGCAAAAACCTGCAGGGTGGAATACTGCCGGCGAAGTTCCTGCTTGTAGCCCATGCGTGCTAGACAAGCTATTAGCGGCCAGTATTCCTCACAAAAGGAAGCACACTATCATACCCAGCAGCTGCACGTCTCCGACATCTACCCCCTCGTCAGTCGCGACCGGTGCGACTGCCTCGCGGTCGACAGGTTGCGCGTGCATCTCAGGCTTGCAATGTTCGGTTTGCGCTGTTCGGATGAACATGGGGATTGAAGATTTAAATGTCAAATCAAAAATTAAGTTAAGGGATGTTGATCTTGAAACTCATCAACGCCAAAGCTAATAGTAACCAACCACGGAGTATGGGGGACTCCAATAATCGTGGTTTCCTGCAGATGACAGGACGTGCAGTGTGATTACAGCCCTTGCATTTGAGCTAGAGAGGCACTAATATGAGGCAGTCGTGTCCACATCACACATCTCGCGACTATTGAGAATGTTGACGCTATGAGGCTGATCTGCACTCGGAGACAATATCACAGCTCACCTGCAGCCTATTTAGTTGCACGAGCTATTTGTATCGTGCAGACAGCCGGCTCCATTTAAATAAATAGCACTGGCTGCTAATGTGAGAGTTACACTGAAATTTATACCCCGCCAGTGCAGTCAAAGCCTTCTTCCACAATCCCGTAGCCTCACTGAGGTACATTTGAGCTTCTAGACCCTAGGCTGAGCATGCGTGACTTTTCCATTGATACGTGGCAGTTCAGGGACAGCTGATTAAAAGCGACTGCGAAGTTCTGTTTCACATGCCCGATCGCCGTGAACCTGTACTCCGTACTGCAAAACACCATCAACTGGGATTCCGGTACCTTTAATCAGCGGATTGAATTGTCGATTTATTATGTCGAACCCCTTTTCAGGTCGGATCCTTTGTCAGCATTGTCTTATAGGGAACGGCCCGTGCTTCCGCTGCGTTGCCATTGGCAACGGCAACTTCACCTGGGGATGTGGCAATTGCGGCTAGGCCAACCAAGCGCACCACAACGGGTCTTCTTTCAAAGCTGGTTCGGTCCCACCAGACCGGCATACGAAATATTACGCACTGGACTGACCTGTTTATTCGCGCTCAAGCCGTTGATCGTCTCGATGTGATTCGGGACCTGCGCAGAATCCAGGGGCTATAACTGTGATTTGGACTATATCCACTGCGCCCATGAAAGACTTCTAGAGGATTTAGATGCTAGGGGGAAAATCACGGCCCCAGAGTGAGCCACAGCTTCAAAGCCTTTTATGGCGTTGAACAGATCGGTCTCGCGGAAACTTAGAACTTTTCCGCGCCAACGCAAGGTCATTGAAGAAGACCTAGGGGAGGATACCTCACTCAACCAGCAACGCCAGGGAGGGCCGATTGTTGAATTACTAATTACTCGGGAAAGCATACCTAACTAACTACATCAACTCCATCCTCCCAATCATTCTAAGGTTGCTTAACATGCTTTCAATTCAACTTCCACACTTATCAACATTGATGAACTATTCTCGGCCTCTTTACCAACCTGGGATATTGACACCGATCCTCTACCAACCAAATCTCATCGTTTTCCCACTATATACATAGCGGTGGGGTTTGTGCAACGCGCTAAATTGCTTCAGTTATGTTCACCTAGGGGAAAGCAATTGGCAGGTTTCCACAGAACAGTCTTTCAGACAATAGAGCAGCCCTAAACATGCTCATCAAACGGAATCTCTCTCCCGGAAAATGGGGCTTGAGGGGTCGCAGTGATAGTATGCTCCGAACCAATTATTGACTCCTTTCTAGCCACCTCTTCCTCGTTATAATCCTGACCAGGGTTGATCCTCTCCCAGCGCGCAATACAGAGGAGATGATAGAAAGCAGAGGCAAGAAGGGATCCGAGCAGAGGACCGACCCAATAGATCCAGTGGTATCCCGGAAACGACCGGTTGATCACATCTGGTCCCAGGGAGCGAGCAGGGTTGAGGGATCCTCCAGTGTAGTGAACGCCTGGCATGAAGGGTCAGCACAATGTGGGAAGTAATATCAGACTGATTGTTACTTACCAGTCAGTTCTGCAACAAAGAAAGCCAGACCAATTCCTACTGGAGCTAGATAGGTGGATTTGTGCTTCACCACCGCCAACATGATGATGACAAACACCAGCTGGGCCGTCAAGAACATCTCGATGAAGAGTCCTTGTGCAATTGATGTGCCACCACCGAGTCGGGTCTCGCAGTTCAGCGGGCCCGGGAAAAGACAACTCACCACGCCCGCCGCAGCAATTCCGGCAACCAGTTGCGCAGGGAATACACACAACCCTCGGGAAGGGGGCATGCCACCAGTTAGGCAGAGAGCTAGAGTCACCTAGTGAAGTATCAGCTACAAATATTGCCATTCCTATGTGGGTGATGCCCATACCGCTGGATTGAAGAGACCACCTGTGACTCGATAGAATGCCCAAACATTGACCGTCAAAGAGAATCCAAAACAAAGCGCCACATACATCAAACTAGAAGTATCCGGTGGGCTGCCAGGTGGTGCTTTCGGTGTATTGGCCACCTGTGTCCCTGCAAAGGAAAAGAAGAGAAACAGAAAAGTGCCTACAAACTCGCCCACCAAGCAGAGAAAATTGTATCTCATCTTGGCCGGGAGCTGCAGCATGGGCAGCTGGAGGTGCCCGGTGCCCGGGTGCCCCCCGAGCGTCGAGAGATCAGCCAAGCGCTTTTTGAACGGCATCGTGAGTGGTGATAGGTCTTGAATTGAGAGACTATCTGAAGTCGAACTTGACTAATATATCATCAAATTGAGAGAAACCCAGCCTCTTCTACCATCGAGCTTTGCTTTACCGCTATTTCATATCACAGACGTCACTATGCAACTGTTCAAGTGGTCCATCATCGATTAGCACCTGACTCAACCTAGAGTGAGCGTATGCATATGGATTTTGGGTTTTGTGGAGCCAACAACCGTTGAACGAGTGCCCGACTTCTGCAAACGGCGAGTGCCGATTATATCCAACCATTTCCACATCATTCTGAAAAGTGGATTGTCCAATGGCAAGTATCTTCTCCTTACATCTGCTCAGGTTCATGGACATGATGAATTTTGGATTAAAATTCCAAAATAGTTAAATCTATTACTTCCCATTATAAAGAGTCCCAGGTATCCAATGAGCCAAGTCGGATTTGGCGCGTGCTGAGTAAGCAGTCGGGTTTCCCCGGGAGCTCTTCAGGGCTAGACTACTAGCATGGCACCACGTGTGACTCAGTAACCGTACAACATATGAGGTGGGCTTATAGGAGGGCAAACAGAGGCGCTTGAAAACCAGAATGTCTCTCTATTGATTGGTTGGTTACATTTGGACCGGAGTAGGACGAACTATATGTACTGTAGTGGGAGGTACATACATATAATGTACATTGTAGCATCCAACTTTTTTTGCACGTTGACTTTAGGAATAACACATTTTTATTTATAACTTGCAATTTGCAAAAACAATTGCGAGAAAATCGAGAAAATCGTGAAAATTTCGGATGAAAATTCCGAGTTAATTCCTTCCTATACGTTGTATGTTCCCTCTCCGCGGAGATATCTTCACTTCGGCACTGAAAATCTTCACAAATCATGCCAGACACCTTTTCTCGAGGTTTCCAAATCCCGTCTTTTGCCTATTAGCAAGCCGGCTACCCGTGGACGATGGAGATAAATAGCTAAGCAACCAGCAAAATGTAACGTTGGAACCGCTTTCGTATTACTCACGTATTCTGACCCTCTCACTTATATTTAAGCATCTGCAGCGCTAAATCGTGCAGATACGGAACTTTTTTTTTCTTTTCTTTTTTCGATATATAAACAATCAACCATGAGTTCCAATCCAGGAATGACTCCGGACCAAATCGCCCTCATTAAGGCGACGGTGCCGGTTCTCGTGGAACATGGCAACACCATCACGACTGTCTTCTATCGCAACATGCTCGAAGCCCACCCGGAGTTGAACACCGTGTTCAACACTTCCAACCAGATCAATGGCCACCAGCCTCGTGCATTGGCTGGTGCGCTCTACGCATATGCCTCGCATATCGACGACCTGGGTGCACTAAGCTCAGCGGTCGAGTTGATCTGCAACAAGCATGCATCTTTGTACATCAAGCCTGACCATTACAAGATCGTTGGCAAATACCTCCTCGAAGCCATGGGCCAGGTCCTGGGCGCAGCTTTGACCCCAGATATCCACGACGCATGGGCCGCAGCCTACTGGCAGCTCGCAGATATCATGATCGGCCGCGAAAAGCAGCTTTACGAACACGCCGAGGGCTGGACTGACTGGAGAGATTTCAAGATTGTGAATAAGGTCAAGGAATCCGAGGAGATCACATCGTTTTATCTCGCCCCCGTTGATGAAAAGCCCCTGCCGGCCTTCCAGCCCGGCCAGTACATTTCCGTCCAGACCTACGTCCCAGCTCTCAAGTACCCGCAGGCCAGACAGTATTCTCTCAGCGACCAGCCGAAGCCGGACTACTATCGCATCAGTGTGAAGAGAGAATTGGGTCTCAACCCAACGGACCCAGGTGCCGCCACCCACCCAGGAACCATCTCGAACGTGCTCCACGATACATTCAACATTGGCGACACGCTTAAAGTTTCCCACCCATACGGCGACTTTTTCCTTTCCCCTGCCGACTCAGAAACAGGGAATCCGATCGTGTTGCTCTGTGCTGGTGTGGGCCTAACGCCACTGACGTCGATGTTGAACACTTTGATTTCCAATTCATCCGCAACGCGCAAACTGCATTTCATTCATGGCGCACGTTCGTCGGGCGCGCGTGCTTTCAAAGAGCACATCTCGGAGCTTCCAAAGAAATTCCCCTCCATTCAGACAACGTTCTTCACCAGCCACCCCGCTGAGGGAGAGAAGGAAGGCGTAGACTATGATCATGTCGGGCGCGTGGACTTGAACAAGTTGTCGGATCAGGATTTGTTCCTTGATGATGCCAAGACTGACTACTATATTTGTGGACCCGGAAGGTTCATGACAGACATGGAGTCGGGTCTCAAAGTCAAGGGCGTGGGTGCCGATCGCATCAAGATGGAATTATTCGGAACTGGCGGTGTTCCTCATTGAGTCCGGAGTATGATTACCAATGCTGTTTTCTTTCTTCATTTGTAAGTTATCGGTTTGGCGTTTAGATGTACATATCTCATCTCTAAATATTTCAAAATACGATGGACGAATGAAAGACGTCACATTATCCCTGCCCAATGTTGGATTACCGATCGGCTGAGCAAGCAACAATTTTTAAAGGGGATAACCTACACCTGGTTAGGCAGGGCGTACATGGATTTTCCAGTCAGGGGTGAAATTTGGCGCAAGGGGGGCTTGGAAAGGGAAGCCGATCGACGTCGGTGGATTTATAGAGAAACTAAGTACAGGATCATTGCATTCGGTCATTGTTGCCATATCCGAATACCAATCTTTCATTTATAAGCAGGCGATCATGAAATGTAGATAGGATATGGAGCACAACAAACATATAAAGGCAAGAAAAATCTCCCAAGTGTATCATCAAACTGTATCATCAGACTTCCTTCTCCAACTACATACAGCCTACCAACCGAATCACCGCTTTATCATCTCTCGATAACAAAATGGGTGTCAAAATTGGCGTTTTCCCGGCCTCTGGAGCCCTTGGATCAAGCATCGTGAACCACCTGGTGAAATTGGTCCCAGAATCCGATCTGATTCTGAGTGCCCGACGCCCCGAGAAATTGCAAGACCTCAAGCAAGCTGGCGCTACGGTACACAGGGCCGACTATGATGAGCCATCGACATTAGACACAGCCTTCAAAGGCGTGGAAGTCTTGATGCTGGTTTCATATGCATCATTTGAGACAGATCACAGGATCGAGGTAAGAAACCCCCCCCGAGTGATGTTACATGTCTGAATAGTTGATCTAACACCGAATACCAGGCACACCGTCTTGCTATAGATGCAGCCATCAGGTGTGGCGTCAAGCACATCTTCTACTCTTCTCTTGGATTCGGCGGTGATCTAAACGACCACACCATCGCTCATGTGATGGGCGCCCACATCGTAACAGAGAAATACCTCTCTACTGTTCAAGACAAGATATCCTACACCTCAGTGCGCGAGGGTATCTACACTGAATCCTTCCCGATCTACACCGCATTCTACGATTTGAAGAATCCAGCGGACGAGGTTGCAATCCCTCACTCGGGTAAAGGCCCAGGCGTGGCGTGGGTCAAGCGCGATGAGCTCGGCGAGGCAACCGCCAAGTTGATTGTCTCGTATATCAAAGACCCGGCTAGATTCAAGTATGTGAACAAGGCTATTCTGCTCTCTGGGCCTCGGGAGATCACTCTTGCGGAGACGGTTGAGATTCTCGGTCGGGTGGTTGGGAAAGATCTCAAGATTCGTGAGATCTCTGTCGACGAGTATGTGGATCTTCCTCAGATTGGTGATAATCACACGTACAGGGGAGTGGATCTGTCCAGGGAGTGGACTACGGCTTGGGAGGCTATCCGACGGGGTGAGGCTGCAGTTGTGACTCCGGCTATGCGCGAGATTTTGGGTCGCGAACCGGAAAGCTTTGAAACTACGATCAAGGCGTTGGTTTGATGGGGTTTTCGGTTACACTTTGAGCGTTTGTATACTAGAGAACTAAATAGATCGTCTGCTTCGGGGATAGAAAAGGATCGTGAGAAATTTCGGCTATTTTAATGTGATGTATTCAATATTGTACTTCTGAATGATAGGTAACCCAGTAGAATGACGTAAAGGGGTATGCACGTATACCAACACAGAAATCCTCACCAAAAGCACCAGCAACTTTCATCAAGTCATTCTATCACATCGACCCGGCATCAAAACCGAGTAAATATTTAGTTAGAGTAGTTCTTGAGCTCCTTAACATAGAGCTTCTCACCACGGTACACAGAGTTGTGGGCACCGTACCAATAGATCTCCTTGACCGGGTTATCGCCGTAACCCTCAACGGAGAACCAATCCCTGTCACCCTGAGTAAACAGACCCTGGTCATTGACACCAAAGCCAGTGACATTGCCGCCCTCGGGGACAGCGCCGGAGTGGGGGAGGGTCAGCCCGACGGGTGAAACAGAGTCTTCGACGATATAGAGGTTCTGGAAACCGGTAGGAACAGCGTTCTTGGCAGTGTATGAGACGAGGCCATTGGGGCTGCCGCCACGGACTAGAAAAAGCATCTGTGTTAGGGTGTTGGGGGTCGATATCATGCAAGGCTGGATACTTACGGATCAGGATCTCATAGTTGGTAGTGTTTCTGCCAATGTACATGTTCTGGCCATCGGTCAGGACGGTCTTGCCGCCCTCGGCGACGAGAGTGAAGGCGTTAGGAAGGCTGGTGGCGCTGATAGCGCCGATGAAGGTGGTAATGGCGGCGAGGGAGAACTTCATTTTGCGTGTGAATTAAACTTGTATAGTAGATTTAGTGATAGGTAATGGTGACTTTTTTATATCCAAGATGCATAAGATCTGCATCGGCTTGTGAGGTCATAAAATCGGGCACGATTCCATTTTTACATAGAGTGGCTATTCTAGATTATCTCAATAATTCTATTGGGCAATGATTTCGCAAGATTGAAACATGTCTTGCAACCCCTCAGCGCGGAGGGCATGATTTACTCGATAGATGTCGTCAAAAGTAACGAAGTAGCCCCTATTCCACGGGATCCTACTGCGTGCATATATCACAACATTGACTGTGCCTATCCAGCTAATCCTGGGACCGTTACTCAAAGCTTTAACAGGCCCTGCATCTCGGGTTAAAATCCGTGTAGCCTCTTTCCGAAAGGTGGAACTAAATCTAAGCCACTGTCGATCTTCAGGGGTGGAGAGGGTTTCGGGACATTCCCTTTTTTCGATCCCAATTCTATGGAGTAGTCCCAAGGTCCCAATTTCCAGACCGACTTTACGACTTTATGGTTGCTGGTCCGTCAGATCCGGTCCTAGCCTAAAATCGAACATCAGTGGTCGCCGTTTGCTCGGGAAAGATTTGTGGATCCAAACTGGCCGATCTCAAAGTAAACTGACCAAAGTACGTACGGAGTAGCATTGGTTGATATACAATGTATTCTATAAATAATTTCTCTTTCTTCAAATGCTTATTGGAGACTGGTGAGATCTTGGTTCGGATCTAACGAGCCATTTCTTAGAATAATCAATACCACAACCTTGGAAGTCATTATATATATATCAGCAGCGAAGACAGCCACACATCATACATGTCACGATCTGAAAATCGAACAGCGTGTCATAATCCGATTTTAACAACAATATTATAAAGCCCTCTCCAAGTCAATCTAGCAACATGGTAGCCAACTCATACAGGTATATGAGCCATCGGGAACAGACTTTAAATCCAGCACTCCAGCAACCAATTCCTCCTGAAGTCTCAGAAGCAATCGATACATACTATGGCAATGCAAAGCATTCCTTAACACTCAATCCGGCGACTCTGCAGAGAGGCGCATATTTATCTTCGCTGAGATATGCGAGTCTTCATACATATAAACAGCTACGAAAGTAACATCTGTATCAAAAGCAAATTTACCCGAGGATAACCCCAGTCTACATTCCAGACACGCTCCTCATTCTCTCTTCAAAGTATATGTACACCATAATGGGATCGACATCCTCAGTTGATCGGAATGTCTTGGCTGCATATTTCATACTAGTGGGCTTTGTCTCGACCAGGTCCAGTGTTCACCTTCGATTCTTTTGATAAAGTGTTCCAGCTTGATTAGGTGGGTCTTGCCGAAGGTATCCTGGTTGTCGGTAGCAGTGAGGTTTACCTACCAGTAGCTGTTCATATTGCTGTTCTAGAGACTTGCAGTTAGAGTTGCATTAGCCTTTGGATCAACAGAGGTTTGATTTTGAAGGGTGCCTGAGGTTACAATTGGTGCCTCAGGCTACAACTCCTCTTTTTGGTCTCCTCTGCATTTAGTCTCTATAAAGTACTATGTACTATGGAGTACGCAGCGCCCAAAATATTGTTTATAAACACCAATTCTATAAATTGAGGAATACACCTCTGAATTTTCACCGTGAGATCGTAAATCTATCAGATTTTAGTTCCATTCCTGTGCGTCATCAAGCACATATCCACAACCTCAGCCCATTGCGGGCTCTACGGGGTTTAATATAAAATACCAATAATAGTGTATAGTATACTAGTAGTACATAGTATATGTATGGGAAATTATGTAAAAAACGGATCTTAGATGGAGACACATTGTATCCACAAGTGGACTCTCGATCGTATGATGTATATCTGGACCTCGGGAGCTAAAATCTGATTTCCCTCGGAAGTTGAAGAGTTGAAGATTCCAAAAAGGATAATAGTAAAGTCATCTAGGGCCATCAGCAAGTTTCATTCATATAAACCAATTAGGACCGGAATCACTGCGTTGTCCATCTCCAGACTTAACCTCCACAAGCCACAGTTCAAAAGATCTGCCATAACACAAAGTCTCAACATTGAGGCTAGTGACTTCTATATGAAGGGATGTCCATTTCGGGACCGGTCAGGGTTATTTTGGTGAAAACCCCGGAAGCCACATCCCAGATAGGTAGCTATATCGATCCAAGATCTGGGGACCAAAGATCCACGAACGACAGCTAGGACCCAAATCAAGTCAAAGCTCCGTGTTAATACTATATTGACTGTGTACAATATAGGTTGACAGGTCTAGCGCCCGTTATTGCTCCACTAGTGAACTGACCATATCTTGTACTCCCTTAAGTGTACTCCGTAACTCCGGAAGTGATACAGGAACGAGATTCAAGGAGTTAGCCTCGGTCTAAATGGCTCGGTACAGGCGTACAGGGAATAGTGCAGAATCCACATTAAGGTTGTGATAAGATCTGAGACGTCAAGGATGAGGAGGATCATTAGCCACAAAGTCTAACAATATTGTACGCATTCGTTTGGCGGCAATATCGGTATGAGTCTTCCACTGCGAATCTAGAAAGAATAAAAGTACAATCGGATCAGCGTCGGGGAGTATGAGGCATAAGACGAACCCTCATGCCATCGAATTGCGGGAACTATTGACCGGAGGCTAAACTCGAGATGATTATCTCCGTGTGCAATTCGTGATATGGTCACAAGGAGCCTCTCATATAAATTCGGTAGACATCGGGTTGGAGCCAAGGAAGGAGAGTATCCGAGTCACTCCACTGTAAAAATGGTGTGGCGCCATTTGGCAAGAAAGTGGAATAAGCGAGATTTCCCGGCTGCGTTATTGGACGGGCACCTGGAGGAGCACCTCACATCTAATCCTTACACAACTTTCTTTCTTCTTCTACCAATCCGAGGCTTTGTTTAATACATCTGGATCTGACATATCAGTTTCTAGATTTGATTTCATTAGAAACTGATGAAATAGGGGGGGGGGAAAGAACGATTTTTAGACAAAAGTACTCCGAGAAATACAAAGTATATACGCGTCAACCTTGCCACAGGTGGTTACTATGTGAACAGTGCAGAGTATGACCTTCTCAAGGAAATTAGTTCATAGAAAGCATAGACGCATCACAGTGGCGTGTCATTAGTTGTTGACGTGTTAATATGTTCATTATACTGTCATATATATATATTTCAGATGATATCTTGAAACTTTAGGAAGAGAATGACGTCTATGTACTCCGTAATTTAGTAGATCATATATAAAAACAAAATAGATTGGGTTAGCGACAGGTTATCAAAGTCGGGTAATTGAGGCAATGAAGAATGTAGGGTATGAGTTTTACCGGGAGGGGTAAATCATGTAAAAGCCGATGGAGCTTCCGTACATGATTCTAGTACGGAGAGTACAGTATAGTAGTTATGTACTTTGTATAAAGTATGTTTTCAAACCGGTTTTTTAGCGGAGTTTCTAGATTTGATAGTTTGCCGCTTTTACGGAGTATACAATTTGGGCTCCTACAAACTACAAACTACAAACTACGGAGTACATTTAGGCCTTTTATTCTGTCTATGTTATAAATGTCCTAAATCTCTATGAATATATCAAAGTACTTTGTAAATACATAGCAAGGCAAGGATTGGCTAGAAAATGATACGAAAGTACCTGTCGATTGCCGCTTATACGGAGCAGGCACCGGGGCACCACAGGAGGCACCGCCAAGAAAAAAGATAAAAAAGATAATTGGATCTAATGTGCGGCTGTCACTTTTGGCAGGATATTTATATTTTTATGTATAATTGCTCTAAGAATTCATGCTAACCTTTGTACTCCTATATAGAGGGAAGTTGAATGTTACTAATTTCTGAATAAGAAAATCGTTAAGAGCAGGAGGAAGTATACATATAAAAGAAAATACCACGTGCCAGAAGAAAAGGGAATTCTCCACCTTAAACATTGGCAAAGCAGCAACAGACGTTCCGTAAATATAAAAAAAAACTTCTGAAAAAAGATACAATACAATACATGAATATAAAAAAAAAAGGAGGTGCAAAACATGCAAAATGTATTTTCAAAGGTAAAGAACAAGGTACAAAAGATACATAAATTACATAAAAAACATAAAAAGTCCGGATCCGAGACTCGGCCGGCCTTATCTTGGCAAGGTCCAGCCCACTGGTTCCTGTTTCACACGTTACAATGGAAAGTATCGGAAAATAATGTGCTGCGTCGGAGCCGGCCGTTATGAGATGTGAAGGGTCTCGGCTTTAAATCACCGAATAAACAGAACTAGACCATTTACGATACGCATCTGTTTTAGACCTGACATCACAGTCTAATCTCGGCTTACACAGGCGTAATTGTCTGTTCCGGATCACCTTCGTACCCCTGTTTTTTTTCGGGGGCACACTCTGGGTTTATATAAATCCCCCCCCCTACAACCGAAGATCTGCTGTTGACATCTTCAGTTCCCAGATTTATTTATAAATCTTCCCATTTCCTCGCCACCCTTCCCATTTATCATTCAACCTTACTATTCCATCCTGCCACTGCCCTTCGAGGCCAACGTATGATTCAAGATGTGTATCATGGCTTGCAACCGATCCAATGAGATCCCCAATCTCTCAATAGACCAAGGGACTTACCTCAGCCAACATCTGAGTCCTCAACATCTGAGTCCCCAGTCGAGACCCGCCGACTTCTTTGACAGGCCCGATCCTCTCGCTGCCAACTGGAGCTATGATAACGCCATCGATCTCTTCTCCCTCAACCCCACCGATATGGAGCCCGTGTCATTCGACTTTGCCGACAGTCTCACCAACCTCGAGTCCAAGGATCTCTTCAATGACCCCTTTGCTAGCTCTGGCATTAGTGGATTCACCATGCCCATGGCTGAGGATTCAGCTTCACTATCGTCGGTATGACTCTCTCCCCACATCTCCTCATCTCCTCATCTCCTCATCTCCCCATCTCCCCATCTCTTCCCCATACTCTTTGACACAAAAAGCTAATTTCCCTAAAAGGAATTCGAGAGTGACGATCAGAACTGGCAATCTGCCGCTGCCCGGCAATCCATTGACTCGAATGCGTTCGAGACCCAATCGCCAACTCAACCCTCAAATTACCCCGCTCCTCAACAGCCTCAAATACAGAGCAAGACCCGCTCTTCTTCAACATGGTCATCAAGTCCAGAAATGAAGGAAGAAGATATCGCTACCCCTCAACCCTCCAAATCCACCTTCTCCACATCCCGCAAGACCCGCAGCTTTTCCCGAGACTCAAACCACTCCTCAACGGGCGGTCAAGATCCTCAAATGCGGAATGCTGCCAAGCGTGCCGCGCATAACATCATCGAGAAGCGTTACCGCACCAACATGAATGCCAAGTTTGTGTCCCTTGAGCAGGCCATCTCGCCCTCGGGTGTTCAAAAACATACCAAGGTTGGCGCAGGGTCTCTCAAGAAGTCTGAGATTCTCACCAATGCCCTGACCTACATCGATGGCATTCAGCAGGAGAACCAAGCCCTACACAAGGAGCTTGCCCTGCTCAAGCAGAACTTGATGCCCGGTGGAATTTGGCGTCATACCAAGAACCCCCGACTATGATCAGGTGCCATACCGATCATACCACCGTGATACTGCCCTTCAAGTATCTTTTTCTTTTTTTGTCATGACCACGAGCGTTGTATTCTTAGAGTATATCCGGACAACGTGGTCCCGGTCGGCGTTTCTTTCTTTTTTTTTTAACCTCTTACTTTTGTCTCTACCTTTTACCTTTACCTTCGCCTTTACCTCTACCTTTACCTTTGTCTCTACCTTTGTCTCTACCTTTAGCTTTGTCTTGACCTCTACCTTTACCTCTCTACCTCTTTTCTTTTGTTCCTATCTTTCCTCGGACTGGCGGAGGCGTTCTGATCAGGTGTCATTTGGGCTCGAAGGGGGCCCCCTCTCATCTCCCAAGACATGATTTGATTTTCGGGTCGTGGCGACCACAAAAGTGTTTTGTGACTTGTGATTCCCCTACACGAATGGGAATAACTCATTGATAGTTTCCTAAAGCATTAATATAATTGCCAAGACTCGGATGATTTGCTCAAAAACATTCTCTTCATTTCGTATGGCCTGATACTTCCCAAAGTAGAAATAGTGGTGGGCCCATGGTATATATACCCAACGTATTCCCGTTCGTCTGTGCTAACTCGCTACTCTCGGTTAGGTGAATCCTCTCAAACTCAATATCAGATGCGTTTCGTCTTACTGTGGACTTTCATACTTCAACGTGGCCTCAACGTGGACCGTGCTGAATAAGTCAATTACTTCGCCTTCTGAATTTATATTCAATGCACATGGCCAAATAAGCCGAATAGAGCCATCATTTCGACGCACTCAGATCCCAGCCCCTGATCAGGATTACGATGCCGAGCAGGGACTACAAAAGGAGGCAGTGGAAATTGCTTTTTTTTTTTTTTTTTCGTTAGTCAAGGAGGCTAGTTGCACTAATTACAGCAAGGCAGAGACTAGAATGATTCCAGAAGCCATCCATCCGACGCTTTGGCCCTATGAGGGCTGCTGCACCGTGCCTGAACATCGATTCAATCCCTCGGCTGCATGGCTACCACCTGAAGACTGTGGATTTCTCGTAAACTGATTTCGAGAATATGCAATCGATAGCGAGCTTGCTAGCCTGTCACTGGTACTCCGTACACCATGGCGATAACCGTGCATATTCAATCATCCTGGGATCCACGGAGCCGTTTTCCAATCGTGCATACTCCCGTCCGTCCGTCATTGGCCCGTTTCACCGTGTCTCGGTGCTTACATCTCCTTCTCGTTCCTCTGTGGGGTTTATCGACATTTAGCTTCGTCCTCAAATAGATGACGAGGACTCTACGGCGATGCCCAATTGAGAAGACTCGCCAACATTAGCCAAGGCTTTTTGGTTCTCATTACGAAGCAGTAACTGAAGAAGTGGACCTTGGTGGCGCCGTTCCCCGGACGAAGCTCGAGGCTGCTGCTTCAGTGGTGCAAAAAGTGCATTCCGAATCCACCAGGTCGCCTCGGGGCTCCCCTTTCGATGGGAATACTGTCACAAATCATACTTGGTCCTTCCCGCTTAGCCCGCCCCCGGCTGTTGATCGTCTACAGATGTTTCAGGCTTTTGTTTCGAATTGACATTGATATCGCGATGCCTTCCGCTGGATAAGCCGAGGTTATCATGGGAATTGACTCCACAGAGATACTGATTAATATCTCATATGAGATAAAGACATGCAGCTCTATCGGTACTGTTATGGTGTCTATTTACACATCAAAGCACGTTTAATCTCGGACTTGATATCCTCAAACTGTGCTAGAGCCGCGCTCTAAACCGCTAATCGTCGATTCTTATCCGCCACGCATGGACTTGCCGCTTTGGGTTGTCGCCACTGATCATTGCACTTTGAATGTTGATGTTGACATGCAATTCCATTGATCTTTATATCGGGAAGATCTCGCGAGCTCCTGCTTGCTTTTGAAACTGAAATCGAATTCCGGGGGATATCCTTGGGAAAGAGAAGCTGTTGAACTACAACGGTCGGGACTTCGGAGCAATGGAACATGCAATTTATTGCATCTTCGAACAAGAGTCAAAATATCCACATATACACAATTATATACTTGACGATGAATTCAACCCCAATTAAACCCCATTTCTTATCTGTGGAGGCAGTTGTGGAGGCATTTGTGGATTGTTATATAGATGGCCCACTGAAGGGAGGTCCTCCCGAGGCGACTCCCCGCAAAAAAAAAAAAAAAAAAATCAGTTGGGCAGATCATTTCTATTATCAACTTCTCCCAAGCCCATGACCAATTGTTCTGATTCAACCTAAGCCTAGTATCACGCCCACCGTATCATTGGCTCTTCTCAATTGGCCTCTAGCTTTATCTAAACCCCTCATGGTGAACAGAGTTAATCCGTGAGGGGTGACAACGCGGAGAGCACCACGCGATCTAAGCTAGTATATAGAAGTCATCATTTCCACGTTTCTCAATCTCCGGTCAGAAAATGGGCGCATTTCCTTCCTGCCTGTCCACCGAGTTGATCTACCTCGCCTCCGGCTGAATTCCCACGGAATGGATTTGGAGTCCAACTCGCAACCCCTTAAGCCACCGCTCACGGATCAGAATGTGCTGGATGTGCAGGATCTCGCTGCCCTGGGCCATTCCCAGGCCTTGACGCGGAAATTCGATATCTGGAGTATGCTGGCGCTCGCATTTTGTGTACTTGGTATGTTTTGCGCTTTTTTCGCCACCCGATGAAACCCGAGAGGAAGGTGTGCTGACGTGCCGAAGGAACTTACTCGACCTTCGCTCAGGATCTCAGCAGTGGTCTGACCAATGGTGGTGCGATCACTATTCTTTGGGGTCTGGTGCTGGTCACAGCATGCAACCTCTGTGTTGCGTTCTCGCTGGGCGAGTTGACTAGCAGCATGCCTACCGCCCTCGGTCAGGCGTACTGGGTATATCGACTGTGGAATACACCATTGGGTCGATTTGTCTCATACATGTGTGCATGGATTAATACATTTGGATGGTGGACCTTGACTGCGTCGCAGGTTGCCTTTATGACTGAATTCCTGCTGGGCATGAAGACCATGTTTGATCCCGAGTGGGATGGAGTCAACAAGGGATGGCTCAATTTTGTTGTATATGTTGGAGTGGTCTTTGCGCTGACCGTGATTAACGTGGTCAGCTGCCGCAAGGAGAAGATCCTACCCTGGCTCAACAACTTTGTTGGAGTGTGGTTCTTTGGCCTGTTTATTGTTCTCTCTCTTGTGCTACTTATCTCGGTCGGAACCAAGAGTGACCTGTCATTCCAGCCAGCTTCATTTGCGTTTGGCGCTTGGAAGAATGAGACTGGCTGGGGCGATGGTGTGGTTTGGTTCACCGGGTTGGTACAGGCAGCATATGGTTTGACCGCGTTCGATTCAGTCATTCATATGGTGGAGGAGATCCCTGCGCCTCGGAAGAATGCGCCTCGAGTTATCTGGATGGCCGTTTTGTTCGGTGCCGTGACTGGATTCATTTTCATGGTTGTCTGTCTGTTCTGCATCCAGGATGTGGACCGTGTCGTCAACGCCGACCTCCCCTTCATGGAGCTCATGATCGAGACAGTTGGGCTGAAAGGGGCCGCTGTACTGATTGCACTGTTCATTTTCAATGGTGTGGGTCAGGGTATCAGTATTCTCACCACTGCCTCCCGTTTGACTTGGGGCTTTGCCCGTGACGGTGGCGTGCCTTTCAGCAAGTACTTCAGTCACGTCGACCCTGTGTGGCAAGTCCCCGCCCGCGCTCTTTGGGGTCAGGGCATCGTCATCGGCATCGTCGGCATCCTATACCTATTCGCCAATACCGTGCTTGAGGCGATTCTTAGCGTCAGCACTATCGCCCTGACTGTCTCCTACGCCATGCCGATTCTTGCCTTGCTTATCACCGGCCGTGAGAAATTGCCCCCCGGTCCATTTAAGCTCGGTCGCATTGGCCCGTGGTTGAACTGGATCAGTATCATCTACTGTATCATCACTACTATTTTCTTCCTGTTTCCTGGCAGCCCTAACCCGGCCGCCAGCGATATGAACTTCGCCATTGCCGTCTTTGGTGTTATGTTGGTCATCGCTGTTGGGTTTTGGTTTATCCAAGGAAGCCGAACATATCTTCAGACTGAAGATGCCATCGCCTCAATGGTCTACGCCCACCATTTGGAATTGAATCAGCTGGGTATTGATGACCCTGTTCCGGCTGTGCAAACTCCAGTCATTGTTGATCATAAATGATATATCATGGGATCTATAGAAGCGACACTATTTTTTGGACAGGTGATGTATCGGAGAGACATGTACAGTATATACACATGTGCATAACACAGTCTGATTTTGTATATCTGGAACCAGTCTGACGTGCATGTGCATAGCCAGAAGCTTCAATAATCTTGAAGTCATTGGCTCTGATAGATAGAAATTATATAATCTATTTTTTCTTTTTTTCTGAAAAAAAAGTACTTGCATACGAAATTTGGCACAGTCACGGGGTAGTGCCGGACCCCCGACCCAAGACGTGCATTTTAATATAAACTGGACAACACAACGTTGCAGGACACTTCGGGCCAATGGGGACTGTTATCTAGACCCCTGATAGGTATCCCACAACCAAGCGTGCCGAAGTCTTCGCTGCTCGGTACATCTTCTCATCTCACAAAGCATTCTTGCCCAGCCCTTTTTACTCTAAGATGACACATCATACTGAAGCTCCAGGACTGCCAAGGGAGATCGAGTTCACCAGCCACATCTGTGTCAGTGCCTGAATCATGACCTTGGTATACTGGAATGATTGGCCCCAGCCTCTGCACAGCAATGCAAACAAAATCGATATTCGGCGTGCGACATGCTGCATCTCAACGCCACAGAAGCCTAGCGTCCATCCTTCCAAGATTGTCTTAATTCTTGATGAGATAGTCTAATTGGCTGCTAGCTGGTCCAACACTGCATGATCGCCGACCTTTCCCCCCTCGAGAGGCTTGGCAAGTTCAAATGATTTTTGAACATTGAACACATCTTCCAGTCGATTCCCATCAGATTGAATAATAGGTGAAGATGTTGAAATGTGGACTTCCTATAAATCAGAGCCAGAGCTTGTCTCGTTTTTAGAGTCAAATCATCCAGCCACCCGACAAAACAAGCCCCTAACGCCCCTCACATTGTTTCCACCAAACAGAGTGGATCAACCCCTGCAGATCATCAACGGACCCCGACGGACGCACCCAATGTCACAATGGGATAGAGGGATTATGAATCTTCAGATAGTCACATTACTATGAGTTTTGTGGTTACTTGAGTCGGGAAAAGCCGTTGGTCGTGACGATGCAAGTAACCAGATCCAGAAGATTCAGTCCCAGCCGCTGTTAGCGATGTATTTAGAACTGTCTCACCAAATGGACGTCCATCAAGGGCCCACTGGACCTGTGGAACTTGATAGCAATGCCAAGGGAGTGACGTGAAACTCCCGATTCAGGAACTCTGTCCTTGTCCCTGTTCTACTACCCTGGACTTCTTCACCACACATTCCTTGTCGCCCATTCATCCACCCCCCACCACCAATGCAACCATAATAAACACGATTTCACAGTCTTTACCCCTCTTTGTGCTTGATAGTATTTGTTGAAGTATTTATACTTCCTGTATTCGCGGTGAAGGGGCCCTGATCGGTGTCTGATAGATAGGGTGTCCTCATATCCCTCAGTTTTATCATGATTGTATCTCTATTTAACCGCGGCGCGTTGTCGCTCGCGGTTTTGTCGCTTCTCGCGTCATCTGCTGCAGCTGATGTGTTTGAGAGTTTGTCTGCTGTTCCTCAGGGTGAGTAACTTGCGTTCTAAACTAAACCGACAGAATTGATATACTGACCTACCATAGGATGGAGATATTCTCGCAAACCGCGTGCTGATCAGACCATGAAGCTGCAGATTGCTCTGGCACAGGGGGATACTGCCGGATTCGAACAGGCTGTGATGGACATGTCCACTCCTGATCATCCCAGCTATGGAAAACACTTCAACACCCACGAGGAGATGAAGCGTATGCTGCAGCCCAGCGCCGAGTCCGCAAACTCGATCCGTGACTGGCTCGAAAGCGCTGGTATTACCAGAATTGAACAAGATGCAGACTGGATGACCTTCTACACCACCGTGGAGACGGCAAATAAGCTGCTGGCAGCCAATTTCAATTTCTATGTCAACAGTGCCAAGCACACCGAGCGTCTTCGCACCCTCGAATACTCCGTTCCGGAGGCTCTGGTGTCACACATCAACATGATCCAGCCAACCACCCGCTTCGGCCAGATGCGCGCCAACCGGGCCATATTGCATACTCAGGTCAAGGAGACTGACGAGGCTTTCCGTTCAAACGCCATGTCCGCTACCCCGAACTGCAACAGCATCATCACTCCCCAGTGTCTCAAGGACATTTACAATGTCAGCGACTACAAGGCCAGCAGCACCATCGGAAACAAGGTCGGGTTTGCCAGCTACCTGGAGGAGTATGCACGCTACTCTGATCTGCAACTATTTGAGAAAAATGTTGCGCCCTCTGCCGCGGGCCAGAACTTCACCGTTGTCCAGTATAACGGCGGTGGTAATGATCAACATGCGAGCTCTGACAGCAGCGAGGCGAATCTCGACTTGCAGTACATCGTTGGAGTCAGCTCTCCTGTTCCCGTTACCGAGTTTAGCGTTGGCGGTCGTGGTCTACTTGTTCCCGACCTCGACCAGCCAGACCCAAATGATAACAACAACGAGCCGTACCTTGAGTTCCTCCAGAACGTGCTCAAGTTGGACAGCAAGGACCTTCCCTATGTTATTTCCACCTCTTACGGTGAGGACGAGCAGGTATGATACACGCCCAACCCCCACTCATGATTCCGTCAGTCTCTAATATCAATCCCCAGAGCGTTCCCGCGACATACGCCCGCACCGTTTGCAACATGTTCTCACAGCTTGGCAGCCGTGGTGTCTCCGTCATCTTCTCATCTGGCGACTCCGGCGTTGGCGCCGCGTGCCAGACAAACGACGGCAAGAACACGACCCACTTCCCACCCCAGTTCCCTGCCGCCTGCCCATGGGTGACCTCAGTTGGCGCGACAACCCACACCGCACCCGAGAAGGCCGTATACTTCTCGTCCGGCGGCTTCTCCGATCTCTGGGACCGCCCAACGTGGCAAGATGACGCCGTGGAAGCGTATCTCGGCACCCTGGGTGACACCTGGTCCGGCCTCTTCAACCCTGCCGGTCGCGCCTTCCCCGATGTCACAGCCCAAGGCCAAAACTACGCTATCTACAATAAGGGCTCGTTGACCAGCGTCGACGGTACCTCCTGCTCGGCACCTGCCTTTGCTGGAATCATCGCCCTCCTCAACGACGCCCGCATTAAGGCCAGCCAAGCGCCCATGGGATTCCTCAATCCCTGGCTGTACTCGACCGGCCGCAGTGGCCTGAAGGATATTGTCGATGGCAGCAGCACGGGTTGCGATGGAAACGGTCGTTTCGGCGGTGCTAGTAACGGTGGGCCGGCCGTTCCAGGTGCTAGCTGGAACGCTACTAAGGGCTGGGACCCTGTTTCTGGTCTTGGATCGCCTAACTTTGGTATCATGCGCGAGCTTGCGATCGCTAAGTAGGTTGAGTCTTGCATGAAGATGTGGTGCATGGCCCAAGTTTCACATTGTGATTGATCTCGACCGGTTGGAAACTTCCGGTATGCATGCATGCTAGTTAGATACACATAGATCCTTTTCTATTTTGTGAATATAAAAATCTTGTGGCTGTTGTGAGATATGTGATTTTTTTTCCATTGTGGCTTTCTATTGCTTACTACTAGCCTAGGCGTGAGGCACTGCGTACAAGGAAACTTCTACTATAAGGCTCCTTGCGTACAAGAGGGATATATTCCTTTCATGCATATAATCAGTGGACTTGGCAAAACAGGCTTGATGAAATACACTATTTGCAAATCCATTGGAGTAGAATGTTCATACTGTATACTCTTTATTCATTGAACACAGGCTCAGACTTCTCAATATCCTGCTTGCTCAAACACCACTTGTCCTGCAACGCGGGATCAAGGCTCGAAGCATAGACATCCTTGGGCCACCATTCACCCCAGCTAGTCAAGAGAATCTGTTCCGGATCAGCGGGGAGATTATCGGCCGTGACGGCGCGGAGGATATTCTGGGCACCTATTGATCGTTAGATATCGTCTTCTAATCAAAAATTCAAATCCAAAGATGCTTACCCTCTGGCACGGTCTTGGCATCGGGCATATCCATGGACAATCCTAAGCCCGATTTCTGGGCAAGCTTAGTGTTGGGGATGAGACCCGGTGAAACAGCCACGACTTTGCAATCTGGGAGACTACGACGCCAGTAGTGTGCACCCAGAAGCTGGGCGAATTTCGATGCACTGTACACTACTCTTGCGTCCGCACCAGAGTTTGCTTTTAGGTCAACATCAAGAGTGCCTAATATGAAGTTAGTATTGTAAAAAAAACTTCGCTTTTAGCGACACGGCTAGAAAGATGGAACGAAACTTACTTGGGTCGCCTCCTCTCACATTACGAATTGCACCTGAAGATACAATGACGATACGTGAGTGCGAGGCAGACAGGATTCCAGCAAATTGGTGAGTCAGATAATGCTGGGCTGGGTTGCGATTCAAGATTGATTAGCTCTAACCTCCTAGACTCTTCTTTTTAGTAGTCGATGGGCAAACTTTAACTTACATAGATGATTTACTACGTACGACTCGCACCATTGCGAGCCATGAGGTCCTGGTCCATCGGCGCTGGTAGCTAAGCCCGCAACGAGGAAAAGATAATTCAATGGCCTTTGACCCAATTCAGAGAGGGCTTGCTTGGCAAAGGACTGCACGCTTTTAAGATTCAAAAGATCCAGGGGCAAGATAGAGATGCTGTGCTTTGAAGTGTCGAATTTCAAACCATCATATGCAACACGTGTCTTCTCTGTGTCACGAACGCCCAGAATGAAGCTGTATGGCTGTGACTGCTGGAGTAACTGCTTGATTACTTCGAATCCCTGTGATCATGTTAGTTGGAGTCTGAATATTGCAAGGGAATGCGGTTTTACCAATCCCGAGGAGGTGCCAGTGGCGATGACAGTTTTTGCGATTGAGGACATTCTTGGATGCAGCTGATACTAGTGATATCTAACAGAGCAATAGGACATCGATGTCAATGGAGGGGTAGAAGGTGAGCTGATTTACCCCCGGGTAACGTGATGACATAATGGGCAATATGATGACCATAACTAGTAGTACAGTGAGTTGATTAATATCAAATACTACTTTACATTAAAAGAATATCTCCCCCAGACAATAGGAAGTAAGAAAACACGGTCGCTCATGCACTAGAAGAAAAGAATATCAAAACAGCCTTCGAAGCCTCCGGTGGGTGGATCAAGAAATAACAAGCCTCTCATCTGTAAATGTGGTCAAGCAATGATAGCCATAAAAGTAGAACCGAGAAGGAGTGCAATAAATCCAAGACTAGACTTGGAGACTGACTGGTTCGCAATAGCAGCGTTCGTGGAAGTCGAGGTAGGATACGAGTCTCTGTGAGTGCCCGTGGAGGTGGATCTGGCGCGTGTAGCAGTAGCAGTCGCATTGGAAGCAGCATTGCAGAAGACGACATGATCATTGCCGCGTCTGTTGGTGAGGCAGGACTGGAGCTCGTTGACCTCCTGGCCCTGGGCGAGACAGTAGATACCACAGTCGTTGTCATATTTGAAGATCTTCGCGCGCTTGCAGCACGACTCCATCACATCGGTCATGTTCCCACTGACAACAGCCGCACAGGCCGCATCTGTGGTGGGGATCTGCCAGACCCTGGCGGCGCAGGCAGTGCCGGTTGCACTCGCGCCCGAGGTGGTAGAAGTACCAGACATTTTAGATTGTGGGGGGTCTGGTAGATCTGGGGATAGTTTTGAGTTTTAGTTTGAAGTGACAGAAAAGAAACGAAAAGCGAAGAAACAAGAAGGGTTATCCTATCCAAGACATAGAGTGCCTTCCTTACTCCGTACTTTTTGATGTGACTGGTAGCATTCAGCCTTAACCCCCTATTCCTATACATAGTAGTAGAGGTGAGCTATAGCCATTCATTTTGGTCTTTTTGCTCGGCTTTTTTATCTCGTTTCAAAAGTATATTTCATCAGCTGCATATGATATGTGTTATGCATTTCCAAATCTGCGTACAGAGTGCGGAGTACAGGTAAGGAGGAAAGAAAGTTCAGATTTACTCCGTATAGTACTCCGTATAGGAATTAATATGTGATGCAGGTATCGAACATGTCGACCTCTTGTTGATCTTATCCTGAAAGAGCTGCTTGCCAACGCTTCCTTCATGGCCAAAGCAACTTGGCTCCATTTAATTATTCGGGCTTGGCACAACGTCCTCGTGCTTCGAGACCTCGACTTTGCTCTCATCCATAATAGCCTCAGTGTGCTTCTCATCAGCAGGCTCTGCCCCGACAAGGGCAAGAAGCCCGATTTCACGTTCGATTCGGTGCTTACGTCCAATATCGGCAGCTGCTAACCCGACTGATCCGAACAATTCGTCCATCTCCTCAAGAGTGCGACCTTTGGTTTCGGGTACTAGGAAGATGACATAGAACACCGCGATAGTTGTGATGCATCCAAAGAAAATGAAAGCACCAAAGTTGCTTTTTTCGAGGAACGGAGATGTAGCAGTGCCGACTGCAAAATTGTTCAACTGCAGAATACCCAGTTAGAGATTTCTAATGAACCCGATAGTTCATCTCGCCACTTACCCAGTTACTACTACCGCCAATACTGACGCCCTTGGCACGCATGCTGAGCGGGAATACCTCAGAGGTAACAATCCACGCAACGGGTCCTGCAGTGGAACAATGGTCAGCAGAGTCTACCCAGGCAAGGAGTACAAAGCACATACCCCATGAGTAGGCGAAGTTGATGACAAAAATCCAAACGAAGACAATAGCAACCCAGCCAGCGGCTGAGTGTTCTTCAAAGCTACCGTCGTACGCGCCAATGATACCCGCGACAATAAAATGACAGGACGCCATTCCAATGGCGCCAGCAATCAAGATCTTCTTTCGTCCAATCTTGTCAACCCACAGGACTGCAGGGATGGTGAAAACGAATTCGAAAATTCCAACAACACCGGTGGCGAGTAGTGAGATTGTGTTGCCGCCTATCTGCATCTCCTTGAAGATGAATGGCCTGTGGAAGTGTCAGCAGGTGAGCTCATCAAGAAACATATGGGATCGAATTATGTATCTTCCATATTTTCCGTCACTGAACTTACGCATAATAGTTAATTGCATTGATACCTATATAATGTTAATGATGGGATTCGAGATTCAAGATTTCGCATGTCTTACCATTCCATTGTTGGAACACCATAACCATGCACTATTGATATCATCAGCAATATTCATTGCAGTACCACATGAGACAGAAAGCGTACCGCTGTTGCCGTGCGCTTAAAGAGGGACTTGTCAGTGATCAATGACATGTAATCATGCAGTCCGATCTTGAAGCGGCTGGAAAACGAATCATCCTGCCAGTCGGGATACTTCTCGGCAGCGGTCTCTCGTTCAAAGAGGTACAAACTCTTGATCTCAAGGAATTCAATGCGAACAAGCATATCATCTGGAGGTGCATTGCGCAAGCGGGCCAGTGTTTCTAGGCATTCTTCCTCGCGACCGGTGTTCATTAGATGACGGGGGGACTGTGGCATGAACATCATCATACCCACAGCCAAAACGACCGCGGGTAGGATTTGAATACAGACTGGGATCAGCCATGCAGCATCCGATTGGTTTGCCCCCGTTCCGCCAATATAATTTGTTCCATAGCCAATCTGCAAACGTCAGGACTGAGAGATTTTACGAGTATAGACATGACATACCCAGAAGCTGACCATAATTCCAAAAGTGATGGCGAGTTGCTGCACAGCAACGAGCGAGCCACGAATCTCCGGTGGTGCCTTCCGCCTTCGTTAGCCCTTTCCCCTTTTCAAACTCATTGCATTCACTCACCAACTCTGCATTGTACAGAGGCACAACCATACTCAGACTACCAACACCCAGACCAGTCACGAATCGACCACCGAAGACAAAATCTTTGTTCTCCGTACAGGCTTGAACAATGACACCGACGCAGAAAACCGCCACGGCAACCAAAACAGTGAGACGACGACCGAGCGCATCGGCGAGATATCCGTTCGCTAATGTTCCTACCCAAGCACCAAGTTCCAGGATAGACGTGAGCATTCCTTGTTTAATACCCGTTTCTTTCGCATAACCTTCAGTCTACGTGTGAAGAGGCGTTAGCAGTGCAAAATGGGGGGCTCAACGAGAGAGGGACATACCGCTGCCTGGAACGCCGGCATTGTCAGAACTTGAGCGAACATTCCCTGGTTGTCTGGATAATATCAGATTCTATTCAAGAGTACATTGACTTGGCTCCGTCGACTTACATCCATACACCAGGCCTCCTAATGATGCGAAAAGTCCAATACATGTTGTCTTTTTGTTGCTGATCAGACCCTTGAACCCATTTTTGCCTGCAAGATCAGCACGTCTGGCCGAGATGGCCGTCTCTCCCGCCAGAGGAGCCACCATTGTGTATCACGACAAAGACCGTCAAGGATGGGTAATACAAAATACCTCAATTTGAGGTGGGTAATGAAAATAAGAAGAGGATAGCAAATACCCGGGATAAATGCCTGCACGTTCTTACGTATTGACCGGGGATCTGTGATTATTTATTCGCCTGCGTCCGGATAATGGGCTCAAACCAACCCAAGTTTCCCTGGGAAATTAGCCCGCATGGGGGCAATATTGAGAATTGAAAACTGAAAATATGAGGTAATCGGCCCAATCAGCCCAGTTGTGACCAAATTTCGTGGTCCCCTCTTCTCCTCAAGCCGTGTGGGCAGGTATGATCGGCTGGGAGACGGGAAAGGCTCGACTAGCGTGGTATTGGCTCTACAAGACCGTCGGTGGCTGCAATAACATTGGGTCGTGCATGATGGGCGTTCGGCCATGATTTAACCGGTAGTCTTAGCCAGAGACCCTGAAACGGCTGGATAAAATTCACATCCTCTAAACCAGAGAGTCCCCGGGTTGGCATCTGCCGGCGAAAGGATTCGGGCAAGCTCCACCGGATGGAGACATTCTATTCCGGGGACCCCGCGCGTTTCAAAACCTGGAGATTCATAAAAAAATCTCAACAGGCAAATCTCATTTGGTCCACGGAAAGTTGTATACAATTTACTACTCGAGATTATGATACCTCAAAGGCAAAACCCCTGGAATCCTCCAAAATTTCTGAGGCAAAGGCTGATAATTTGACATGAAGTCAAGTGCATTTCCACATCGGAACTTGTGAACCGGTTGAATTGCTTTGATTTAGCCTGTTTAACCCCTGTTTTCATACCCACTGACCGCGCGCCACCATATTTGATCCCTGTACATCGGCTTCCGGCGGGTGGTCATGCTGTCGGTCATCCGTTCAACTACATGCTTTGAATGTGGAACTCCGGATTAGCCGGCAATATATTTGTATATGTCGATGAATATCGGCATGTGGATAAACAGGAACCTTATGTCGTGTTATGCTTTTCTCCAGCACCCCAGAACCCCAGAATTCATCCAAAGCCCGGGTTAGGATATTTCTCGGCTTCTCCCGGAGATTGATCGGCTGTGAACTGTAAGGACGAGACCTATCTCTTGGCGCAATAAGCACCCGTAGGGTAACTGTGGATTCAAGGGTTTCTAGATGCTTGAACTATGGCTTTTCTACAGTCTCCACTTTATTCTCGTGGCTAACCCCGACGATATCTAACACGCGCTTGGCCTCGGGCCATTCAATCGAGAACTCCCGATGCCCTAGTTCTTCGATGTGAGTTCATATAGGCCATTAAAGTGGAATGGTATCATTTAGTCCTCAATATACGGAATATACAATCTTCAAATCCGCCCCTTTGAGTAGGGCCTCTCACGGATGAATCACTAGTACATATCTCCCAGTCTTATATGTATAGATCCCACACAAGTGCTGCAGCATTCACCAGCCCCATACAAACTTCAAAGACCGCAACCCGAGTCCAAGCACCGCCATTCTGGTAAAACACATACCCGGCAAAAAAGCGACCAGGCAGAGAAGCAACCATCATCGGGATATTGCGCTGGTAGCTGGCAATGGCGTAGATCATCGCCGTAGAAAGAGACGTCACACTGTGACATTTGCGATGAGTATTTAACACCAAGTCAAGTAAAGTATTGAAAGCTCACCCTATGCATCGGACTGTATGACTGGGAACTCCGGCCAGCGGAGAGTCCGAGAGGTTCGATGCAGCGGAAGGATACGCCAAGGTGTAGACGGCATTGGCCAGGAGAAAGGCGCCTTGAGCGCCAAATACGACGCTCAACACGCCAGGTGTACGGAGACCAATGTTTTGCATTGTCATAATGCTTGTTATTATTCTTTGGTTTTGTTTGAATTTTCTTTCAAACTAAATGTTGCTCATTCCGAGTGGGGAGCTTTTACGTTTCGCTCTCCGGTTTTCCCCGGCTGAACTTCAGTTTTGACCTAACATGTCTCTATGTAGTATTCCGTAGATTATATGGCAGTATTTTAGCTTGCGATGTTGATCTGATTTAGCCTATTGTTTGAATCTCCCATTATCACATGATCGCCGTATAGGTTCGTAATAAGTACCAACCTTAGAAGAATAATAATATAGTCTAGATCATACATAGCATGTGATAGATACCTTGGTGTTTGCTGTGGTCTACAGGTAGAATGTAACGTTACTTTCAATAGGCTCATACAATCCTCTCCTCTTCATAGTTCCAAATTTTACATATCAATATTGTACTTTACGTTTCATGATCTGATCTACTAGCCAGTAGTAGTACCTCTAAAACCTACTATGTATATACTTAGGTATATCTGAGGACAGTGCCTATTCCGTGTCCCATACCTTCATCGCTCTTTCCTTCTATGCTTGTTCTTTCCTTTAAATCACTAGACACGGGCCTGATCTCCAAACAGAATTCTATTACTTATTTCCTTTCCACGTGGTTGTAAGACATGTTGCTATACGGTAGTACACCCAACGGGCCCTTGCAGATAGAAACTGTTATGTCTATGTGGTTACAGTGGCCAAGGTCATACATGACTAGAAAGTTGTGATACAGTCCTCGAGGTCTTATGTACCCCACAGATTGGCTATGCAGGTACAGTCTCTAGCTAGATAGAATTCTCAGCATACTAAACTATACCTAGGTATGAGATGATTGTACCGGGGTAGAACGCACTCTATACACAATTAAACCATCTATTGCTTATTAGTCTACAGCTCTATGGTTTGTCGCAACCTTGGCCACAATCCACCTCGATTTTGTTTGCTTTCTCCTGAAACATTGTCACGCAAACACACTGTGCAGTTCATCCCACATTGACAATCTTCGCAAACTTTCCCAGTTCTGCTCACTGACTCCTCCAAAAATTCACCATGGCGCGTATGGTAACATCTCCGTGTCTAGGAGACCACGTTACAACAACAAACTCAAAGGACACTGCTAATTCTAAAACGGTCCGCCACACAACCCCAAGTACAAGCCAGGGCGCGCACAATCCCATCGCGTCCCCGGGACAATCGACCGATGTAGCAACCGAAGACTTCGAAATCACCGCCGCACTGAACCTCATCGCCGTCTCAGTGGCTCAGCAGCGCTATCTCGCCGCCAAATCTTTCATCCTCCACCCGGCCACTCTGACTCTGGTAGCCGTGGGTTTCGCTTACAGTGTCGGTGCCGTTTACCATGACCCATCTGGATGGCCCTACATTGTTGTTATCTGTGTCACCGTGGTATCAGCCACTCTGGGTATTGTCACACGCGTGGTTATGGAGTATAACAATGAGGCTGGGAAGGTTGGAACATTGAACTGGCTGTACGGGCATGATCTTAGCAATGATGTTAGCGCCCATCAAGACCCCGCCTTCAACTCGGACAATGGAGTTACGTTTGTGCTTGTTCATCGATTCGGGGCTCGCATTGTCGGAGCGCTTGTTATTAGCATCGTCTACGGTGGAATTGAACCCAATCCGAATGCCAACACGACGATCCTCCCAACGGGCGAAGACCACCATGCCTTTATACGTGCCTGGACAGTTCAAAAGGCCTTCCGTGGGTACGGCATTGGCGCCGCGCTCCTCTACGATGCTGTCATGATCTGCTATGAGCATAAGTGGAATGGACTCCAGTTCGCGAATTCCCACGCCAACTCGCTTCGCGTCTTTCCCTGCATCTTTCACTATGACATGGATCAGGCATCTACTATGTGGAGCTCGTATCTGCGCAAGCGGACTGAGGCTTATCGTCAATCACTTGCTGCTTTAGAGGCTCGGATCCTCAACGTGGCCCTGCATACGAAGGTTAACCAGGACCCGATGGTTGATGCACAAAGGCGGTTAATTTGTACCCATGCGAAGCTGGAGGAATTGATCCGAAGATACTTCAATGTGCGTCTTGAAAAGGCAGTTGAAGCTCAGACTCGATGGAAGGAATCGTAAAGGATCATGTTCCTAGATCGGCGTTGACTATCATCTTCTACTATTGTTAGCTATCTACATGCGTGCATACTATTCTGGTAGGCAGTATGATGAGGGTAAGCTCGTTGTCATTTTGCAGATAAGACCTTGGCTGATTCAATACTCAGGTCTCTTACATAGCCTATATCTGTTGTTCTCTGAATCAATGAGCTTTCCAATGTGACTCTTGAACTGAATTTAGGAAGTACCTCCTCCTTTCTTCGGGCAGCCCAATGAAGGGATATAAGTATTTGCTAGATTCTGTTATCTAGCCATGGATCTCTGAGTAGTTGCTTGGCCGTCTTTCTATCTTCCGGTTTCCATTGAAGCATTCCTCTCATAAAATTTAAGAACATCTCTTGATTTCTTCCACTCAGACGCTCCTCGGAGGTTTCCAGTGACATTCCCCCCGGGACCTCGATTTGATTAATCCAGTGTCCTATTGAACATGTCTTTACGTCAGAGCGATACAATTTGGAATGAGCTTAAGCCATCAAGCATTTCATACCATCTTTAGTAAAGAAGTCGCGAGCTCGCTCTCCACGCTTAAGAAAATCCAAGGGAGGAGGGCCCAAGATTCCAATCACTTCAGCTAGGTGCATACGAGTGGAATAACCCTTACCATCGGGGTCCATACCAAGGAACATGTGTTTACCTTCAAACAAATCCCATATCTAGTATTTTCATGGGCTTAGTAATGTAAAAATAGAAATAATATGAGATGAGGGAGCATACCATAGCGCCAACGTTCCAAATATCAACGGGGTAGCTCCACTCGGTTTTTAACATGACTTCTGGTGATCTGTATATGGTGGGTTGAGCATCGTAATCCCTCTTTTCGTCACCCCGTACAGCTGAACCAAAGTCGCTGAGAACTGCCCTACCAAACCTTTCAGGTAACTCAAATCGTCGAGAGGCATAGATTGGCATATTCGTAACTGATTTTCGCGGCGAAGGATGCTCTAACTCGGTGTCGGTAAACCTATCAAGTATTGACATCTCTTCAAATTCCTGGAGAATATTGTCACTCTTGATATCTAGAAATGTTCGTTAATGTTCTACTTAGTGACAATACAAAATTTATACTCACCTGTATGGACGAGCTTGCATTCAGTGTGGAGATAATCAAGCGCAAGGAATACCTGCTTGAGTCCGGTCTTAAGAAGATCCTCGCTAAGTCGACGTGCCGGAGTGCGATACATTAGATCTCGAAAGCTCCCCCACATTGGTTTTTGGGCAAGACAGTGATGTCCGCTCCCTTGGTGCGAGATCGTGAATGTATCTAACGCAGTCCTCAAATGGGCATAGCCTGGGTGTGATGTGTCCCCTTGGCTCAAAGCTTTGTAAATCTGAATCTCTCCTTGGCCAGTTCCATCTCTTGTATACACCTTTAATGTGACATATTGACGGCGCCTGGTCAAATTAGCATATTTTTGCTTCAAGAAGACTCAATGGGACACGGCTTACTTGAGATCACGAGCAAGCCATACTGTGGAAGTGGTTCCGAAGCCTAACTTGCCGAGTACCTGGTACTTAGATACTAAGACGTCACCGATATTGACAGGATAGTAGTGCCCTTTCTCGAACTCTTCGAACCGCTCTTCTTCAAAGATCTGTGACCGCTTTATTACTTCGAATCCACTTGTTGGAAACCGAAGCACAGCTGAAGGGCCTCCTTTCATAGCTGTCCTTGCCCACCTGAGGAGCGAAGTCATGGTCATCGATAGTCTGAAGAAATACAGTGAAATTGAGGGTAAAATGGGCCGTTGGTCCAAGTTTCTCAATCGTTACGGAAATTTGTGATTTAGGTTATTGACAACATGTACCATGGAAGGTATACTGGAACAGCAAATCTCCTATTATCTCCGGGAAGAAGTCTGATGTATGAATGAGGAAGGAAACGGTCAGGTGATAATTGCTCCGAACAGACCCAAAGTTTAACAGTATATAAGATTGGTTACCAGGAATATCTTCTCTTCGCGTTCTTTCTATCATGAGATTAATATAATTTCCCTTTTTCAATCTTGGTTTGATCTCCGCTAACGCAATGTACAGTATGACCCGAAATATAGCGGGTCGAAACCCCTCGGAATTTATATGGTGGACAAAGTGATATCACTACTATGTATTTACTACATACTACTTGACAACGTGATACAAAATAATCCTGGAAACTTTAGAACAACGGCAATCTCGTCTTCATGAAGCTACGTATAGAGATGGCGGCAGAGAAGTAAATGATCTCCATCTTTAGCAACTTAGCAATCACTACTGGCACAAACTTTCTACCTTTACTTTTATTTGCCCTGGTTGTGTTGAAAAACATATATATTCAGATATCTGTAGAGCTAGGACACACATCTAATAAACCCATCTATAAATTCTATATTTGTACATGATTAACCCATGTGATATCACCTAGGCAGCCACCAAAGCAGCAAGGAACTACATAATTACTATAAATGACTATCCCTACCCATCCACGCCTGTTAACCTCCTATTCACAACCTGTTTTACCCAATTTATGCGCTCCGCTTCATTCTCCACCGCATGATTAAAGTTGCGACAGGGAAAAAGGCCAAGGATACTGCAATCCAAGCGAACAGAATACCAAAGTCCAATCCAATGCGCGAATGGGTATCGAAAAGGATGGTTCGCAGAGCTTCGACAACTAGAAAAAAAAGTTAGATCAACAGTAACAAAGCACCGTAACCACGACGAGGGGAAAACTTACTTCGGTGTAAGGGCCATGCATATCCCCATCTATAGAAACCTGCAGCTAAATCAAGGTTATAGAAACCTGTTGCAACATTCGTAATAACCCAGAAAATCAGGAAGAAAGCACTCCATGGGAGTCCAAGGATCATAGCCATGTTCTCACAAGGGAATCCCAAAGCAGCCATGCCAACCCAGTTCAGCATCCAAAACACGACAAATGAGCCACGGCCATAGGCATTGGGATTAGTTTCAGACAGGAAATCCGACCCTTCGCCATTGCTGAATGGGATCTGGAAAGCCAGCGACACAAGCGAGTAGCACAGCGAAAGAAAGAAGTAAGCCACGATGCTTGAGAGAATGCGCCAAATGAGCCAATGTGGCACCTTCAGCGGCGGATGGCCAATTGGCTTCATGAACTCAGCATGAACAGGCATCATGAATGGGAAGTTGAAGAATGCAATAATGATCAGATAGATCAGACCGATTGTCACGGCGGGCGCAGCAACAGCCGGGGCAAAAGGTCGTAGATCAACGGACGTGAACCCAATGGCCGGGTTAATCGCCTGTGGAGGCACGGATGACAGGTTTCTGACAGACGAGGCTATAGACTGGACCCATTGTGGGCCGAACTCTGCTAGCACCATGTTCTGTAGGGTGGCCAGGTTGGGTGTGATATAGGTGGAGTAGGTTGTTTGATCGCGCGCGGAGATGAAGACTGTGTCGATGGCACTGGTCGGATCGTACGTCTTGTTGTCGTTAGCAACTGCATCCCGGAGCAGTGCTGTCGCGCCAGGGTTGATTATTATAGCGGCATAGGCATGTTGATGGTAGACATCTCGGCGCACGGCCAAAGGGTCATAGTTGAAGTCGGCAGGGGATCTGATAGTGTAGCCAATGTGGCGGGCGTCAGACTGCAGGAATTTGTTGGTGACATCGATAACTGTTGGGCCGACGATGGTGTCGTTGGAGAGGTATGGATCAACTTGGCCGTCGAAATCGACAACCCATACCGTCAACGCTGAGAAGTGGGCCTCAGTGTTGTATTGGGATCCCCAGAAGAGACATAGCACACTGAACACGAAGACGCAGAGAATTAACACTAATTGTTTTGGTTAGTTTTTCTTGCATTCCGCGAGGTCGCAAAATTTGAACTTTTGCTTACAAGTGCGAGCCCATTGGAAGAATACGCGTTGTCGAACCTCCTTGAGAGATGGATCAAAGAATGATACAGGCGCAGGCGGGCTGGCCTCACCGTCCAACTCAGCTTTTACCGTCATGACTGAACAGCGTGCAGGGAATATGCGACTATGAAAAACTGCGACTGGGTCATATTAATAGTTGAACAACTACACGCGAAAACATGTTCATCCGGTTGCGGCGTTATAGTTTTCCCTCGGGGTTTGTCCATTCTTGGAAGTTCCCTGCCTTAACTCCGAGTGAGACCGAGATCTGATAATTTCTGCAGTGGCAAGTGATAACCCTAAATACAAAAAAACAAAACAACATTAAACTGTGGAGTTTTAGTTACCAATAGGATAAAACTATAGCCGCACTCTATGAAATATACACGCGAAGGAGTGGTACACTAAGGAAGAATTTTGGTGTATACATAACCTTGGAACATCCTGGACTCAACCAACGGAGTTGGATCAGTCAAGACCATTGTGCATCGTATTGAGCAATTTTTTTTCCAATTAAATGCTTCCCTAATGGTTTAATTATCCCGGCGCGTCGTGTAGAAAATAATCCCTGTTGTATCAAGTTACCCGCCATTGCGCGTCCCCGTTTCATCAAGCTGATCCCATTCAGTTTACAGGGCCACGCATGAAGGTCCGACGCTATGAAGTGAAGCAGTGTGCGAATCGTGTGAAAGTTCACATCCCTCTATTTTCATAATATCTATGTTGCATAGGCCATCGACACAACTCCGATACCAGAACACAGACCAACAATGACCGTAGATTGCGATCGGCGAGTATAGTAGAAACAGCGCAATATTGCAAAATTTTGATCGTAAATTCATTTCATTTAATCTAAGGGTATCATTAAAAAATCTGTATATATCCTTTCCCACCGAGGGATTCCAATTGATCTTCCAGCGGACTTTCGAACAGGTTGCGCATAGGATGTAGGAGCCCGTCCGAGACCCTTGACTGTGTCAAACGGCGACATGCGAAAAGAAGGGAGTTGAAGATGTTCAGGCGCAGGTGACTTGGTATGAACCGTAGCGGCGCCTTGTTCCAGCCATGCGACAAGTTTGAGTGGCATTGGCTTGGCTGGCGATATCGGAGAATTCGTTCTGGTCGCACATGGTGTTATCGAACAACTCGATGCGACAACCTTCGGCGACAGAGTTCAGCGTATAGGCAGAGGCAACGCTGTGGAGGTCGGCACGACAGCCTGTGCTGCCAGATCCAGCATGAGGGTCACCGATAGTCCCATTGCATGAGGGCGACGGGAAAAGGGTGAAGGACCATTGAATGTTGCGACCGAGGAGGGGGAATGCGGAGGAGAAGTTGAAAAGTAGAGTCAGGGCCATGAGGCAGAGGTGGAGAGTAGAGACCATCGTTTGAGAATATTGACGGTGTATGCGATTGAGGGTTGAGAAGGGAGCGCAAGTCGAATAGAGAGGGTGGTCTGGTTCTTAAGGGTCTAAGTAGAGAAGAGACAGGGGAAGTCCCACAATTTATTATGGACCCACTCAGGATTTCAAGAGTTCATTTTAAAATTTTATATTTAAGGAGAAATTAATATATTTTGCATACCAAGACCAGTTCACATAGAGTACTACTATACTTCGATTTTCAGCCAAACATTTCACATACAAAGTATAGTAAAGAATTTCCTTCACAATGTGGAAAATCCCCCAACAACGGGTTTTCATTCCTGATGATATCATGCCGAGTAGATGATCATTTAATCCTATTTGGGTAAGTGGGGGCTGGGATATCCATCTTACGCAGATGCGTACGTACTCTCTCTTAGGTATTCTCCGAACACTCTCTAAAGTGTGATATTCTATTTTTGGTCGCTTGATATAAATATGGTGGCGGGACATATATCAAAACCAGGCTGGTACATGTGCCACCTCTCAGCCGATAGGGCAAAACAGCTGACATAAGATTTATGTTCCAGAGGTTCATGAAGAAGTCTTATGCTTTTTTCTGCTTTTATCTGCCGTCTTGCTATAATAAAAAAAGACATTTAAGAAGATTGCCAAAAAAAAGGACTGCAAGGCCACATAAGTGACCGACTATTTTTATAATTTTAACTGAAGTTTCCGATGTTTCTTCCATGGTTTTTTTTCTTATACTATGGACATCCCCTATTTGAAGTTGCTCGGCTTTTTTAACCCAATATCCTACAAAGGAATATCCTAAACCTGTTGAAAACGTTCAAAAAATCGCATCCATATTGTATAAACATATGATTTCCTTCCATATTATAGCTTGAACTAGATTGTAGATTTGAAACATTTTGGAATATCCTCGACCAAAAAAAAAAGTATACCTTTCCCTACCGGATCCTTACCAACCTTGGAAGCAGTCAAATCCCTTTTCGGGTGGGTTGCTACATCGCAGTACAAACTATCGCGAAATGCAAAATGCAAAATGCTAAAATGTACCCTTTGTTAGGGGTTCACATCTTAAGGTACGCAAAATCATGGATTTTTCGGCTCTGGAAACAGATATACTAATTTTACGACTTTTAAAATATATATTATCTGAAGAGATCAATCTCCTATAATATATAATCCTTGGAAAGGGGTAGGATATGCATGTGAATGAAGACTTTTGTGGCAATGTGTGCAATGCTTTGATCAAGAGAGGACATCAGGATTCGATCTGTATTTCTGCGTAGTATTAGCCTTCGTCTTTACAGTCTCCATGGCCACCCACCTTCATGGAGACAGGCACACACCCAATCGGTAATTGAGCCATGTCAATTGTGGAGCTTTCCCCAAGTTTCCAAGGTTGCTGTAGTATATGTATTTCAATTTTATTGATAAACTTGAAAGTTGATAATAGAGAGAACTAGAGAGAAACCAAAAAGATCAATACTTAAATGCAATGATATCTCTACTTGGTACTTGTCTGATAGCTCTCATCAGTACCACCATGACATCCCTCGAGAGACCAAAACAAGAGACTTTGCCAGGTCGCAGCGCAGTTCATGGTGTTGACCCAATGATAAGTGAGGAAACGGGCCCACCTTCACGTGTCCCGGATATTTTCTTATCAGATGCCATTCTGAGTTTCTCTTGTTCTCGCTGTTCCAATGAACAAGCCCTTCTAAATATGGAAAACCGTATTGCGGAGAATGTTCTCGGTACTCTAGGTGCAGTGAGTTCCAGTTCCCCCAATTGGTAGACCGAACTGACTATTTTTTCTAGGTTTGCTGGTCTATCCAAGTACGCGGTTCCTATGTGCCAATTATTATGTTTAGGCCCGCGCTAATCCCCCTGTACAGCTTCTTCCCCAAATAATCATCAATTACAGGAGACATGACACCGAGGGGCTGCAAGGGTCAATGATGCTCTTGTGGGCGGCCGCAGGAGTTCCCCTTGGGGTGTACAACATTGTGGAAGATTTCAATATTGCCCTAAGGATTCAGCCCCAAATTCTGACAACACTCAGCCTCCTTACTTGGGCACAATGTCTTTATTATGGAAAGGTAAATATTTGTTTTATCCAACATGATCTTTGTAATACTCATCTAGACTCAGAAATACCGAATTATGAAATGCTGTGTCGCAGTCACTTCGCTCCTGCTGCTGTTGGGCGGCATTGAAGCTGGACTCATATTTGCCTTACGAGCTGCAAAAAGCCATGGACTGGAATGGCCTCTTATATTGATGGCGGTTTTAAGTGCATGTTTACTCGCAGCAGGTGTGCTGACACATTACTGGGACATTTATCTCCACAGAACTGTTCGAGGAATCAGCTTCATATTCGTTGGAATTGATGCTGCTGGGGACTTGTTTTCGCTCGTCTCTGTCTGTAAGTCAACTTGATCATCTGGTAGAGATGACCAGTGGCTGATATGTAAGTAGTGTTTGGACCAACCATTGATATCCTTGGGATAATTATCTATGGAACTGAATTGACACTTTGGGTGGGCATATTTATCTGTGGCGGTATATTCAACCTCCGGCCCTGGATTAAAGAGCGTTCTGAGCAGCGAAATGGCAATCGTCAGGACCCGGTGGCTCTGCATCCAATGCCCTCGTCGACTTCTGTGTTCAGAACCGCGTCCGGATCTCAAGTGGTGGGAAGAAGGCCATGGCAAAGTTGATAACGAATTAGCAATTTATCATTTTAAATACTTCCGCATCAAATTATGGTTATGTATTTATACATTTTACGGTCTTATTTCTTTTGTTGATGTTGTCGTGGTGGCCACATTCATGTGATATGATCCCGAGCAGCTCAATGTCTACGAACGGGTATAGTATTGTAGAACTCGAAGTTTGAGATGGGTTTGAGTTACACGAGTGGAGCTGGATGGAGCTGGATGGAGCTGGATGGAGCTGGATGGAGCGGTTGTCAGACTCAGATTCAACTTTATCTCAGGAATGCGCCTGAAAACGTTCAGTCCCGCCGCACCCAGACCCGCTCGCTTGCTTAGGATACATATTTCCTTTCAATTTGATGCTTCTCAGTCACTCTGTATTAATGATATTCCACAGGCTATTTCCGAAGAAAATCTAGACGAATATTCACGTGTGTTTATTGTTATGTGGAAATCACTTCGTTCCTTGTGTAGCTGTGCCAAGAATCCTCAGAATTACATTTCCATCTCGGTACATTATCCCATTTCTCATTGTTCACTGTATATGTGTGCGCATTCTTGGTGACTGGGAAGTAGCGGCCCTTGCCTACAATTTCGCCTTGCTTGCCTTCGGACGTCTCCCGGTATCAACATCAGACCACCAAGGAAAGCTGGGCGGGGCATCACCCTCAAGAGTTGCATTAAAATTTGGCTTTCGTTTCTCGAAGAATGCTTCGATGCCTTCCTTTGAGTCCCTTTAATACAGAATAAGTAGTCAGTATTGGTTCTTGTCATATGAAATTGTCCAAGACTTGATGAAAGGAGGCCGAGGAAACATACTTCCCACTAAACATATGGTACAGCACCGCCGAATCAACTATATGAGTCTCCTCAGCACTCCCTGGATTCCGCCACATGAGTTCCCGCGAAAGATATGATGCCATAGGGCTAACATTCTCTGCAATTTCCGTCGCAAGCTCCAAAGCACGCCCGACTACCTGGGCTGGCTCAGGATATGTCTCCTGAAACAGCGTCCCAAAATTTGGCGACGTAGGAGGAAAGATGCCGCCAGTTGTGATTAAATACAGAGCATTTGAATAGCCAATCAACCGCGGGAGAAAGAATGAAGAGCTTGATTCCATCGTTAGACCCCGTCGCGGGAAGACAAATCCGTACTTGGACTTCTGGCAGCCAATGCGTATGGCAGCCGGCAGAGACATTGTCATACCCAATCCGACAGCGGAGCCCTGCATAGCCGCTATAGTAGGCTTGCGGCAGCGGTGGATGGCCAAGGCGAGACGGCCACCGCTATTGATATCGGTATTAGCGGAGTGGAGACGTGAGCTATGGGCTGGAACTTCATTATATTACCTATCACGGTGATCCTTGTTTCTCTCCTTCTCCATTCCACTGAATCCTCGCTCAAGGTCCGCACCCGCACAGAACATCTTGCCAGCACCAGTAAGCACCACGACTTTAACTCGTTCGTCAACATCAAACATGGGGTATATCTTCTCAAACACATGCATCATCTCCAAAGTGAATGAATTGTGCTTTTCCGGTCGGTTTAGTGTCACCATAATCACAGGGGTTGCTTCAGGAGCCCCGGCCGGGTGGTGGGAGACTTTGACATCGGTCAATGGAAGAGTCTCGTAAGACTTGGGAATATCGATAGTATCTGGATCGAAAATCATGGTCACTAAAGATGAACTAGATTGAAATTTACTTCACAATTTGCTGCGATATATTGGTAACTTATATGCCAATCTATGCTCGGCTTACGCATACCCGATCAGTAATCATCAAGTTTGCCTAGGTGGGCAGCAAACCTGGGCCGCGGTTGAAATATGATTTGCGTGGGGTTATGATTATATTATCTCGGAACATATTGAAAGCTAGAAGCAGCATGTGTCCTGAAGGGATAGATTTGACTGAATTCATCCTTGACGGACATACCAGCCGAAATAGTATCACCACCGTCGGCGGTTTCCATTATCACTCCAACATAGCCTTGTGGCTCATCTTTATCACAAAAGGGTATTCCAGCAATGCTCAGATGGACTCAGTCTCACATTTACTGTAGGCTCTATTCTCGGTCGTTATTTACGTCTTTTTTTTAAGATAGGCCTGTTTCCGAACCGGGGGTATATTATGCCAGACATGGGATTATAAAAGAAGAAAATGACGTGATAGCTTTCAAAAAGGATTATGCCTAAATACATATATCGTATCGAATTCATCGTGTCATGTGTCTAGCAAATGCCACAGCCATGTATTCCGTTGCATGATTCGGCGGGAAAATAGCTGATAGATAAGCAGTCCAGCCTGGAATATCGTTGCAAAATGTATACGCTCTAACAGTTTCACGCCATTCAGGGTGCCAGCCTGCAAGTTCCCAGTCTAACACTGCAGCTACATGACCCTGGTCATCAACCAGGATGTTTCTTGGTGCCAGATCACCGTGCGTGAAAACTATATTATCCTCCGGTTGTTTAATAGCCGTATAGTTTAGCATGGAGTCCGGGGCCGAGGTCGTCAATCTCGAAAATAGGTATTCATCGAAGTAGATTGGGTGCTGTGTATATATATTTGTATGTCTGGAAGACCCCAGATGGTCGTACTTTAGCTCTCGTAGTTGCTGTATATAACCGTGTAGTTCCTGCGCGACAGACACTTTTTGTGATGGAATCATGCTGGACCAGGCATCTTGCAGCGTTTGGCCTTCGATATAGTCCATTAAGATAGACCTAATGCCACCATCGTGGATTTGGATCTCGTGAACGCGGGGAATCGGGATAGTCGTGTTTTCGGCGATATAACGCATATTCTCAGCTTCAAGCTCTATGTATTGGGAATGTCCGTATTTAAGCAATCTGTCTTTGGCAACTCGTATTATCTTCCGAAGATTGGGTTCTTGTCGCTCTAAATGCCTCCACTAGTTAACATGATGGTAATCCCTGGGATAACTTCAAACATACTGACCCTCGCCAGAGACATCCATGGCGTCTACGAAGACCATCTGTTGTGAGACCCCTCACTAGAGAAACGAGTCTGTAAACAGATTATCAGAGAGCGAGGCACTGTTTGATCCATGACCAATCACGTGGTTGGGAGTGGTCGCATATGCAGTTGGCTGAATGCAGTAACCTTGTAAGTTGGGCGTAGCCCGTAGTCCCAAAGCTAACAAACAGTACTGTGGGGATGCAGAATCGAGGAGGACCATATGTAGCGGGACAAATATTACAAATAATACATAGATAGTGGACTGGATTGCGTTTAGATCAGAGCATCATGTATTTTTCTACTCTATGTGGCGTGAATAGTCATGATCAGGAAAGCCTAGGTACATAGGCTACCCCTCATCTATCTGATAGACAAGAATATTTAAACGAAGACCTTGGTCTCGCCGGCCTTCAGCTTGCCAGCATCAACAAGGCGCTTAGCCTCACCAGACCAAGCGGTCTTAACGGCAGCACCATCAGTACCGGCGATGGTGAGCTTCTCGGCCAGAACGGCGAGCTCATCAACATCGATCTTGGCCATGATAAGGTCGACATCGCTGAGGACACCGTCGATCTCAGCAGCAGTGGGCTCACCGGCGGAGAAGTAGTTGACCTCTTTAACGGAACCCTTGAGGATACGCTTGTTCTTCTTGGAAGCGTTCTTAGCGGCCTCCTTGGCCTTCTTGGCCTTCTCACGGTCAGCCTTGGCAGTCTCCTCAGCGTTCTTCTTGCGCTCCTCCTCAGCGGCCTTAGCAGCCTCCTTCTCCTCCTTGAGACGGCGCATCTCCTCCTCCTTAGCAAGACGCTTAGCGTCCTTGCCGGCACGAGCCTGCTGGCGGAACTTCTTAATACGCTCATCGGAAGCGAGACACTCGTCAACGAGCTCACGCAGACGGACGGTGTCCTCGGTCTTACGCTTGCGGCGGGCGTTGGCGTTCTTCTTCTCGACATGACGCTTCTGGTCACGGCTCTCTCCATCATCAGGCACATCCTCATCAAGGTACTCGAAAGTCCTCCAGCTGTCAACGTTGTACCAGAAGTTGTAGAAAGCCTCGACGTGCTCCTGGGTGCTGTTCTCGTCGCCGAGTGTGGGCACGGGCTGCTTGTTAGAGAAGCGACCCTCTGCAACAAACACGGGGCCCCAGGCCTTGTAGAACTTGCTACCAGTGAGCTTCTTAGTGGGGGGCTCAACGTCGGCGTTCTCATCGACGGAATCGAACTGGCGACGGCGAGTGGGGTCCAGAAGCAGATCGGTGGCCTTCTGGATGCACTTGAAGAAGCTGTCGTTCTCGTCGCTGTTACCCTGGGCGGCCTTCTTGTCAGGGTGGTGACGCAGGACCTTCTTGCGGTGAGCCCGCTTGATCTGCTCGGGGGTTGCGCGCCAGCGGTACTTCTTCAAACCCAAAACGGCGTAGTGATCCTGGCCCTGCTAAGGAGTTAGAATTTCGCCAACCAGGATACATGTTACATTACTGACCTTCCAGTCCTTGGCCTCACGGGCAAGCATCATAGGGTCCTCATCTTCAGAGATATCATCATCCTCCTCAGTCTCAGTCTTCTTGACATTGTTCTGGGCCTGGAGGCGCTCATCCTCGGAGAAAGTACGGTTGTGACGAGACTAGAGGGTGGTTAATATTGACGGGAAAAAAGGACTGCATTTGTAGAACTTACTCGGCGAGCGTGAGCCAGGAAATGCGGGCCAACGGGCTCCACGTTGCGCTTGGTGGCACCGGACAGAGCACCGACGATCTTGAAATCCTTCTCGCCAGCCCAGCCCTGAGGCAAGGCAGGAAGGGAGATGTTAACAACCTGAGCAGCAGCCATTGTATAATGGTTATTGGTGATGGTACCAAGTTGTGTGTGGAGAGCGTTGGGTCCCGCGATGGAATTTTTTGCATACATTTTTTTCTGCCTCAAATATCCGCCTCTATAGCCAATCACGGATCAGATGTTTTTGGAGTTTCCAGATTGGCAATACCGCCAGGCCTTGTTCCTTCTATTGACTTGTACATTCAAATTTTCTGGTTTAGTCGATCTTCGTTCTTGTTCAGATAATTGTAACTCCTACTTCGCATCTACACCATCACCCATAGCTCCGCCCTATCTTATCCGTGCCGATCATCCGCAGCGACAATTTGCAACCTGTGCTTCTCGACCTGTTTCTAAATACACTCAAGTCTATACTTCTTCTATACTTCTCTGTGACATTCCGATTTTCACTATGGCCACCTCCACTGCCGCTGCCGCTAAGAGCGCATATCGCCAACTTCTCCGGTCCACCCGGGTTGTCTTCCACAGTTCGTTTGACAAACACAACCGGCACTTAAGCTTTTGTTTCCCTCATACTGACGCCCGCTATAGATGATCTCCCAGTCCTCATGGCTGCACGCCAGGAAGCGCGCGAGAATTTTGAGAAGAACCGTCGCCCAGCCGTCGACACTGGAATGCAAATCAACCATGCGATCGAGGTTGCAAATATCCTGCGCCACAACATCGTCCAAGGCTCGAGGGAGCAGGGAGATGAATCTGCTAAGTGGGGTATGTCTTCCATTAACCTGGCGATCCAATTGATGGTTTTTTACTCATAGTATTATGCACACTGTTTGCTAACGAGCGATTGTTTCTACAGAACTCAATATCCACGAGCAGATCGAACGCGGTGATAACGAATCTATCAAAATCGGCGATCAGGATGTGAAGATTCATAAGGCTTGCTCGTCATGATGGTTTTTTCTCCTGCCATGATGCTCAGTGGAATCTGAGCGCACTCTCCGAGTCCATTCAAAGTCTAAACGACAATGAAAATGACGTTGAAGTCAGCCTGTGAGCCTATGTCAAATCGACGGCAGATGGAACAGTCAAATAAGCTACAACAGTGACCGGACATGTATTATAAGATACCCGACTCTTTTATTCATTGGCGTCTCCGGGGTATTTTCGATTGAAGTACATAGATCTGCATAGAATGATGATCCCTGATAACGCCCGCTCCGAACCCTAAGTTACATGCAAACTTGATTGCTTTTAATGGTATCTCCGCGCAAGTTTTGTTTAGTCGCCATTCATGCTGGCGTACTGGACCTCGCCTGATCCGGGTGGCGGTGCAACAACATGAGGCTGAGCTTTCTCCTGGCCAACACCCTCGCCTGCAGAGGTAATGGCTTGTCGGTCTACTTGCTTGCCTTTTCCAACTGTTCCCACAGTCTGACGACCCTCACGAGCATTTTGCATTCTTTCTTCACGGTCAAGGTTATCCAGTGGCTTCGGCTTTCCCCAGCGAACACGCAGAGGGCAGCCCTGGATGATGGCCTTGCCTTGGCAGTGGTTTGCGGCGGTTTCGGCGTCTGCGCGGTTGACGTAGTTGATAAAAGCACAGTGGGAGCGATGAGAGCAAATAAGCGACCGGAGTTGGCCAAATTCACTGAAAAAGGTGCGGAGCGCATGTTCGGGGAGATCGTCTTCCACGCCTGTAATGAACAAGGATGTGACGTTGGGATCCGTAGGGGGGATGATATCCGCAGCCGAGGGTGGCAACTGGGTGGTACTAGGAAATGGGCGACCACCGCGACCACCACCTCGCCCTCCACGACCTGGAAGGCGGTTTCCGACGCGGCTTTCACTGGTGCGAACCGGACCGGGCCCATTTCCATAACGACTGTTTGTTCGTGGTTGATCCGTCGCCGTGCGTTCCTCTTTCTCTTCTTCAGCAGGTGCTTCGATTCGTCGGGGTTTGCGGTAATATGGTTCGCTGTTTGCGAGGCGTCGCAAAAGCTCGCGAGCCTTGTCGTCTGTCTTTTCGTATTCTTCGATCGCACCACGGCCCTCTTCGATTTCCTTCTCGTTGTTCTGCGCGTAATACTCGCGATTGATGGAGCTTTCCGGGCCTGGGGCGACCATTTTCAGAGCAGCATCACGGACGGCAAGGGGAAGACCAAACGACAAATCTAGCATGCAGCATTGACAGCAGTTCTTCAAGCGTGCACATGTGAGGCAGATGATGGATCGCTTTTGGCGGGAGGTCCGATCGGCCTTCCAACGGAAGATAGTGAAGGGGCGCGTGCACTAAGTAGTTAGTATTTGGCCATGAAAAAGCTTCGAGGGAGCAAAAAAAAAGACTTACGATCTTGCATTCTGCGCCATGGTCTTCCTTGATCATCTGCACATAGGGATTTTCGGGAAGGCAGTTTTCACAGACAGATGGGAAGTCTGTCGATTCCCAGCCGGATCGGTTCAAATCATGCTTAATTTGGGGAGGCATATCGGAGTATGAGGTTAGTTGATCCGAGACGTGAGAGAGCTTCCAGGTTGGATTATCAAGATCGATAGAAGTGGCGTGTGGCTCAGTGTGGCTAATTGATCACGTGAACGTAGTGCATCAGGTCACTTTTTTTTCTACCGGGAGATGCAGCGTCCGACTCAGCCACAGCCCGGAAGTTGGTGTCCCGTGAGTAAGGAAGAGTGTGGCCACCCCAAACAGACCCCCCCAGAGGACACTAAAGCTCGGGCTAGTTGTTCGGTGGAACCCCCTGATTGGCTCTCCACTTCGGATTGTCAAAAAGTTGCTTGGGATTCGACTCTTATTTATTTCCCCTTTCTCCTACTTCTCCAGTCGCAATCCATTCCCTTCAATTTGTGCCCTCTTGCTTCGCTTCTCTTGTGGTATTTCCAATCTTGGTTTACCTTGTCTTTTTTCACTTGAAAAATCTTGGAAATTGACTCTTTTTCGCCTCTTTACAATCTACCCCTTTTAATCTTTGCGACTCGTTTATTCACTATGGCTCCCTCTGCATTGGAACGTGAGGACAAGGCGCGCGATGCGGCCTTCAACAAGGCTCTGCACGGCCAGTCTGCCAAGGCCCAAGGTGGTCTCGCTGCTATGCGCGGAAAGGACTCCGCCGCCCAGAAGGCTGCCGTCGACGAATACTTCAAGCACTGGGACAACAAAAATGCCGTTGATGAGACACCTGAAATCCGTGAGGTATGGCAATGCGCATCCAACACAATTGGTTCTTATCGCTAACAGTTCCTGCATGAATAGGCCCGCAAGGCTGAATATGCCACCTTGACCAGACAGTACGTCCAGAAACAAACCCTATTAATTGAAGCCTCTCATGCTGATGAATTTTTACAGCTACTACAACCTGGCCACCGACTTCTACGAGTACGGATGGGGCTCTTCCTTCCACTTCTGCCGCTTTGCCTACGGTGAGCCTTTCCACCAGGCCATTGCCCGCCACGAGCACTACCTTGCCCTCCAGGCTGGTATCACAGAGGACATGAAAGTTCTGGATGTTGGCTGTGGTGTTGGTGGTCCCGCTCGTGAGATGGTCAAGTTCACTGGTGCTCATGTCACCGGTCTGAACAACAACGACTACCAGATCGACCGGGCTACCCACTACGCGCACAAGCAAGGTCTCTCGGACAAGATGGCCTTTGTCAAGGGCGACTTCATGCAGATGAACTTCCCCGACAACACATTCGATGCCGTGTACGCTATTGAAGCCACCGTCCACGCCCCAGAGCTTGTCGGTGTTTACAGCGAGATCTTCCGTGTCCTGAAGCCAGGCGGTACCTTCGCTGTGTACGAGTGGCTCATGACTGACGACTATAACAACGATGATGCCGAGCACCGCCGCATCCGTCTCGGTATCGAGCAGGGTGATGGTATCTCTAACATGGTCCGTATCTCTGATGGCCTCGAGGCCATGAAGAACGCTGGCTTTAATGTGAAGCATCATGAGGATCTCGCTGCTCGCCCCGACCCCATTCCCTGGTACTACCCGCTGGCGGGCTCCTTCAAGCACATGGGTTCAGCGTGGGATTTCTTCACCATCGCTCGCATGACCTGGTGGGGCCGTGGCCTTGCCCACCGCTTTGTCGGTGCTGGCGAGTCCATCGGTATTTTCCCCAAGGGTTCCCAGAAGACCGCCGACAGCCTCGCCTTGGCTGCTGACTGTCTGGTTGAAGGTGCTCAGAAGAACCTCTTTACCCCCATGTACCTCATGGTCGGCAAGAAGCCTGAGTAAATCTTGAGCAACAACGGTGTTAGCGGTTTTTCTGTGTAAAAATATTACCCCCGGCGTGCACGTTCTCCCCTGGTCCCCATCTTATTTCATTTGATCTTCTTTCTTCACGTTACCCTCCGCATGTCACCAGGGGATTTTTCTTGGCTCAAATCTGACCCAATGTCGGTAGAGAATGAGCCGCGTGCCGCTTTCTACTAATCGATGGTGTCATTAATTTTTTCCTTCTCTTGTTTCTTTTACCTGTCAAGATAGCAATGTAATAGTCATTGAGTCAAGAATAACGAGCAAAGGATTAGTATTGTGTTATGTTGGTTTTTTTTTTGTCTTTGTGTATTCGCAGCGCACATACTGTTAGAACTTCATATATAGATATTCTACTCCGTACATGTCTTTGATTTATTTCTTTGGATTACTGGCCAATCGACCTTGGGACAGTGAGCTATCATCGGCAGAGGAAACCATTTAACCAAACCATCCTTCTTGTCATATTATAGGTACCCTGAGACCGGAGGGACCAACATTGGCATGCGTCCGTCCGTATAAACATTAGTATCATATAGATCCCTGGCACCATATGCACATAGCAACTCTACCATAGCAGCTGCCCCATCCCTTGAATGGAGGCACTCGGAGGCCCACCGTACGATTGAATAAGATGAATAGCACGAAGTCCCCCCAACCGAGATGTTCGGATCTGCTCCACGACGAAGCAATAACTCCGCCACTTCAACGTTGCATTGCCAGACAGCCAGATGAAGAGGTGTCTGGCCCATCATAGAATCGTTCACATCTAGGCCCTTGGCAATCATCTTTCCAATGAACGAACAATTCATAGACCTGGTCGCATTGAACAGTGACGTCTCCTTCTTCCAATGCGGAACAAAAGGGTCTGCACCATGGTCAAGCAAAATCTCAGCCATCTCATAATGTTTCAGCCTCATGGCCTTTGCCAGAGGCGAAAGTGGGATCCTCGAGCGGTGGGTTCTTGAGCAGTTGAGATTCCCCGGGTAGTCATTAGGGTTGGCACCACAGTCAAGAAGCATTTTGATCGTATCCTTGTGGCAATTTGATATAGCCCAGAACAGGATTGTCTGATTTCGCGATGCTCGTTTCGGGTCTGCACCGTTTTCAAGGAGCAACCGCACAAGATCATCCCTAGCAGATGGCTGAAGCATGCTATTTCCCCGAACAGCAAGCCAGAGAGGAGTTATCCCAAACACTGGATCGGCATAATTGGGATTGGCTCCCTTTTCTAGCAACAATGATATAATCACATTACTACGAGCCGCCCTCGTTGAATGTTCTGGATTTGGCGATTGAAGCCCAAAATCGGCAACAGCGAGGCAAAGTGGTGTTTGAAAAACCCTGGATCGACTCGCGCCTGCTTCGGTATCGGCACCTTCATCTAGGAGCATCTTCATGATTTTCCAGTACCGAAATAGAGTTGCCAGATAGAGCGGTGTCTGATCCTGTGAGTTTCGCACGTTGATCCCGGCGCCTAGCTCCAACAATCCCTTCAATTCTTCGGGTGCTCGGACTTCTATTACGGCAAGACAGAGCGGCGTGTTGTTCCCGCAAAATCTTGTATCAATATGAACACCCAGTCGAACCATCTCTTTGCACAAAGGCAGACAGCCGGTAGCGGCTCCTAGATAAAGAAGCATAGCGCCATACTTCTCCATGGTATATGGATCTTCCAATGTCTTTCTCAGTTTGGGAAGATCGGAAACTAGAGACCTGGCAAGCTTGACCCCACAGCTACAGAAACCAGTTCTCTCAATAATACTGCTGCGACTCAGCAAAAACAGCGCACACTCTAGATGACCATTTGCCACTGTTGCGGGCACAATCAGCCCTATTCTGTGCATGTATTGTTTGCAAGTGAGATTATCATACTCTCTCATAGCAAGAATATAATCAACACACAGAATATGGCCACCCTCTGCAGCTAGTCGGAGAGTAGCTTTGCGCCATGGATCTTCTACATCCAGCAGATCTGCGAAATTGATTTCCCACATGAGTTCTGGACGAAGACCTCTTCCTACAAGGTCTTTCATCATATCCAAATGGCCATTTCTTGCGGCCTGGCCAAGAAGCTGTGCATCACAACAATCGTGCATGCATTCCCCATAAATATCAGCGCCAGATTGAAGAAGTATATTGATCATAGAGATGTGACCTCCCTGAACTGCCCAGCAAAGTGGAGTATGGAAGAGTTGACAGCCGTGTGTTGGAAATCTCAAATCCCTGGTCATATTTGACGAGTCTACTGCCAGAGACTTCTGAACAACAGTGTCATAACCACGCAAGGCGCCAAACGCCAGTGAGGTTCGGCCACAATGCTGTGCATTGAACTTGTATAAGCGGGGTTCCAGCCTATCATAGAACCATTTGTTTGTTTGTGAAAGCGCGTTCAAATCTTTTTGGGTTGCGATGGAAACGTCAGCGTTGTTTGGTTCTGTTGCGGCGAATTGGGAGAAGAGGCAGTCGACTATAAGCAGCACGATCTCAACAGGTAGATCTAGGAGTGAAATCATATTGTGAAGTGAATAGAGATATATGATCTAGCATGAGAATTGTTGTGCGTTGAGCACACAGGATCTCTCAGGTGTTAATTGTTGAACAATTTCGGGGAGCTGAACTAGCTGGGGCTGAAGCGCTAGCCCTAGGGAGTATGCCGATCCTTACATAATGTGATATCGTCTCCCTGGTATCTTGGAGTATCAAGTAGTATCTGGGTATAAATTTAGAGTTATGTGGAGATTTGCGAGATAAAGTGTGACATTACCACCGGGGCAGATGCCAAAGAGGGGGTTGGGTGGGTGTGGCACTTCACCTGGCGGCTAACTAGTTATGTAGTTAGCTACATGATGACCGGGGTCGGTGCCTGAACTTGTAGGCAGATATTCACTGCGTCTAGGCAATTTTATCTCAGCAAATCCAGATTTAGATAGGGATACATTAGGGACATACTTAAATATCAGAGTCTTCTAAGTAGTAGAATTCCCCATGCCAAGGCTACCTAAGGTTTTAGATAATGCATCTGTATGTTGATAGTTAGCACCCTATAGCACCATCAAATGGAATGATTTACCCGAATAATGTTTGCCTACGTCTATCAAATGAGTACGGGAACGGAGGTAGGGGTGGTTTTTGTTTTGATCCGAAGATATTTTCCCCTTCTGTAGGCCATTGAGGGACTGTTGGATGTCCCTAGAATCAATGTTCACAGAAATTAAAGGTCGCTTGGGATAAACTTACATCATAGGTCATATTCTCATCGATGGCTACCCGTTCGACTATCAGATCCTGTCTCACGTCGAGTGCTTTCCCCCAGCTGAGCGGAAAGTCGAGCTCACCAATGATTATATCGAATATCTCCAGGGAAAGAGTATTGAACAAGGGCATCTTTCTCACTTCAGTGGCCCACCGGTCCCTCTGCTACGGAGGCTCATTGGCAGTGAACAGAATCAGAATGTGCGGATCAACAAAAAACATGGCAAAGACCTTGAGGTGATCAGGTTTTCCCTTATCGAACAGCTCAATTTGCTGGACTATATGCTGGAGGGCATAGAAAGCCATTCAGACGACCCAGACGGCTTAGAAAATTGCCTAGTCCTTAAATACGAGGTTGGTAGTTTTCGATGCCGTAAAACTACTCTATCGAGTCATGCTCATCCTATACAACCTATCGACTGCCGAACTCGCATTATCGATACATATCAATAAGTGTATCTACTGTGGACAAACGGCTTTACCTATTCATGATCATGTTTCATATCTGTTCTTCTCAATGCATATCGGAATTAAATGTGGCTCGGCATGATGTTCTCCTCATCGTAATGGTATATAGCCGTGGTACGCGTAGGTTCATTTCTCGCGTCCTCAATATACCAATTCCCACCCTCGTACTGAGGGACTTGAGGTGTCAGATGGGTATTGACAAGTTTGAATATCACATAGAGTTCTCCAAACCCTTGGTTGACACTCACTGCACGATGTTTAAGGTCTTCGTTCCAACGGCGATGCGAACGAAATGGCATGGGCTTAGTCCGGTTGAGTTTTACGTGGGTTTTTGTTTTGCCCACTCATCAAATCTTCCATGGTCCTGTTTACTCTTCCGGTGCACCTAGCTTATGGGTGCGCCCCTTTAGTGCTTTGTCTGACCTGGGGCTCTCCTTTGGGACAAACCTTCGTCCATCAGGGATGAAGAATTCTGTATAGTAACCATCGATGTCTTCATGCTTTAGAGGCTCTTCCCGTAACAGGTATTTATTCCATATTGTGATTTCAGCTTCGAAACCCCTTTCTAATGCCAGCTGAAGGGTCCCATGCATCTCTAGGTGAATGTCGTTGACACGGCTGGTTTGAGGACACCCATCTTCGCTAAACTACAGGTTTAATGGAATCCACCAACATCTCCCCCACACATCAGCGAAGACGTGGCCATAGTAAAATATGGAATCATAAAGTGCTGCACAGTGTTTATAGTCGTCATTATTATCTACACTGAAGTTTACTACATTTCCCTTACCATAAAGTGACGTGCAACAGTTGATCAGCATTATCCTCTGGGAGAGAGCGAGATATTCTGTGAATAAGAGGAAACAGAGACGGGTGGCACAAATCCAAGACAGTCCCGTTAGGTGTAAGCTGCCAATCCTTTGCGTGATCGGGAATAACTTCGAGAATACGGACGCACCTTTTCAATGCCCGGTCCAAATGTTCTGCGATAGCCCCAACAAATTTGACAACCGCCAGCTCAAAGTCGATAATGGAAACCACGCTCGTCATTTCGTAGTATGCTGCTTTGTTGCTCCTGGATGCACTTATCGATATTTAAACACTGCTATGTATTCCACAAAAATCCCCAAAGAAGTACTAACAAGGTCAAATGCGGCAGACATCATACATTACTCGTCTAACAATATGTTGCTATTCAAAATTATACGGTACTCAATCTGTGACTGATCTCAATGCTGCTACAGCGCAGGACTAGTTGAGTTGGCAGTCAACAGCAAAGCAAATAAAGCCTACACTTGCCTCCTCGGCGCCATGTCTCCCTTCATCAATGGCTGTCGTCCAGCTATGTTTCCTCTTCCACATCTAAAAGCCCTATCCTCATGAACTCTATTCAGTAATTCATCACCCCCTTTTGCGCCAATCAACACAGCAACTACCTCGTTATTCATGACTTCCACAGCTAGACGTACAGTTTTGAGTGCCAATCCATGGCCATATCGTTCTTTTATATGTTGCACTAATAACAACACATTACCATCTTTTGTTGTCTTTTCGTCAGCAATAAGGAAGAGTCCTGGGTTCAAAATGCTCCCCGCGGCGTCCTCGGCCAGAAACCGCGTGACATCGTGAGCCCTCCCTCCGATAAACGGGGAGCTGAAAGAAGGCTCGACGTGTGTTTGAGTCTCTGGGTATCTCGTATAATGGTGGATCAAATTGCTGGTCATCTCGGTGAGGAGAATAATCGTTGCTGGCGAGCTGATATTTTTGACTTTATGGTACGCTGCGTTAAGGATGCATGAGAAGGTCTAGATTCATCGATTTTTAGGGTGTTTAAGGCTCCCGAGACTTTCTAGATGCGATAATTCATGCTTACTGCAAGGCAGATCTCATGGATACTAACAGCGCTTATGAGTGGATCTCCCATTTCATATAAATTCGAATCTTGAGTATTTGTATACTAGGTTAGATGACTTGTATTGAAGACGAGCTCGATCCGTGGTGAAATAGGCACTTCAAGTACGTTCAAAATTAGTTCAAATATGATTTTGAAACTGAATTGCGAATTATCGCTCGAAACCCTGCAAAGCTAGCTGTGTTTGTGCCCCGCCCCGCCTTCCCAGTAAAAGAAAAGAAGCAAAGCCTCGAAGAGCGCGGAGGGGAAAACTTCCATATTACCTATGTTTGTTAATTCTTTAGAATTAATATCAGTAGCAGGGCGATCTAATCACACTTATACTAGACAACATTCGTGGTCTTATTTCTCCGTTAGCTAGTTTAAGCGTTGAGGGAAATGATTATGGCCTTTGTACCTTGTGTATCCAAATTTTGGAAGTTGTCCCTCTCGAAATATAGTTAGCTTCTCTAGAACCTCGGATGATTCTTCGCACGATGTGCCTGGATAGAGACTGATTGGTAAATGGAAAAAAGTCCGAGATGTCCGTGTGTAAATTGACAAGAAAAATGCCACAATTCCACTTTCGGCACTACTTTCCGCCAAACAACCTATTGAAATCCCCCAGTTCTGCCTATATTTGCAGATAATATAGTTAGTAAGGCCCTTAGTTAGGTTTGCATTATTCCTTCTTTTGTTTCCTCATCCACAAATGTAACTTGCTAGAAGACACGTGACCCATCTGTTTGCTCCCAGGTCTCAGTGCTCAGTAACTACGGAGTACAAAGTAGATACTAGTTCCTTTCTCTCTCTGCGAATTCGGATGTTTTTCAAATTCTTTTTCCAGTACCTCTTCAGATCTATCTGTGCTCATAGCTCTTGTTTCTATTCATGAACAAACTGATCTAATCTTAGCTAGGGCAGGAGGCGAAAAGAGATCATACAAACTTCGAAGGCTTAATTCAACCTCTAGTACTCCGTATATAACTTTGCATATAGCCAATCTATCAGAGTATTCTCTTTGATGAGTGTCGTTCTTATAAATGAGAACATGAGTGGAGATATATGTTCAAGGCTTTAAGTCTCAAAACAAGACGCCAAGAAAAAGGCCAAGAAGCAGGTAAGCATAATGTAACTCTGGAACTAAAAGCTTTTATGCGGAATAATATATAAATTAATATCGACCTATGATTATATAGGTAAAAGCGGCCGAGTGTATGGTAGTGAGCTCAGCAGTCAGCCAGTTAGGGCACGGACAGAACCAACGTGCCAGCGCAAGGCCGAAGACCTGATCCACTCTCCGCTCGTTCCGCTATTTACCCAATTAAATCACCTTTATTGCGACTTTACCTCAATTCAGGCCAATTCAGTTTAGTTCAGGCCTTAACTCTTTTGGATAAAAGGCTTAGAAATGCAGCCAGTTAGCCTGCATCGATCGCAACGTGGTATCATGTAGCATAGTGGGCGGATCCGCCTGTCACTTGGATTCTTCCAGCCGATGAGGGGAATGTTACGCCTCTCGGGCTGGCTCGAGTATAAGATCGCGTGTCACCCAACGAATCTGCTCATCTGTTTCCTTTCTCATCGCAGCTACTACCGCGATCGCCAAACATGTTCACTAAGCAAACTCTTCTCGCGTTCGTCGGGGCCCTGGCCCTGGCCACGGCCAAGACTACCACTGTGCAGAGCCCAACTCAGGATGAGGTCGAGGCGGCCCGTGCTACAGCCCGGCCTTACTCTCCTGTGTCAAATGTGAAGGGTTTGGCTTTTGATCGTTTCGTGAACATCTGGCTCGAGAACACAGTGGGTTTTCCCCTTACATGGATAACAATGACCGCGTGCTCACCCCTTTGCAGGACTTTGAAACCGCTGCTATGGACGAGAACCTGTCCAAGCTAGCTAAGGAGGGTATCCTCCTGACTAATTATTTTGCCGTCACTCACCCCTCGGAGCCCAACTACGGTGCTTCCGCTGGAGGTGACACCTTCGGCATGGACAATGACAACTTCTGGCAGATTCCATCCAATGTCTCAACTATTGCCGATTTGTTTGACACCCGGCACATCTCTTGGGGTGAATACCAAGAGGACATGCCCTATGCCGGCTATCAGGGCATACGGTACCCCCTCAGCGGTGCAAACCAGTATGTGCGCAAGCACAACCCGCTGGTTCTGTTTAACTCAGTCACCGACGACGCCGTGCGTCCGCGCCAAATCAAGAATTTCACCACTTTCTACGAGGACGTGGCACACCACAGCCTTCCCCAGCACATGTTCATCACACCTAACATGACCAACGACGCCCACGACGCCCCCATCAGTGTGGCCGGCGACTGGGTCTCTCGTTTCCTGCCTCCCCTGCTGAAGGATCAGAACTTCAACAAGAACAGCCTGGTGCTGGTCACCTTTGACGAGAGTGGCAACTACACCCACCCCAATCGGGTCTACAGCTTCCTGCTTGGCGATGCTGTCCCGAAGCACCTACGGGGCACTACCGACGACACTTTCTACACACACTACTCAATCATCGCCTCCCTGTCCGCTAACTGGCGTCTTCCTTCGCTTGGTCGCTGGGACTGTGGTGCCAACCTGCTGAAGTTGGTTGCCGAGAAGACCGGCTATGTCAACTGGGAAGTTGATACCAGCAATGTCTTCCTCAACCAGACTTACCCTGGACCTTTGTCCAGCAAGAACTATTCCTCCAAGTGGGCTGTTCCTGCCACCAGTGGCGACTGCACTGCTGGCCATGGTATTTATAATACTGTGAAGAAGACCTACCGCGGTCTTAAACCTACCTATGACTACACCAGCCCTGTGCCGTATGACAAAACCAGTGGAAACAACATCGGCATCACGTACCACCGTACTCTGGTATGGTCCCTTTTTCCTTTTTACCTTTGATGATTTAATGCTAATAATTTACAGAAGCATGGCAAGAAGGAGACCCGTGTCACTGGGTAAACCTGTGATCCAATATATGCACACCGGGACTGTCGTGTCAAATGTGAAATTGTGCAGTTATTCTTGTCTATGAAAAGTTGATTGGATGTTAAATTGTTCTATCACGTTAAAAGGGGTTTCTAGGTTTGTTACAAACCACTGTGGATGTGCCAGATGATTATGACTTGCTTCCAATCTTACGATCCACATGGGTATGGGGCATCCCCGATTTACCTCTACCCCACGAAATATATATCCCCACAATTGAACTACATATTGCGCCAATAAATAATGTTTGGTTTTCTGAAAAATAGGAACTTCAAATACGCAAATTGTCAATAAATTGACTGCACTGAGGTAGATAACCTAAACATGAGCCCTGTTTTCCCTTTATCCCTTTCTGATATCCTTTGGGCTGTGAATCTCTTGATCATACGCTGTTCGAACGTATCAGACATTATAAAAGTGACAGTGTGTCATAAATGCTCTCGTTTCGGTTTGGTTCCTCTGTAGCTTTAAGAGAGATATTCACGAACTAAGATTCACGAAGAGTCGGCCAGATGTTTGTTTAGATATTGCCAATACGCTTCTTTCGCTCTTCAACCATTGAAATATCCTCCAGCAAGTTGCCCAAAATTGAAGGTGGACCCTATCACATCTCCCCTTTCTAACAATTGCTCTTCAGCCTTGCAAATATTACTACTATAGCTCGAACTACTCCGATCAAGAGGTCTGGCTTCGCATCCATGTTCGCCAGACCCTAAGGGCGATCGGCCTTCCACGAACCAATCAGCGGTAGTGGGATTAAATTCCTAGTAATTCTCTCAGATCACAAGGAAATCTTCCGGAGAATGCCACATGGAAACCTGTTTCAAGGTTTTCCCACATTCCCAAGAGGAACTCGAGGGGATGCCAAGACCCTATAAACGTCACAGACTGGAGGCGTCTTGATGCTTTTTATCATGACGTTCTAAGAGTTGCTTTGACTTTGGACGGTTTTGCCGTGATCTGCAAGCCGTGTCCCGAGAAGCCTGGGCACCCAGTCGTTTCGTACGATGAGTCGTGGACCCTTTAAAGTCACGGCCGCATATGGAGTACCTAGCGATATATAAATATCCAACATGGCATCATCGCAGACAGTGCGCATGTTCTTATTCGGGAAGGTAGCGAGGATCGCGACGATGCTGATATGCATGACAACTCGGGGAATTATGTTATTGGTACAAAAGGAAAATTAATATAGACTTATATAGCGTACAAAGTAACTAAGCATATCTATCTACTTTCCGCTGTTTCATTTCTGAAAACAGAAATTTTAGTCAAAAATCGGAAGTGAATTGTCCGATAATGCCCGTGACTCCCAGGAAATCATTTAGTACCTATACATTGTAGGTACCTATGTATTTACCCGTATGTGGGTCCGGATAAATACTTTTTTCCTCCCCATTTTCTCGCAATAGTATGTATAAGGCCTATAGAGCCAAGATCTAGTAGAAAGCTTCGATATACCTAGAATCTTGGAACCTTGGAAAATACTTGGAAGGCTTGGTTGATGAGCCAAGTAGTGATAAGCAAAGATATTATGGATCCTTAGAAAGGTCTTGACCTGTCAAAGTCTTGTGAAATCTGTATGGAGTGCTTTCTTTGAATGGCCCATCATTTCCTAATGCGGAAGTACCCTTGGAAATGGATCCACTCACATTTACTGAACTTGCCAACCTTTCTGATTCCTTTGACATTAAAACATTTCTTGTCTCAGAGTCCAAATAATTACTGAAGTGTTGATTTAGAAAATGTTTATTCGGCAAGGGCTTATTCGGCAAGGGCTTATTTGGCAAAGGCTTCGGGCGTATTCGAAAGTTCCATACATGTGAGATTTTTTGTGTTGTACTCCGTGTATACCCTCAAATAGAAGATACCAAGGCGGGTTGTTAATCTGACTACTCCGTACAACATACGCAATCTGTTATGCAGTTCATATCTCACACACATGTCACTATGCCTCGTGAGCCCGATGATCATTGCTGAAGACGGCGTTCCGCACAACACCCCGGGAAATTAATATACGGCTGAACCCTCGCCGTAACCGGCCGGGGCATCGGGCATGGCGAAGTTCGGAAGGAAAAAGGCAACTAAAACGAGATCGTTCTGAATATGTAAGATTCGGGCTGCACCCTGTCACCAATCAGCGGATTAGAGGGGGGGAAAAGAAAGAAAAGCCAGAAAAAGAAAAACCAAGAAAAAGAAAAGCAATGGCTTACTGATTCCAGACAAATATGACCATTCAATGAAATCTTTCACCCCTGACCCACCTCCCTAATTTCCTATTCCTTATGGGCTGGAGGGAGTACAACATAGGGTGTTGGTCGTGGAGGTTCGGATAAGATTCCTTTTCCGTCCAAGGCAGCGTTACTTCTCACCCGCAACCTTCAGACGCCTCCAGACGCCCCCAGGAATTGACCTGATCCACCCCCCACAAAGACTAGGGGAAAAAATGAAGATGAAGCCCCTTACGTAGTCAATATACACAGCTACATACAAAGTTATTAGGTTCTCACAGTTTGATATATATTAAAGACTAAAACGGTAAACACAAACTGCGCAGGGCACCTAGCAAACCGCGAGACTTTCTTGTCAGATCCCCGCAACCCCACTGAAATGGGCACTTAGCCCCTGCTTAGCTCTATTTGGCTCTACTTGGCCCTATTTGGCTTTCCTTGGCCCCCACGGCGGGTCGCAACACTTGCCTCTACAACGTTGTAGCGCCGCCGATGTCACACTCAAAACTTTTCTCCTCTTGGCAGCATGAGGGGACTGAATGCATATAAGCTATGGGATTATCCCCCAGTGTCTGAGCTTAGTTCTTCTTTCTCATGTCGCTTTGGTCTTTCCCTCTCATCTAATAGAGGACGTTCATCATGTGGACCACAACCTCCGGCTTACGGGGCAAGAAGCTCCATATCGCCATTACTTTTACATCCGTTGTCGGATTCTCACTTTTCGGTTATGATCAGGGTTTGATGTCCGGTATTATCTCCGGTGATCAATTCACCAAGGAATTCCCCGCTCTCTATGGTGACTCCGAGCACGTCGCCGTCCTCCGTGGTGCGGTCACTGCCTGTTACGAACTTGGTTGTTTCTTCGGTGCTATCTTCACTATGGCCTACGGTCAACGTATTGGTCGTACTCCCCTCCTAGTGGCCGGTGGTCTTCTGATGATCCTCGGTACTGTTATCTCTACTGCTGCGTTCGGGCCCCACTGGGGACTGGGCCAGTTCGTTATTGGACGTGTCATTTCCGGTCTTGGGAACGGTATGGACACCGCTACTATCCCTGTCTGGCAGTCTGAGTGTTCGCGCGCTCACAACCGTGGCTTCCTCGTCTGCTTCGAGGGTGCTATCATTGCCGTCGGTACCTTTATCGCTTACTGGCTTGATTTCGGTCTTTCCTATGTCGACAGTTCCGTCCAATGGCGGTTCCCAGTCGCCTTCCAAATTCTGTTCGCTATCCTCGTCACTGGTGGTGCTCTTATGCTCCCTGAGTCGCCTCGTTGGTTCGTCATGCAAGGTCATGACCAGGAAGCGCTTCAGGTTCTCGCCCAGCTCAACGATAGTTCTGTGGATGCGGAGGATGTGCTTGCCGATTTCAACCTCATGAAGGCTGATCTTAACGCTATGCAGAATGTTGAGTCTAGCAGCTGGGGTATCCTATTCACTGGCGGCAAGACTCAGCACTTCCAGCGTATGATGATCGGTTGCTCTGGCCAGTTCTTCCAGCAATTCACTGGCTGTAACGCTGCTATTTACTACTCCACTCTCTTATTCCAACAGAATTTGCATATGCATGGTAAGCTCCCCCTAGTTCTAGGAGGTGTTTTCGCCACTGTCTATGCTCTCGCCACTATTCCATCCTTCTTTATGATCGAGAAGGTCGGTCGCCGTAACCTCTTCTTGATTGGTTTCCTCGGCCAGGGTCTCAGTTTCATAATTACTATGGGATGTCTCATCGATTCGAATACGCAGAACGCGAAGGGTGCTATCGTCGGTATCTTCCTGTTCATCTGCTTCTTCGCCTTTACTACGCTGCCTCTCCCCTGGATCTACCCCCCTGAAATCAACCCCCTCCGCACCCGTACCAAGGCCGCCTCCGCTTCCACCTGTATGAACTGGATCACCAACTTCGCCGTCGTCATGTTCACTCCCGTGTTCTCCAACCAGTCTGACTGGGGTATCTACCTCTTCTTCGCCCTTGTCAACTTCATTGCCATCCCCTTCGCCTGGTTCTTCTACTGTGAGACCGCCGGTCGTGATCTCGAGGAGGTTGATATCATCTTCGCCAAGGCCCATGTTGAGGGCAAGTGGCCCTACCAGGTCGCACAGGAGATGCCCAAGCTCTCCATTGCCGAGATTACCCAGATGCAGGCCGAGCTTGGTCTCGATATCCCCAATTTCCGGATCAACTCCGAAGCCGAGAAGGCTGAGACTGCCATGAGCAGCGGCAGCGAGACTCGCGAGATCGCCGAGACCAAGCACGACGAGTAAATGCCCCAACTATTGGCTGCTCCTGGTCGATGTTGGTTGAGTGACATTTGCGGCGCGAATCGGATTAATCATTTGTCTCGGATCTCATATTATGTGACCATAGATTCTCTATACCCCCCGTCCAGCGGGAAAGCGGGCAGACTAGTATGTAGATAGTCTGCTTTGCGATCACTTTTTATTTTCTCTATATTTTCTTTGATCTAAATACATACTTTTTTTACCCCTAGAAATATTCTATCGAAGTTGTAATGGCTCTAAACGCGACTCCACTGATGCGTCCTTCTGCTCGGGTCTGCAGCCCTACGATCAGCCCCAGTATCCCCTCAGTGGGGATGGAAGTACAGAAGGCTTGGCAATACCATATACATAATTCATTCACTGAGATTTGCAAAATTGGTCAAATTAACGAAGGCATTCCATTTATGTTCAAACTTGTATACGATGTACATCGTATTTGTGTGTGCTGTAACTCTTAATTAACAGGGGACCTTGGAAGCCCCTGCAGATCGTCATTCGGGAAGTTTAGGAGACAAACTAAAAAAAAGTCTGCATGAGCTTCGGCAAAGAATTCCATGTTCTAGATATTTAGGTCAAATTACTCGAGGAAAGATCTTGTTCTAAGTTGTAACAGTACTACTGCAGGACTTGAAGCCGGAGAGCCGAGGCATTCGTGATGACAACCTCGTACACATGCCAAAAAGAACCCCGCCGTACTCGCTATAACTTCCTAGTTTTATCGTAAAGTAAAAAGGAATTAAGTAATATTAATTGAGCAATTAACAATTCTATCTAGACATGTTAATGCCAAAAATAATTCGTCATCTAGCCGGCTGCAAAAGTACTCTTTTTCCTCAGCTTTTCCCCAAACTTCCACAAAAGCACCGGCGCCGGCGCCCCGACCACAATAGCCACGAACGCCAACAAACTATTCCCCCACCCGTATTCTAAAGCACTGTACATATATGGTGCAAAAAGTGGAAACCCAAACCCAGCTATCGAGCGCAGAAATGCACCAGCAGCAAGCGCACTAGCCGCAAACCGCGTATAGGTATCAACCATATAAGTCTGGATACACTGGAAGGCAATGATATTGCCAGCACCAAACATTACAGCACCGATGTTCGGCGCAATCCAATGGCAATGGTACTGAGCAGTCCAACCGTAGATGAACAAGCCGGCGGGGATCAAGAAGGCGCCGACGAAGAGCAGCGGGACGCGGAACTCTGGTTTTCCGACGCCGCCATTACGGGCCTTGAGACGGCGGTAGATGCGGTCGTTTAGCGGGGCGCAGATCTGTGAGCCGAGCCAGAAGCCTAGTCCGAGGGAGATGTAGTTCAGGCCACCGATGCCGGTTGATTCGTTGTAGTAATTTGGGCTTGTCCAGAGGGTAGGGAATGTCGAGAGGACAAGGTAAATGATTCCATAGGTGTAGGCCATGAATAGGGCGAGGACTTGGACAATTGGTTGTGTGAGGAGGAGGCGGAAGGGACGGATGAATGAGCCGCGCAGAATTTCGAGCAGGGTTTTATTTTGGCGCTCTGCTTCTGTTTGGTAGGATTCATCGCCCGTTTCTTTGCGCAGGCGGATGGCGCGGTCGAGAAGGATTTTCGGGCCGTAGCTTTCGCGTAGGAAGAAGAGGCCCATTAGTTGGATTAGGCCGTCAACTATTGAGGTCGAATAGAAGACCCAGCGCCAGGTTGTGTTTTCGGCGATGAAGCCTCCTGCGATAGGTCCGAGGGCTGGGCCTAGAAGTGGTGCAAGGCTGTAGATCGCGACTCCCTTCCCGCGCTCTTCAGCCCGGAAGCAATCCGAGAGGACTCCACCGCCGACCTAGTCTTGGTTGGATACAAGCTTTTATTTGGGGGGGGATTTTGCGGCTTAGCTTACTGCTAGTGGAGCACTGCCTCCTAGTCCAGCAAAGAATCGGCAAATGATCATTTGGACTTTCGTTTGTGATACTGCACACCCAATGTTGAAAACTAGGAAGAAGAGATTGGAGAGCTGTAGAACGACGGTTCGACCGTAAATCTCTGACAATGGCCCGAATAATAATGGGCCAACAGCGTAGGCTAGAACGAAGATTGAGAGCATAAGTTGTGAGACGAATTCATCCGTGACTTTCAGGTCCGCTGCGAGTGATGGCAGTGCCGGCGCAACCATTGACGAAGAGACCGGTGAGATGAATGTGAATAGTGATACGGTGATGGTAGCAGCCCATTTCTTCTTGTTGGTCCAGTTTTTCGGGTTTTCGGGGTCTTCAGGGCCGTCCCACTGTACCTGTACTTACAATTTAATATCAAGTCCAGATTTGGGAACATGGAACAACATACCAGTTTTTGGTCGCGAAGAGACCGGTTCGAATTTTTCGTCCTTGATTTCTCAAGCTCGGGCTGTGCATCATTGGCTTTCTCTAGATCCAGATCGCGCTCGTTGACAATCCCGTTCTGCACTTCCTGGATAGTATCGGGGTTCTGCTCGTTTTCGATGGGTGATTCACCATGATTAGACTCATCGTCACTATGGTATACTGACTGATCATTCAGATGTCGCCCCGAATAGACTCGATCCACTTGGGTCATCCCTGAATTCGACAAAGACCGCAGCCTCGTCCTTAGAGAACTAGCCAAGCTCTGAGATCGTGACTGCGTTCTTGATGCCTGGAACTCAGAATCGGTACTGGATATTGACGTTGACTGTGATCTGGTCAAGCCATATTCTTTATGGTCCGACATCATGGATGTCATACAGAACCCAATCGACAATAATTGGGGAAGAGACTGGATAAATGGATATATATACAAAGCCAACTATATGGGCGCGCAACATTAAAGGAAATGAACTAACAATAGCGGGAATCAATTTTATATCAAATCAATAGCCCCGGTCAGAGTTCATTTTGCCCCTTTATTATCAAAAATTTCCTGAACATGGCGGCCTGACCCGTCCTGAGTTAGTTATTAGAGTAGTTCTTCATGCCGTTCCCGGGTTCGAATTTGTATCCTCAGGCGTGAAATTATCGGATCTTCGGCAAACGGATCACGTGCACCTACTGATCACCCATACAATATGCCACATTTGGTGACCGACACAAGTATTCTCCCCGTCCCGGGATATTTTTCATTGGCTTGACACTATTATGTCCACTGCATTTTTGATATATGTATAAGTATTTTCTTCGGATGTCCGATCATTTTCAGTCCGATTTACATAGGGTTTTCGTATGAGTCTAGACCGTTTATAGTGCATGGCTGACGCCTAATTCCTTGTTGTTTGGGTATTCATTTTTCATATTTAGGCTCCTTAAGTTGGCTGATTTGAGGCGGTATAGGCTCTGACGTTGATAATTGGGGACTTTAGAAAAGAACACCGACGAAATTGTTGAGATATCGAAGGAAAACAAACTACATAGTAATCATTTTTAATGACACAAACGTTTGTCCTCTACTCAACCCAGAAAAAAAAAAAACGGACTACACATATCAATCAGTGAAACGAAAAGAGAGCCCTAGATTACGCGCTACCCAATTTGAACCAATATTCAAAGAAATATTCCCGAATTCATTAGTACCGAGGCAAGAGAGTGTTGTACTGCATTCACCAACACACCAGAGTGATGGCAATCGATCACACCCTGATCTGATATGCTGACGGAGTGAAGTATGGAGCGCCAACCTTGGAAATTTGTCGTCGAAGAACCTCGGGAGCGCCAAGGTTACCCCACACTTTCTTATCAGCTCTACCCAGAGATAGGTACGATCGGCGAGATTCTGTGTCTTCATCTGATCTCCTTAAATCAAATATGCCGCCAGATCGACGTGTACAGCGGATTGTTCGAGTAAGAACTGGTTGTTTGACCTGCAGGCGTCGCAAGAAGAAATGTGACGAGACACGTCCAATCTGTGCTGGCTGTCAACGCAATGACCTGGGCTGTCAGTGGCCCCCAAACGTACCTGGCAAAAAAGATTCCAGCCACAACGAAGCTCAAGTATCTGCGATAGATGGGTGTCGACAGAATATCTTCGGTGCCATTGAGCAGCTTGATGAAATATCGGCGCCCAGGAGTCCCTTGTCGCAACGAGCACCATCTGTTTCATCAAGTGCAGGGCACTCGACGACTATATGTACTGAAGACCGGCTTGAAGACATGATGCTGCATGAGGAGACCCATAATCAGCGCCAACTGTCAACATCTACTGGAGCTACCACTACTAGTGACGCTCTTGTCGCCTCTGTCTCAGGAAACGTGCTGCCGCGCAGCCTATCCCTGCTGCCTGGCTATGATGCTGAGTCCTATCAGCTTCTCAGTCATTACCTGGCCACAACAGCTGACTGCATGGCAAATGGCTCCACGCCTGTCAACCCCTTTTTGGTACAGATTGTACCCCTGGCATTTTCTAGTGACTTGCTGTTGCAGCTGGTCATTACTCAAAGCGCCGCTCATCGCGCATTTCGATCACGGGATGAATCAGATACAATTGCCCACAGTCACTACACGAAAGCTCTCCGGCATTTTCGCCGTGGAGTAACGGACTTTATCGATGGAAAAGAATCGAATCCTCTCATGCTCCTAGTTGGGGCACTTCTGATGTGTTTTACCGAGGTAGGAAATCTATGATTCAAAAATAAGTTGTTCAACAATCTAATAATAATAGACTGCAAAGGGTGATATGAACGGGACAATATTCGACCATTTATCTGCTGCCAACTCGCTGTTAGTCAAATTGCTTGCCCAGAGCGACTCAGCAGTTCCACGAGACTTGAAAGATTTCGTCATCGAATACTACACCTATACTGCGACCGTCAGCATGATCTCAATCGATGCTCGCTTTAGCGGACAGCTCTTCTTAAACTTGGATCTCGAGCAACGGTCTCGTGAATTACTCCGGACTCAATACGTGGGCAACTTGTGCGGTTGCTGGCTGGAACTACTGCTGCTGATCCCGTGCATATTCGATCTCGGCCGACAGTGGATCATGGACGAAACGCAGGCGGTTGTTCCAACAGCTGATGACATTGCCATGTTTGCATCCATCCAAGCCCAGATTCTGCGCTGGTCTCCGTATCCCAACGTCGGGACGGAGGTTCGTCTAGCTGGCTTAATCTTCCAGGAAGCCATACTTATCTATCTATACAGCTCCCTAGGTGGTTTCCAATACACCCGGGATGGGATGTATAAAGGCATGGTGGAAAATACAGTGACAGAAGCCATGTCATACCTAGGTGAGCTGTCGCCTAGTGCACGCATCAACTCCGGCCTTTGTTGGCCGATCGCTGTGGTGGGCTCATGTCTTCTCAACCCCGACCAACAGGACTGCCTACGAGGACGATTGAATGCCATGACCGAGACATTTGGTCTTGGAAATATGCATCGAACACTTCAACTCCTTGAAGCAATGTGGCAATCACCTGCATCCGAGGCCGGGCCATGGAATATCTGTCGAGCAATGCAGCAAAACCAAATATGGATCTCATTTGCGTGATATTGATCGTCATTCTGTCATATTATGTACAAACTAGCAAAGTCGCCATTTATTCATGCAGCCAAATTCCTCGGTGCTTCAGTCGCCGGACCCTCAGGCGTAACATATGCCTTCGTCAAGCCACCATCGACGACGAAGTCAGTAGCATTTACAAAACTGCTCTCATCGCTAGCAAGGAAGATCACTGCATGGGCCTGTTCAACTGGCTCGCCAAACCGTCCAGTAGGGAAATGCACCTCACGACGGAAGCGCTTTTCCTTATCGTCACCAAGCCAATCCTGCAACAAAGGTGTGCTATCCGAATGTTAGTTCCATCAAAGGGCTAACCGGGAAAAGGGCAAAAGATGAACATACTTGAGAGGTGCAGGGCAAAGCGAGTTGAATCGGAACCCCTCGCGGGCATGAACAATTGCCAGCTCCCGGGTCATTGCCAATACAGCACCCTTGCTAGCGGTATACGCCAACTGAGGTGTCGCAGCCCCAACCAGAGCAACCATACTAGCAGTATTAATCACACTAGCGCGCTTCTTGCCATGCCTCCGGAATGCACGCACAGCGTGCTTTGAGCCGTACCACACGCCCTTCACATTGATATTCATTGTGCGATCCCAGATATCCTCAGGACACTCTTCCGAGTCTCCGTCCTTCGGATGCATGATTCCAGCATTATTGAAGATGATATCTAGTCCACCCCAGGCATCGAGATGAGCAACTGCTGCTTCGATTTGGGACTCGTTGGACACGTCGACCACTTTAATCTCGACTTTTCCGGTGCGGGTCGAGGCGGGCACGACACTGTTCACCTTGGACAGTGCTTTGTTCAGGCCTGCGTCACTAATGTCGGTCATTAGGACGGAAGCGCCTTCGTGGAGCATGAGAATTGTGGTTTCGAGGCCGATACCTCTGCCTTTTGTTAGTTATGTCTTTTGTTATTTGGTTTGTCATAGGTGGATAGAGGTACATACCCGGCCGCACCGGTGATGATGGCATTCTTGCCTTCAAGACGTCCGACCATTTCGATATTGTGTAGGTATGATATAATAAAAGAAGCTAGAGAAAATGGACCAGTCTGCTGAAAAGATTTGAGGAGTTGACAAGAATGAATAAGAAGATTGCAGAGGATAGGCCATTAGTAAAGGCCAGAATTTATACCATGTTTCCAATCTCCAGTCTACATTCTCCATAACGGAACAGGTGCCACCGATATTCAGCCCACATGGTAAATTAGACCCAATTGCACGAGTCAACGCGCTATATCCCTCCTGTTCCTTTTTTCTTAAACCATCTCGGTCCACAAAAATGTACGAGTACAAAGCTCTGTCGCGCTCCTACTACCCCGCCACTCAACGATGCGGTGAGCTCAACACGCTGCGGGGCATGGGGGGTAGCTGTTAGGTAGCTCTTCAACCATTCAGACGCAAGAAGCATTTCCGGGTCGTATCATTGACTATCTTTGGTGGGGTCTCGGGGCTAAGACAGCGCGGTCCGGGACCGCGCTGTTGTAGGGACTATGTATATGAGCTTCAATATACTAGAAAATAATGCAGATATTTTCACGGGCTCGTTGATTTTAACGCCAATTACATATATCATTATGAGCTGGCTATGGTTCTTTTCTTTGTTGCTTTGAGTTACAGCTGTGGGAGAGAGATATGCTCGGGTGATTGAATACATAGTTGGAAAAAAACAGCAACCTTGAATTTTCTTAAATTTTTCAGATAACCACGCGATTTAATCATATTCAAAGCTGTCTGTTCATGCCGAATTATCCTTGATGTGGTAGCTCTTCAGCTTCACAAATCCATCGTATCCCCGTGGGCCAAGAGTGCATCCCAAACCTGATGTCTTCCAGCCCGTCCAGGCAAGGTCCTAATGTCCAATATTAGTATCAATGAACCCACAACAAGTCTCTTTGACGATTTTCAGGATAGCTTACCGGGCTTGGATAGTCACAGCGATTAATGAACACCGTCCCAGCCTCGATGCGATCAATCAACTCCTCTCCGCGAGTGATATCATTCGTCCAAACGCTCGCCGTCAGACCATAGTCACTGTCATTCATCAAGGAAATAGCTTCATCGTCGCTAGAGACCTTCATAATTGGCATCACAGGACCGAAAGTCTCCTCCCTCATTGTCGCCATGGTATGGTTGACATTGGTCAAAACAACCGGAGAGACAAAGTTACCTTTTTGGATCTGAGGGTTGCTCGCCACCTCAAAGCTTAGGTTCTGGGGAGTAGAGTTGACAGCTCCTTTAGCAATTGCATCCTTGACGTGAGCAGTGATCTTCTCCATGGCCTGCGTTGAGATGACAGGGCCTGTGGTTGTGTTTTGATCCTGCGGATCACCAAGCTTGTAGCTAGTTTGAATGTTAGGTAAATATCCTCTTTTGAATATGATCAGTCTTACGATTTCAGCTCTTCCTGCACAGCGCAAACAAAGTCCTCGTAAATCTTCTCATGCACGTATACCCGTTCTATGGAACAGCAACTCTGTCCGGAATTGAAAACAGCTCCGTCCACGAGTTGTTCTGCAACATGCTTCACGTCAACATCTGGCCGAACATATGCGGGATCATTTCCACCAAGCTCGAGGTTGACGGGCTTGATGTGACGAGCTGTTGCCTCCCTGAGTCTGATCCCGCCTGCAGTTGATCCGGTGAATGAGACAGACTGGATATCGGGAATCTGTGCCACCTGATCCAAAATATCTAGATTGCCGATATGAATGACCTGAAGGACCTGCGGCGGAAGTCCTGCTTCAGTGAAGACCTCGAGTAGTCTATTTCCAAATAGTGGGGTTTGCGGCGAAGGGCGCAAGATAACGCTATTACCAGCAAGAAGCGCGGGGACAAGAGCATTGACCGTAGTCAGGTAAGGATACTATCATATCATATTGGTGAGCAAGTCTTATGATACTTCAATCACAGTGCTCACTCACATTCCAAGCACCCGCAATAAGTACCGGTCCCACAGGAACACGCTTGACGGTTCGCCGGAAGCCAGCTTCTGGCCGCCCAGGGAGATCGGAAAGGTTCTCTTCAGCAATATCCATCAAGTACTCGGCGCGCAGACGCATAGTGTTGATCTCTGAAGCGCAGTAACGGATGGGCCGCCCCATTTGCGCAGTCAGTTCTCTGGCCAGATCATCACGGCGCTGGGCAATAGTGTCCAACGCTCGTCTCACGATGCTCTTTCGATCCTCCAGAGAGGTTGTTCTGTACGACTCAAAGGCTTGCTTTGAGGCAGCGGCAACTTTGATGGCTTCTTCGAATGAAGTGCCAGGTTGGTCAAAAATGACCTCGTGCGTTGAGGGACAGATAGTACGAATTTGGTTTGACATAATGTTAGTTGAGGGTCTGCTTTGGGGGGAAAGAGTGGAATCTAGAATGTGGGAGAGAGGTGAACTTTATAGCGCGGAGTCGGTGGCGCGGTTGCGGATCTGACAACTCATCCTTTTTCTTATTCCACTTTTGTTCTTTGTATCTCAATCTTATAACAATAGTAATTTGTTGTATCCGCCCAAACTACTTCAATTTCCCATCCAGTATGAATCTTGCAATCACCTTTGCTATCAACCACCCATCATGTGAGTCACCCACTCGGGACAAACCATCATTGTACAGTTCATCACCAAATGTCCCATTCTCGTGCCTGGCTTCGAGTAGACATGCCATGATACCTTCGTTAAATTCCGGGTGTCCTTGAACTGACAGCACTCGCTTGGGCAAGTAAAGACCCTGAACTTCACATTTTGGACTTGTAGCGAGATTCGTGCAATTGACTGGGGGTTTAAAGACAATATCGCGGTGCATTTGTTGAATGCTCTATATTTAATTAGAATATGCTTCAATTGAGCTTGTTCGGGTGTTTTTTTCCCCACATACCAGTGTATCCTTTCCAAACAGTTTCTTCCCGGCCTCAGTCAGGGTGAGCTTCTCGACAGAAACCTCCCATCCAGCTTCGTTTCTGCCAAGTTGGGCTCCGAGTGCCCGAGCAAGGATCTGATGTCCGAAGCAAATCCCAACTACGGGCTTCTTGTGTGTTAAAACGGCCTCACGAACGTTGCTTGTGAGGTCACAGATCCACTGATCGTCAGCCCAGGCATCGTGCTCTACCAAGTAATATTAATTCATCCATTCAGTTATTAACATAGACAAGAACTCACTGCTTCCAGTCAGAAGAATAGCGTCGACATCCTGTAGATCAGGAAATCGGTTATTACCCATCATGTGATATTCACTAAACTCCACGGTAATATCTTTAAGCTTCTCAGATCTTTCCAAGTCCTTGAAGCCTTGCCTCAGAATATCCTGGAATATTGCGAAGTAGTCGCCATACTTCTTCAGGACAGGCTGGATAGGCGTGTCACATACGAGAATAGCAATATGAATGCGAATGCAAGGTATCATTCTGGACATGTATACTTCCTCTTTAGATTCACAATATTCACAATGAACACATCAAGTCAATCAAACAAAGATTTGATCTTAAATCAATAGTTTCGAAACGAGGATAAGCGCGCTATCTACGTACGGAACCCCACAGCGCGGACCGCGGAGCATCTCCGCGATAATATTCGATAGCTTCACCGATGACATCAATTGCTCTGTCTGTAAGGAAATTGCGCGCTGTTGTCTACACTGCGCGGGATTATTTTCGACCTGAGATGCGACGCGGCATTAATGTTGACCATATGTTGGACCCGCAATCTCACACGCAATTGTATAAAGCCACAGAGGCCGGCGAAATGTCTCTTTCATTTCAAACCCCCTATAGGACTCGTTTAGTCCTGCTACAATTTTTAAATTTCTCTCAGAATAGCCACGCCCACCATGATCAGTGTCGAATCACTCCCCAACCTTCTCGCCGATGACATCAAGGTCAAGGTCGCCGGTATCGACAGCGATGGTGTACTTCGTGGCAAGGTCATGGCCAAGGAAAAATTCCTTGGGATTGCAGAAAAGGGGTTTGGCTTCAGCTCAGCTATCTTTGGTTGGGATATGCACGATATGTTATGGACAACCGATGCGCGGATCGCACCTCCAGAATTAGGATACGCAGACTTCTTGGCTGTTCCCGATCTGAACTCATTCCGTCGTCTTCCATGGGAAGAAAACATTCCTTTCTTCCTGGTGCGATTTCTTGACAATACACGCCCGGTTTCAGCGGATGGGAGGAGTATGTTGAGGAGTCTATGCGATAAGCTTGCGGGAGAGGGGCTTCGTGCTTTAGCTGGAGGTAATTTAGGGGAAAATTTGGTGAATAAATCTCAAAGGCTAACACCAGATAGTCGAACTTGAATTTATGAATTTCCAGACGCCTTCCGAAGACGGATACGGCAGTGCCGGCTCCCAGCATCCCAACCTCGCTACTTTCCTAGAGAAAAATGCCCCTAGTGCCCTGCGGCCAATTACAGCTGGCATGTTCTGCTATAGCTCAACACGGCCAGTTGCCAACAAAAAGTACTTCTACGATATTTTCAATATCAGTGCGCAGATCAACTGCGGCATTGAAGGATGGCACACTGAGGGCGGGCCCGGTGTGTATGAAGCAGTATGTAATCCATCCAGGTCATTTGAACTTTTCTGATGCTTTATATAGGCCTTGAAGGTTTCAGAAATTAGCGAAATGGCAGACAAGGTGGCATTATTCAAGTGAGTACCATAAATCATATGTTGTTCCCACAGCTAACAAATCGACAGGCTCCTAACCAAATCCCTAGGGGTTGACCACGGCGTTACACCATGCTTCATGGCTAAGCCCATGCAAGGCATGCCGGGAAGCTCCGGACATATTCACATTTCTCTTGCCGACAGTCACGGGAACAACCTATTTGCAAGAGAGACACCCGATGCAAACGCTCAATGGTCGGACATCGCACACCTCTCCGAAACAGGACGTCATTTCCTCGCCGGGCTTCTGGAAGCTCTGCCAGATATTATGCCACTATTTGCGCCGACTGTGAATTCATACAAGCGTCTTGTTGAGAACTACTGGGCACCAGTGCACATTAGCTGGGGACTCGAGGACCGGATTGCCTCAATACGTCTCATCACACCACCAGTGTGCAAGCCAAGTGCCACACGTTTCGAAGTCCGCATTCCCGGAGCTGATCTACATCCGCATTATGCGCTGAGTGTCATCCTTGCAGCAGGCTGGAGGGGTGTGCAGAAGAAGCTTGAGCTCAAAGTTCCACCTATGTCTGCACGCGCGCCAGGGGACCGCCCAGAGCTTCTGCCCAATACTCTGGACAAGGCTTTAGACCGGTTTTCATCCCCGGGAAGTATTGCGCGGGAGATTCTAAGCTCGGAATTTGTGGATTTCTTCACAGCCACAAGACAACACGAATTGGGTCTTTGGAGAGAGGCTGTGACTGATTGGTAAGTCGAAAAGACACTGCTAACTACCCATGAATACAAGGCTAACTCGGCTATAGGGAGTTCAAGCGATATATTGAAATTGTGTAGATTATTACTGAGCGTTGAAGCAAATTGATTTCATGGACCGGCTATTGATATACCAGGTCTCGAATCTCCGACTTTTCTTTCAAATAAATCAAAATTTGCTCGTATTGTACCCCGTCCATACAGTCGTTATAGACTTTCTATGTATATATTGCCAGTATTGAGGCAAGATCCGAAAAATGGCCGTCTAGTAAATGGCCGTCTATGTTATAGTATAGAACAAGCCCCCGGGGACCCCACGCCCGCTTATGGTATCACAACTAATGAAGTCTTTCGTATTTGTGCATGTTTCTGCAGGTCATACCTAGGCTTATATCAAATAAGATTTAAACCCGCCGGGTATAATCTGCTGAGACCAATCCATTACCTTTCTTATACAAATAATCCCAATGAGCCTACCCTCATGTATTCGACCTCTTATTACAAGGCACGGGCCCTGGAGGAATGCGCTAAGGCTTTTAGGTTTCACTTTAGGCCGCCCACGTGATGATCGGCAGAAACACCGGGGCTCGTCCGGGGGGTTGATAACCCCAGCCTCAACCCGCTCATGTGTACATAGGAACCATCAATCCACAAAGGCCTTCTGTTCGCAAAGCCAGCGCGATGGCTCCGAACTTTCCTCTCCCTCTCCCGCCACGCACCCCCACTCCACCAGTGGATGATGAATATGCCTCCCAGATCAACTCGGGGATACCGATCGATCGCAATTCCCTAGCGCCGCTTAATGCTTCCTTTCCAAAGGGCATCATGGATGATGAAAGCAGAGATACCCTGAGCCCCACGAAGTCCTCTTTCAATCTGGCAACCTCGCCTGAAGATGCAGAGACACCGATTGAAAATGGCGCTGGTGACACGTCTCCTGCGGGGCCATTTAATTTCAATACTACGGTTATGGCAAAGAGCCCAGTGATCAAATCGGTGAGTTGAATGGCTCCGATAATCTATGATGGCGTTAGTGCTAACTTGTTCTCTTGTGTTTCAGAACATGGGACAACGTCGTGGCCACAAGTACAAGCACAGCAGCATCTCGCACCAGATCTTCCTCGAGCCTCCTCCTCGCGCGCCCCTGGCCCTTCCGAACTCCCTGCCCATGCCAACGCTGAAAGAATGCCGATCTAGCATGTCAAAGGACCAGAAGACCCGCTTCTGGTGGAGTCTATGCCACATGTTGGTTGCGGCGTACACACTCTGGACCGCACATGGGTCCCTTGCCATGACAGCATTGTCGCATCTGATTCTATTTGATTCCCTCGGGGCTCTCTTGTGTGTTGCAGTTGACGTGCTGGGTAATTTTGAAGTCTGGAAGAGGTCGACTATCCGCCACCCGTTCGGCCTTGAACGTGCTGAAGTTCTAGCCGGGTTCGCGATGGCCGTGCTTCTTTTGTTTATGGGGTTGGATCTTATTTCCCACAATCTACAACATTTCCTTGAAAAGGCTGGTCATGAGCCTCATCACCCACATGATCATGATCGGGTTTCTGTGGGTAGTGTGGATGTGACTGCAATTCTAGCCATTTCATCAACGCTGGTGTCGGCAATTGGTCTCAAGAATCATGCTCGAATTGGAAAGGCTATGCGATTTGGATACATCCAATCTCTTCCATCGGTCTTGAGCAACCCATCCCACTTCCTCACCCTCTCTTGTTCGGCTCTGCTGCTGCTTTTACCTCTGGTCTCAGTCAGGATCTATGATTGGCTCGATAAGCTCCTGTCTGGCACCATTGCCTTCTCAATGTGCTTCCTAGGAACTCGCTTGGTGAAGACACTAGGTTCCATGCTTCTCATGTCCTACTCCGGCCAAGGAGTTTCTGATGTCATCAAGGATATTGAAGCTGACCCTGCTGTATTCGGGATTGATGATGCTCGATTCTGGCAGGTCCATTATGGGCTATGTATGGCAAACCTCAGACTTCGAGTCACTGGCTCTGAGGATAATATTGTCCGGCTACGGGAGAAAATCTCCAGCTTGATTCGCAACAGGCTGGGTGGTGGGTATGGCACCGGAGGCCAAAAGTGGGAGGTATCTTTACAATTCACGATTGAGCGTGCATGAACTCTTGAATTTCGATCACTGATGTATTATCTGTTCAGCTGTGCATATATCTTAATTCATTCTATAGATACCCCTGTATATCATGAACGTTTATCTCATAGCCAACATGGATGCTTTCAAGTTCAAAAAAAAACTATGTTCGAAGATATATAACTAACAAATGTGCCGTAGAACGTAAAACCAAAATGTCAACCTCGTTATATTACTCTCAGGCTCAGTTTGCACATCCTCCACATTATATCCATGTCAAGCAACCGAGTCATGTTTCGTCCAAGCACGGCCCACTATGAGCTCTCAGCGTCTTTGACGGAAGACGAAAGAGACAGAAACCACAGTGATGCACATGATGAAGCCCAAGAATGAAAGCAGCATCCGCCGTAGCAGCGGTACACCTAGACTTCAAATCTCCAAAACGATACCAATACCAGCAGCCTTGGAATCCGCCGTGATTAGTTATGATACAGCCACCACTGAGTAAGACATTGTTATAAGTGGTGTAGGGGTTGGAGTAGTTAGTTCTACGTAGTCGTACAGCAAAGACCAGGAAGTGAAAATGATCAGTTGCCATCCTTCATACAGACATAGGATGGAAACTGCTTACAATAACACTAGCAAGCAGTGCTAGAGAAGAAACACCGCCAAGAATCCAGGTGAAGAGGCCATCGAGAGAGTCCACAAACAGGGCGGTAGTACCGACTAGCGCAGCTACAATGCTGATACCTCCTGTAAAAGCTGCATAACCTGTCTCAGCGGGCAGTAAGCCGTTAGTCCAAGGAGTAGCATTAATTATGTTAATTCTCACCGGACTCATGTAATTGTCAATATAAGCCTCAAGTATGAAAGAATCAAATCTATAAACATCAAATCAAGGTATTGTATGTACACATATATC